GTCCGAGAGCTGTGTCGAGATTTCCGGATGCCAAACAAATGCAGCTGACAATTTCAGAGCTTGGCTGGCAAGGTTTGTCTCGATAGGGGAGACGTTCGCAAGGTCCAGATTCACATCTCGTTGAATAAACCCAGTGATGAGATTCAGTTTTTCTGTAATTTTCTGACCCGCCGGAAGCCCATCATACGTTCGTAGTGCGCCATAGAATTGCATGTATGCATCGAGTCGGGAGGTCATTGACTCGCCTGCCAGTTGTTGGATGACTGATTCGAGCAGCATGGCAAGCGATTCGGTGGTGAACGCATCGACGTTAGGTGACCAAACGGGAATTGGTGACTGGGTTGCTTTCAGGATCGACTTCGTAGGTTTGGAATTTGGGGATGGAGAGACTGTCTTTAAGTCGGGGGTCGATTTCATGGCACTAGCAAAGGTTGGTGGTTTGATGTACTTGGGCCATGGCGAGAAATTCACTTTCTTCGAACTGCGGCTGGATGGACCGGCTTCCACAGATCCCAGGGCGGAAAAGGATGACTCCTTAGGTGTTTGAACTGTTAGTGGTGACTCGGTGTTTTCAATCACGATGCGCGAAGCTGTCCTTGGGGGTGTGGGCGGACGAGCAGACAGGATCTCCACCATGATTTAGATCAGACAAGAAGTTTGAAAAAGGAAAAGAAGCAATAGTCAAAGATCATTGCTGAATGAGATGCTGTTCAGATCCTGTCCATGATCTGTTTTAGACCGAAGCTGAAGAATCAAGAAGCCACATTCAGCCGAGAAAACTAAGTTCAAGTTCGGACGCGCCGCGATGCGCGTAAAGTGTCACCGCCTGAGGCGACGAGGCACCAATACGCGGACTTTTCATGCGAATGGCTATAGCTTCAATAATCATTGGGTATTTCAGTGTATAGGTATATGTAGCAGGAAACAATCAACAATCAAATATAATCAGTATTGAATTTTCCACATTGAACATATTCATGTTGCATTCTTCCAGCAAACGGTGGAGCTCCAAAGTTCACGTTATACAAAAGATCTAGTCTAGACTGGATTATGTAGGATAGAGCTTTCTTTATAGTTAGTTAACTAAGTACTAATAATTGTTATTTAACTAAATATAAATATCTGGAGAAGAGGTTCTTAGGAGAAGCTTAAGTGGGGGGTCGCCAAATAATTTATGACGATTTGCGTCTGACTTCCCCGCGTGGCTTCTCTCTCCTTTTTTTTCGGTTCTCTCGTCAATAGCTCCCTACTCAGGCTAATCCGATCCTACTCTTATACTGAGTCTATGAGAATCTACCTACACCACACCATATCACTGAAAGTGACACAGTCCTACATCACCCCCTACTCGGAACACTCGAATCAGTCTGAGCTCGGATCAGTATGGCGTTTCTTCAGATGCAAGGAACAGGTACGTTGTGGAGATTGAAAAGTTTCAACCCGGCAATCAGGTTGGCTTACTCGATATTGCGCATACAGCAAAGCTACGAGAAGTGACACAGCTTCTAAAGTCTCTTGAGAAAGACCTACAAGAGAATAACCTCTCAACAGCAGGTACGTCGGATGCAATTGCCCTTATACTGTGTACACGCCTAATGCTGATCCAATATACTACTAGACCAAGTCCAAACCCTCCTCCAGCTTCGACAACACGGCACAACCCCTACCAACGCAGAACCGATCTATTCACAGAATGTATGAGCACAACGGATGAAGCTGCCCGTCGAAAATCAGAATTACAATTGATTCTGATCATTCATAGGGAATTAATACCTTGGTGCGGTATGGCGTTGAGGGGGAGACCCCTGATGTACGTCGAGCGGCATTGCGATGTGTTGCAAATGCGCTATTACTGGACCCCAAAATGCGCCAGGTTTTTGTGGACACGGGATACAGTGGAAAGCTAGCAGAAAAGCTTAAGGTACGCCCGCAGCAGATAAAATGCCGATATCAAAGCTGATACTAATATGTGATAGACCGAAGACTCAGAGGACGAGATGATTACAAGTCGGATACTGTTCTACGCGACCTATAACACCACACTGGACTTTAAGGATTTGATCAGGAGCCACGCATTGGGGGAGAATGTCAACTACGTGAGCAGATTGTCAGCCTCGAAAGTTGATGTGCTGTGCTGACCAATATAGCAATTGAGCCGTCATGGGAAGCAGTTCCCGAAGTCAGGGAGAAAGCCATTGTCACAAATGGACGAACTCGCATTGTCTGACACACTCAAGTTGATATACAATATTTCCAAGATGTTTCCAGATCTTGCTACCGAGTTCTCCCCTTCCATCCCTCATATTTTGAAGATTATATGTCGCATTGATATCCCATCAAAGCCCCTAGACGGGTTAGTTGGTGGCTTGCTCAATGCATTGTCGATCCTTGACTTGGAGGAAAAGAAAGGCAAGGTTTTCGAGAGCAGTCCCCTCTTTCCGACATTCGACAACAATTGCAACGTGGATAAGTTGGTCAGCATCTTGGATCAGGCCATATCCTTATATAGCCCTAAGGAGCTAGAGGCAGCCGCAATCCCGTTGCTTTATTCACTTATCGCTATCCACGAAGTGGCGCCTGATGGACCCCGCAAGCGTATGCAGATGCTTCTTCTGCCCGAGGACACTGACCGAAGCCTGCCAATTGGACACTCCGAAACACTTTCTTCAAAACTTCTAAAGCTCTCGACAAGCCACTTTGCCGATCTGAAGGTTACAATTTCCGAGCTGATGTTCGTTCTATCAGATAAGGATGCAGAGAGACTCACTAAGAACATTGGCTACGGCTTCGCTGCTGGGTTCCTGGCCGCGCGCGGCATTGAGATGCCACAGAGCGCAAGTGAATCATATTCGGTCGAAGACGGCGCTGAAACCGCACGCAATCCAATCACTGGACAACGGTGGGCTGCTGAACCACAGGACTCCGGTCCGCCTATGACCATGGAGGAGAAGGAGCGCGAAGCAGAGAGGCTCTTTGTGTTATTTGAGAGGTATGTGCATTATAAGCGAGCTATATAGTGCCCTTGCTAACAAATATAATAGGGCCAAAGCAAATGGCCTCCTCAATGTCGAGAACCCCGTGACTCAGGCTCTCCACGAGGGAAGATTTGAAGAACTGCCGGATGATACCGATAGTGACTAGGCATTAACTTTTGCTCTCATTTTCAATATCACAATATCAGCTTTTGATCTGGAAGCGTGGCTTTTAGGCTTGATTCACTGCATATACGGTCTATGACTATACCCTACAATGGCTCTATTACGAGGCTGGCATCAATTCAAGATATATATGGGAGATTTTAGCTCGGTTCAATAAATTCAAAAGACCTGGCATAACAGCGAATTAAATATAGTTGAGCTGGACATGACCCTGAAACGATTTATACCTGTGGACTGCGGGCGGAATGACGTTGTGCACAGCGGAGAGTGCTCTCCGCCCGTCAAAAAAATTATGCGCGGGGCACTGGACATTCCCACTTGCTTTCCTCCCCACTCGTCATATCACTGCTTTCTTGTGTTCTTATTTCAAAGCATTTAGTTTACACACAATCGTCAAAATGTCGAAGCCATTCAACCCCGAGGAGGCGGAGAATCTGGAGGATGTACGACCCCGCGTCCACATGGTCTACAGACCGAAGAACTTTGATCGCTAACAATCGCAATAGATGGAGAAGCAGTTCGCCGTCAAAGGTCAGTCACGCCTCGATTTACATCCCATTTGCACCTTCGGACAAGGTCAGAATATTGACATATTGTCACATTGCAGCGGTTGAACACCTCATGACATACTGGGCTATTTTGGAGAAGGTCAAGGGCTCGCAGCTTCGCTTGACCAAGCAGGACGATGATATCTACGAGTCATTCATGGAGGCATTCCCCGATTTCGATCCCGCCGGAACCCTCGTTGAGGACGAGATGAAGAGCAAGGCTGGTAAGGACAAGTGGCGCACCTGGATGATGAAGTGGGACAAGGTCGAGGACTTCAACTTCGGCACCATGATCCGTACCCGTGCGGATGCCGAGTATGACCAGGAGACCACCATTTTCGGTGTGCGCATGCAGTTCTACGCTGTTGAGATCGCTAGGTAAGTGCCGATTGGAGCCGGCTGAGTCACGCGTGGAAACTGACGGAGTCCTCTAGAAACCGCGCCGGTCTGAACGATTGGATTTACGAGAAGTCCCAAAAGGCCAGCTCTTGATTACAAATCGTGTCTCCATGCTGCTGTTTTTGAAATCGAAGACAGTTCCATATCCGGGCTGATCTGGCCCACGGCATTTTGCCTGTTTCCTTGTGGCGCAGATGGTGAATGGCCTCGAGGCTGTGATACTGATTGCAAGACCTCGCAGTATCATGGCTTGAGATTGATTGTTACGATAGAAGTGTGATCATGTCCCATAAATATGTGGTTCTGATTTAGCATCGGACCACCAATCGCGACTCAAATGTAGATTGGCTGTCTGGTCGGACTTGGACAGTCTTTCGATATTGCGTCCGAAATATACCCTGAATAAAATGTCTTTTTCATTGGTCTTTCCATTATATTTTTGTTTATCTTCCCAAACGTTATTTCAGGGTTGTCTTTCTGGGCAGGTTTGCTAGGGCCCTCATTACAGCGTATCAAACATTGAGTAAGTCCACCTTCTAACTCTAGGTTTCTTCGACTGTTAGAAATCTGCCATCAACAGTTTAGGCTGTGAATGCTATCTCAATGTTGAAGCCGATGAATGGTACTTTCATCCCACGTGCCTCGCAACAATGCCAGAGCATGGGTGTCTTTGTTCGCCCCTCTTCAATGTTACCCCATTGGGGAATTTCTTAGTATTGTTCTTCCTCTGTCGATTATATTTGTGAAACCACACTCAAATGGCCCGTCATGGCTATTTTATGTCGATCTGTATCCTCTTCCTTCTTGCCTTACTACTATGCTACTATAGCGCGGCAAGAAAAATCTCCACAAGTCATATGAGGCCTTTAATGTGACGTTCGAGCCTTTCGCTAAAATGTTTCGCAAACGCAAGACTTCCGATTGGAATGACACCAACAAAGAAAATATCCCCGAAAGCAATTCGGGATGGAAATCGCTCTTCGGATTCACGACTAGAAGGCACCTACCGACTCTCATATTCGGGTCTATCTTCGCCCTGGTTGCTAGTCTTGTCACACCGGCACTTGCGATCTTTCTTGGCAATGTGTTCGACTCGTTTACCTCTTTCGGTGCTGATCACACTGATTCCAAAGGGCTTCATAGCCAAGTTATCACAAATTGCTTTGGAATGATTGGACTGGGAGTAGCTGGTTGGTTTTTGAACGGTGCATACTATGCTCTATTCGTTGCATTCGGGGAGATGCAGGCCTCTGTTATTCGCAGCCAAGTGTTTCTAGAATTACTAAATCGCGACGTTGAGTGGTTTGAGGCCAAAACCGAGGGCTCCGGGGCTTTGCTATCGGGAATTCAAGCGTGAGGGTGCTACTATACTTACTGAGATCTTATATCTAACATCACATTGTTTCCAGACACATTCATGAAATGCAGATGGCGACTTCGCAGCCACTCGGACTTATACTGCAATACTCGTGCCGTTCACTGGCTTCACTGGGGCTGGGCTTCTACACATCATGGAGCCTCTCTCTGGTAACTCTTGCAGGCATTCCCATATTCTCGGCAATTATCGGATTTCTTTCCTCCAAAATGAAGTTTAGCATTACAGCCCAACAGGCTGAGCTTACCGAAGCCTCAAAAGTTGCCAACAATGCTATCACCAATATCGACACGGTCAAATGCCTCAATGGGCAAGCCTTCGAGCATCGGAACTTTGCTGAACGCATTGAGAGATCTGCTACACACTACCTTCGACAAGCGCGATACAATTCTCTACAAATTGCTATCATTCGGTTGATGATGTTCGGGATGTTTGTTCAGGGTTTCTGGTATGGCAGTTCGCTTGCACGCACCGGGAAACTCACATCCGGAGAAGTGCTCAGAACTTTCTGGGCCTGTATGACCGCAGCTCAGTCTATCGAGCTGGTCTTGCCGCAGATGATTGTGATGGAAAAAGGAAAGGTTGCTGGTGCAGCCTTGAAATCGATCATTCAAAGCCGGAAAAAAGACAAAATTGTGAGCGATGTAAAGGGAACCCGGTATCCGGAACACTGTGAAGGTGATATTGAGGTCAAAAACGTGGGTTTAAAATCCTCCCATGGGTTTTATCCGGACGCTAATGAACATTTATAAAGGTGTCGTTCTCATATCCTAGTCAGCCTGACCAATGCGTACTCAAACCTTCGAGCTTTTTCTTCCCCGCTGGAGAAACGACGTTTGTTATAGGGAAAAGCGGCTCTGGTAAAAGTACACTCAGCCAACTGCTGATGCGGTTCTACTTGCCAACCTCGGGTGAAATCCTGATTGACCGCAACCCAATGCAAGAACTCGACACCAACTGGATCCGCAACAACATCACTCTTTTAGAACAAAAGAGTGTTCTCTTCAATGAGTCTGTGCTTACAAACATCGCCTTCGGTCGCCAGGACCATGCAACCGTCACTGAGGAAGATGTCAAAGATCCCATCGAGTTGGCCATGCTTGAGAACACAATCGACGGTCTCCCCAAAGGAATCGACACTTGCGTTGGCCCGGGTGGAAGCTTTTTGAGCGGCGGCCAAAGGCAGCGAGTTGCAATTGCCAGAGCGAAATTACGTGACACGCCAATCCTGATCCTGGATGAACCCACCAGTGCTCTTGATCACACCAACCGAGTCTCAGTGATGAAAGCAATCCGCGAATGGCGGAAAGGAAAGACGACCATCATCATCACTCATGATATGTCACAAATTATGGAACAGGATTTCCTGTACATCCTCGAACAGGGTTCTATTGTGAACTCCGGTTACAGGTATGCCGTCGAGGTCAGTCCGGGGAGCGAAAAGTATTTCCGTACCAAAGGCGATGGTCGTCTGGAAACCAACACCCAGAACAAGGGGGACATTCCGCGGGAGAGCTTGGACACCTTAAGACCTCCAACAGCTTTCTTGGGACATCGTCGGTCCAGGACATCCTGGGCTCAAGGCCACATTCTCCCGAGCTTTCGCTCTGGCTCGCTGGACTTGACGACGAGAAGGAATTCGGAACATGTCGTCAGGAATTGGGATCCCCCCTGCAAGATTGCAGCCAACGTCTTTCTTTCATGGCAGAAGGACGTGATCCTCAACCGGACTTGAAAGAAATGACTATTCCTACAGAAGAAGTCGAAATGGTTTACATTGATGATCAGGGCTTGAAGTCGGATCCATGGCCCAATGAACACACCGCGACAGATCAATTGGAAACGAAGAGCAACCGAAGATCACATGGCCGCCGCAAGAAATCAAAAGAGCAGCACATACCGAAAGAAAGAATGACTCCGCTTTCTCAAATTATGGGCACCATTCTGTCGACTTTGACGATGAGACAGCGAATCATCCTCTTCCTAGGATTCACCGCAGCACTGGCCCATGCAAGCGCAACCCCAATATTTTCATATTGTCTGTCGCAGCTATTTGGAACCTTCTATGCTGGAACCAACAGTGGACATCTGGCGATGACCTGGTCACTTGCTGTACTAGGGGTGGCTTTCGGCGATGGCCTTGTGTCCTTTTTCATGCATTACTTCCTAGAACTCTGCGGTGAGGTTTGGCTGGATTCTTTTAGAAAGAATGCCTTTGAACGCATTCTCAGTCAACCACGTGCCTGGTTTGAGAAAGATGGTAACGGATCTCTCAGACTCACATCATCTCTTGATCAGAATGGAGAAGACATGCGAAACCTACTAGGCCGATTCGCTGGTTTTGTGGTTGTCGCTGCATCAATCACTGTCATGGCAATTATTTGGAGTTTGATTGTTTGCTGGAAGTTGACACTTGTTGCTATCTCCTGTGGGCCTGTCATTTATGTTATCACTCGAGGCTTTGAGGGAACAAATGGATTATGGGAAAGACGGTGCAATGATGCCAACAATATCGCCGCCGATGTCTTTACCGAGACCTTTACAGAGATCCGTACCGTGAGAACATTGACGTTGGAAGGTCACTTCCATCGCAAACAAGCTAACGCGATCGCGCGCTGCTTGTTGCTGGGGTTGAAGCGTGCCATGTATACCGGCATGCTTTTCGGTATGGTAGAATCGACAGTCATATTTGCTAGCGGTACGCTCATCCATTCTTTACTTGTTTGCTGTTATTCTGACTCGCTTGAACAGCCTTGATATTCTATTATGGATCGGTGCTCGCAGCATCTCGCGAATTCAACGTCAACGATGTGATGACGGTATTCTCGATCCTACTTTTCAGCATTGGTTACGCTGCTCAGGTTCTCTCATGGAGTTAGTAGGCCCTGAACCACCTCGAGATACTCTACTGACCCCTGTACAGTTCCCCAAATCAACACCTCCCGCGAGATAGCGACCCAACTTATTGGTCTTGCAAACCTCCCACAAGATGGATCCCACGAGGACCTCGGCAGTTTGACAGTTTCAAAGCTCACCCCGATCAAGCTCACCAACCTGAATTTCCGATATCCCTCTCGGCCAAACACCGTGGTGTTGAAGAATGTCTCGATTTCCATCCCGCCAAACTCCTGTACGGCGCTCGTAGGACGATCCGGTTCTGGGAAATCCACAATCGCGTCGCTGCTATTATCCCTCTACGCAGCTCCGGCCTCTCAAACCGGAGAACCCACAGTGACACTGGGCGGCGCGGACATTCTTCGGCTGCATGTTCCTACTCTTCGCTCACAGATCTCCATCGTATCGCAACAACCAACTATTTTCCCCGGCACCATTCATGACAACATCAGCTACGGGCTGGATCAACATTCACCTCTAGCTTCATCTCATAATGTACGCACCGCCGCTCAAGGAGCAGGCATTGATGATTTCATCTCCTCTCTCCCTCGGGGATACAACACTGTGATCGGAGATGGTGGAGTTGGTCTTTCCGGTGGTCAGAAACAGCGTGTGGTCATTGCACGGGCTCTTTTGCGTCAACCTCAGATCTTGATTCTCGACGAAGCCACATCCAGCTTGGATCCAGCGGGTGCGGAAATCGTGCGGCAGACAGTGCAGCAGTTGGTGGCCGTCCATCAGAGGCTTACTGTCATCATTATCACGCACTCGAAGGAAATGATCGAGATTGCGAATCATGTCGTTGTTCTTGACCAGGGAGCTGTCGTAGAGGATGGACCATATCAGACTCTGGCGAACATGAAAGGTGGCAAATTGAACGCCTTGCTCAGTGATCCTGAGGAGGTCGGTGGTTAAATTGTTTCTAAGGCTCCTGTGAATTAGTCCTGAGATGTACATTTTCGATTTCTTTCTGGTTCCTGTACTTATTTGGTCAATCTCATGCAATTACGTTATCGTCGTTACCAAGCATCAATATACCCAAGTTAATCCGCAACAACAGGTAAATATCTCACTAATATAAGTAATCAAGAGCGTAATGGAGAATACCGATGTGGATGATATATTGATTCAGCCGAGAAGAAAAGCGGTAAAATTAAATCGACTAAAGCGAAGTCCCGCCTGGTCGATTTCAGACCCCCTGCAACCTCTCAGCCTTACAAGCCTCTATTGTACAAACCAAGCGCCTACACCCAATTTACATAGCTTCCACATCAACCGGAGCGACGATGTCAAAGCCAACTCTGATTTTCGCGGCGGGCGCATGGTACCCGCCCACCATCTTCGACCCAATCATCAACGAACTGGCCGATTATACCTGCCACAGCGTCTCATTTCCCTCCATCCAGCAAGCCAGCTCAGTCATCGATCTTCAACCTGACATCGAAGCCGTGAGATCCATCACTCAACAAGAGGCAGACGCTGGCCATGACATCGTCATCATCGCGCACAGTTGGGCTGGGTTACCAGTAAGCAGCGCATTGGAAGGACTGAGCAAGTCAGAGCGCGAAGCAGCCGACCAAAAGGGCGGCGTCGTGAAACTCATCTTCATCGCCGCGTTCCTACCTAGTATTGGCGAGGGTTTGATCGGCGCGTTTGGTGGGATGCCCCCGCCGTGGTATGTGCGCGATGTAAGTTGTCCCGCCGATCTTTAATTGCGACTTGCAAAATGTGTATTGTGACCACTAACATTTATTCCAGGAAGAGAATGGAACTGTCACTGCCAGTGACGCCCTCGTGCTGTTTTTCCATGATGTTGCCGATGGTGCGGAGTGGGTTAAGCTTCTCAAGCCACATTCTTGGGCGACTCAAAATGCCCCCGCTACCGGTGCGGCGTACATGAATATTCCCTCTGTGTATCTTTTGACTGAGGAAGATCGCGCGACTCCGTTGCCGGTTCAGCAGGTGCTGGTGGAGCGGGCTCGACGGAAGGGGGCGCATATTGAAACTGAGAAAATTAAAACGGGACATACGCCCTGGTTGGCTATGCCGGGTCAGGTGGTTGCTTACATTAAGAAGCATGCTACGGAATAAGCGGAGGGAACTGGCTCTTTCTTTGCAATGATGCAGGTCGTCATTCAATTTGCAGATACCTTACTCTCATGTTTATTGCAAGGGATAAGAGAAGAGACACAAAATCATATTGACCTATTTCCGACAAATTCAAGAGAGAGAACAACCACCGAAAATGATGTATATACCAGTGACTAGCATTTACAATATACGACAACATGACCAAATAGCACTGAGATTAACCCATCTTTCTCAAGTGTTGCTCTTCCTGTGCGACAGCCTATCCACAAAGCTCCTCAGCTCACGGAAGCGGCTCGGCTTCTTTCCATCCTCCTTGCTTAGTTCATTCTCCACAGGCTGTTGGACTGGCGTAGCATCGTCCTCGACGACAGACTCCTTCGCAGAGTTACTACGGCCGCCGCCAATAGTGACTGTTAAGAGCTTTGGATTGCCATCAAAAACACTACCAGACTGATCGGGGCCATTGTTAGGCGCAACATCATCATAGGGGAATGCATAGCCCCGAGCATCAAGGTTTACAGAATGACAGATGCGCGAGTAGTGGTTCGTTACCGAGTTCTTGTAGTAGTTGGAAACTGACTCTCCGTTCGGCTGGTTGCTATTAATCAACAAGGTTGATCGATTGAAAGCAGCCGCGAGACGAGCTGTAATGGCGTCTTTGGTGCCGTTCCCAGAAACAGCAAAGGATCCAGTACTGTTGCTGAAGATATCTCCAGTAGACGGCTTGGTGTAAGTAATACCTGGAACTGAGAAGGACAAGATATCGGAGGCAACTTTGGCGGTGGTATCACCAGCATCAGCCTGCGTGTTGACGGTCAAAGTATTGTTGGTGCTATTTGCGTAGTGAGACCAGACTTCATTCACGTAACCCTCGTAGTAATTGTTGAACAAAGAATTCTTGAGGGTTCTTCCCGTGTTGGGAGAAACGGCCCGCAAATTGACCCCGTTTCGCTGGATTACGAGCTGGTCCCAGCCGGCTTTATCTTTGTTGTTCTGTTCTTTCAGAGCATTGCAGACTAGGTCCAGACCATTGGGTGGCAGACCCTTAACGGTCTGGGTCGCACCAGCTCCGTTGGTTAGGGTCATGGCGATGGGCATCGACACGAAATCGACGTAGCTGAGATTCGCATAAAGCTGGTAGTTATTCCAGGTGAATTCGCAGAAGGACCATATCAGATTATAGTTAGGGTCTGAAGGGTTGGATACCGAAGGCTCAACAAGGGCAGGGCCGGGATTCAGCAAGAATGTCAATTTGCTGTCTTGGGAAAACCACAATCGTGCGCCTGCGAGGTGCGGAATGGTGATAGTGGTGGTACTGCCAGATGCACCTAGCGGGATTGCACAATCCTCACCCAGCCTGGCCCCAGTCGCCGGAGGTGAGGTCGGGTAGTAAGCTGTCTTGCCATCCGATCGCAAGAGGAAAAGCGCATTGTTATTATCAAGCGCTTGGCCGGTAATGTAGGCATAGACCGTGTTAGAACCGGTATTGTTTTTCAAAGCAAAGTTCAATGTTGCCATTTTGCGCGATATCAATGCCTTGCGGTGTTGGAAGAAGAATTCAGATGGAGTGAGGTCTTGAAATGATTGGCGCAGAAGCCCAATAAGAAAGCCGTATCAAGATCCACAAGGCTGCCGATGAGGGGTTTGAAGTTGTTGCCGACATTTTAGTTCGCAATAGGGACCATAATATATACTGTCGGTCGACGTCCTTTGTTGAGTTCATGCCAAACTCAGCATCAGGTAGGGCAGGGTGACCAGGACCCTGTGATACAACGTGGCGATGACCTCAAGTTTCTCGGAGGAGGGTGGCTTCAACCCTATTGGAGCGGCTACCTGATTTGTCGATCATCGTTCAGAACAGGCTGGGCGTCAATATCAACAACAGTATATACCAATGTCGATCTAAGCCACTCGCGGGACGGCACAATCATGCCGAGTTTCCAGGTGATCCAGTTCCCACCTGTTCATCTTGGCCTCTTTTATGCGGGGAACACCAAGCTAAATATTTTGTGGAAATGTGGAAAATTGATGAATTAGCGAATGGCAAGGCTGATCAAATACTTGACCTTCAAGGCAACCGATTTATGAAACTCCTTCCTATCAAGGGGGACGCGTGAGAATTTCAGGCCATTCGGTCAGCATCAGGTCATCCACGCCTTAATTCTATTGGTCAATACAACCATTTGATATTACTATACTACCACGAGACGATCATTAAGATTTGGCTCAGCTTTAAAGCATATACTACCTATGTGATTTGGATTTGCTTTTAGTACATCATATGACCGTTAATCCTGGTTTTTATACTAACCCGAGTCACTGAGGCTGAATAACCTCGCAACGCACCGCAGACACCAGAACGCCTAGGAGTTTGAGAAATGATTACAAGGAATGGTTTATTTGAATGGTTTTAATGGGTTTATCTTTTTAAAATTGGTATCTCGTCAGAGGAATATTATATTATCACGCGGTAATAGATGTTTGAAATCAATTCAATCCTAGAACATGATCAGATACTAGCATATCCCCTCTATCCTCTCTTAGTTTAGTAAAAAATCCGATTTTCCAATTCTCTAGAGTTTCCTCAATATACTAGGAGGTAAAACATTAAAATGTTGTTTGCATCAAGCCGAGATACTCATTTCTGTTGAAGAAATATATCCCCCCAAGTTTGTATAACTAGATCTCTTCGATAAGGCTAACAAATATGCAATGAAACATGGTTTTCCAACGCATCTATGAAGTCTAGTCTGAACTATTTCACCTCACGCTTCTTAGAATTCTTTCTATGAGGCTTGTATCCATTCAGATCACTGTGTTAGGTTGTAACGAAAATCCAATATGCTAAAATCCATGTTCAGATCTACTCACATGTCATTGTCTAGCAATATCCAAAAGTAGCAAATGCGAGGATATTTTATCCACGTGTTTTATCTTACGCCTTTACATCTCGGACCAAAACCAGCCGATGAACGTTAAATTGCCTGGGCAAGGCGCAGCACATTCCTTAGCAAGACCATATGTCGACTTCAATTCCGATATTTACGCATACGCGAGATTGAAGCATCACCGGAGATTACCATTCAAGTAGATTGTACCTAGACCCTTTGCCCAGATCTATAACTGGTTGGCTGTCTATAAAAGTTGGTGTTTGTACGACAACGATCAACGGCCAAGTCAGTTTAGCGGGCTCACAGTAGACATTGTGATCAACTTTACTGAAACAACATAAGGAGGACTCTGGGCTATTATTATCAGAGATAAGGCAAACCCCATATGCTACAGTCCTGCGTGGTTTACTCAGCATAAAAATTGGTAAGCCATCTTACAGCCACGAAGTCAAATTTCCTAACCGAAGGAAAATAGGACAAACACATACTTTAGACCTGACGGGCAGGGACTTTACCGGTCCACATGATCTCCAATTTATCCAATGGGGAGTTGGGAACTCAACGGACCCAGCAGACTCAGCTATGCCCAGGAGACAGAGTATATATATCCATATGAATACCGGCTAAGCCGAAGCTATAGATAAAATCGACTTTCGACTGGACATGGACATTCCGCAGATACAGCGGAACAACAAATTATAAACCCACAGCTTTCCATTTAGAACAGAACAGCGGTGGGCTAACAATCGTGTTGTCAGCACCTTAGCATTGTCTTGTCTCAGCAAAATCTGCACGAAACAAAGCCATGATATGGTTGAGAACCAGATGCCTCTACGATTAGTTAGGAGACTGCCCGAAGTATCTCTGCTAGATATCACGCAGGACGATAAATGGCCATTTCACAATGACGCCACTTGGGGCTGGGGAAATACTTGAGCCTCTGGAGCGAAGATCCGCCAGATTTCTGACGTTAGTGTCAGCCCATCTGACATTTACTGCGCCTCCCTCACTGGCTAGTATAAACACCGACTACATCAATTCAGAGATATCGAGGGAAATATGGTCCTGGGCAATGCCGTTCTATTATTTCTACTGCTGATATAGATATCGGGAGCCACGGCACCACGGCACCACCTCATACTTCCAGCACCACGTCATGGTCTGGACTAAGCAACGCAAATCAAATTTAGGATATGATCGAAGAATCATGATACAGAATTCACCTGAGGGCATGAGTTATCAGAGCCACTTTGTGTGGCACGGATCTTAATAGACAGACACCGGCCACGCCGGGATAAAGCCGAGCAGCAAGATGGCGCACTGAAGGGGGCATCCGCTATCTTCCATATCAGTATTTCCGAAAACTACCGAGACAAGCTGGTGGAGACTGATGATCGGGGGAAGTCTGATCGCCGTTGAGTTAGGGGTGTTTCAGAAATGGCAAGGAGAGATGAAAGAAAGCGATATTCCAATCTCCAAATTGCTCTAATTTACATCTCACAACTTGGGCCGAGATTAGCAGGATGGTTTTTTCCTTTTTTTTTCCTTTTTTTTTCTTCTTTCATTGCGACATGATCACAGCGGGGCCTAACTAATGAGCCCTAACGGTGGGCATTTGACGATTTCAAGATTTGATATTTCAGATGTCTCAGCACGATCTCATACCGGTTGGTCCCGAACGCAAGGGCGTATCTATTTTTATATAAAGGCTTCCCTTGCTGCGAAGGGACTCGTGCAGTTGATCTCCCACGATCGAAAGTCAATAATTGAAATCAATAATGAAGGCAATAAAAGATTGGAGATTGGAGATGAGTACGGAGTCAAGGGTCCAGCCCTGGAGGCGAAACGTCTAGGGATCTTCGAACCGATCGCTGTGGAAACCATTCAAAACAAGAAATAGTGAGGATGAAATGATTGGTAGACAATTGGAGACAACAGAAGAAGAAGAAAAAAGAAAAGAAACGAAAGCCTCTGAAAGGAGACAAAAGCGAAGACCAGCCTCCACCAACCTCCACCAGCCTCCACCAGCCTCCTGGGGCCACGCCAGCGTTTCAATGCTTGGCGTATAATAATAGCACAGCCTCTTAGGGCCCTAGGCATCGCCCTAGGCATCTTCTGAAGGCTGACGTTTTCTCTCATTCCTCGACTCTTTTGAAATCCGGGGACTTTATTCCATGCCTTCCATTAAAGATTTCTAGGCCCAGTTGCCTGTCCAACATTATGTACATTCCACAAAAACGTCAAAATGGCAAAATTGGCAAAAATGATAATAAGAATACCATATTCATTATCGTATGTTGATTTCCGAGCATTCCGACCCCTATGTTGACTGACTTCTTGTATGCTAGTGTGCTGTGAGCATCATATTTGCTATCGCACTCTGTGTGGGCACTTATTTCCTCTTACGCTATCTACGACAACATCACTACGAACCGAAATACCTTCCAGGCAAATTCCTCAAGCGGAAATGGAAAGGATGGGGCCCAGGGAAGGCATCATATGGCCAGGTCCCGAATCAAACCAGTGGCCAAGATACCTCTTATCCTGGAGCTGGCACAGCACCAGAAATGCAGATCACTGATGGCGTCCGCCGCGATACCTCGATCCGTTCGATTATGACCCTACCCCCTTATTCCCAAAGCCCAAAGCCGACCGAACAAGTCATCGCCCGAGAGGGTGAACGCGGTGGGATGGATATGGTCGTGGAATATCCGGAGACGGCGGAAGAACAGGAAAATCGCCGCGAGGAACAAATGGACTCGATGTACCAGATTCGCCTGCAGCGCCGTCAGGAACTAGCCGATCGTGAGGCACGTCGTCGGGAGCGACGAGATGCCCGGTCGCGTGGGGATTCTGCTCGTCTTGAACGGTTGAATGCCGAAGCTCGCGGTCGGACGGAACGTCGCCGTACAGGAACCACCAGTGCTGTCGACGTATCAAGTGTCCTCGCTGAGCATCAGGCGAGAGAGCGGGAACGACGCATCTCCAGTGTTAGCTATGCGGAACTGGGACGTGTCCGCCATGATGGATCACGGCTTCGAGCCGACTCGCACAATTCTGACAATCACGATTCGGATAGCCGACCGCTGTTGCAAAGTGACACTATTAGCTCCACCGCACAATCCTTCGAACGATCCAGCGTCGATCAGTCCGGTACTTCCTTGTTTATGAGCGAATCACATAATTCTACCGAGCTTGAACGACTGACTCTCGCTCCGACCACGACACAAGGCTCGAGTCGACCAGAATCTCAAACTGACGACGGAGATCTGGGAATGCTCAACATTCCTCCCCCTCCCGACTACGAGCACCTGGACTGGGGTGATGCCCCTGCCTATCAAAGCCCCGTTACAGAGCGGAGTGAACAAGCGCGGCAGCTCCCACCTATCGACCGTTTGCCTTCGATCCACGTCAATCTGCCCAGTTCGAGTACTGTGTCTCCCGTGACGCCGACTCAGTCCGAATTCCAGACTATCAATATCAACAATGATGGACCTCCAACGCCGACAGAGCGGACCCCCGGAATTCGAATGGTCTCAACGGGATCGACAACTACCACCCGTGATCCACCACCCATCCTCCATGATTCGACCACTCCTGAAACCAGCCATTAAGTGACCTTATCAGGAAAAGACTCATAATATACCGCCCAACACACGCACGACTCACGACCTGTATTAGCATTAGTCTCGGGGCTTTCGTCCTCTCTCTCGTTCGTCTGATTTTCTCCTTCCCCCCAGCGACTTTCCAATTTATGTGATTTACTCGGCTAGCAAGGCGTTTTGAATTTAGGTGGCTAGGTGGCTAGCAAAGAACATTGCTATAAATATATACGGGGTTGCTATCAATGTATCTACAACATCCAATATATGTGTGAAATGGAGATCAATAATGCACTTGACTTATATTTGCCTTCCTACGCGTGTACACTCCGCCACGCCTCCCCGGCCCATCTCCAATACCCATCCACACATCCATACAGCCATGTCGCACACCACCAAGTCACGCTAATGTTCGAATTAACCCAAGACGAGTTCTTCGTCTACTCAAGCTCTTCTACGAAGCAAAGGCCCGCCTCTGGTTTCCACCGCACTCCCGTTACTTCACCTGTGGGCACATCGCACCAAAATCCTTTTATGGACCCGATAAAATTGTGTACGGAGATGTAGTAAGATACAAATTATGAGAAGAGAGGGTCAAGCTAATCAGCTAGATATGTTCAACTTTCCGCTGCGCAGGCATATTGGTTCACTGGGCGACCAAAACAAGAACAGCTGTATAAGTTGCAGCAACATAATTATGAACCTGTTCGACACGCAAGCCCGCACTTTCCGCAAGTGCCTCCCACTGGTGCTTGGTCCGCTCTTTACCAGCAAAGGTCATCATGGCAAGATCGGCCACGGCCGACTGCCAGTTAGCACCAGTATCCGGCAAGACGGCTTCATCGATCAAGACCCGTGAGTCGGGGCCCATGGCGGCATGAATGTTGCGGAGTATCGTTGCGGCTTTGTCGTCGGGCCAATCGTGCATGATTCTACGGAGATAGTAGAACTTGGCGCCTTGATTAAAGAAAATGTCAGCCTTTGATACTATCTTCCAGGGTTGTATCCAATATGGATAAATGGAGACAAACCAATGATAGGCTGCGGTTGGAAAAAGTCATAAGCTTCAGCCTTCACACCATAAATGGGAGCGAGATTTTTCACTGCTTCTGGCAAGTCCTGGAGAACAAGGTAACCGAGGAGATTTGGATACTTCTTTCCAAGCTCGATACATTGATGGCCATGGCCGCCACCAACATCGACGAAGAAGGGTTTCTCCGAAGCCGATGGGGTGGATGAATCCTTGAATGAAATCTTACGGGCTTCATCATCAAACAGTTTGAATCCCTCGGTCCATTCTGATCCTTGAAGTGCAGTCATGATCTTTTGCAGGTTTCCGAAGTGCTTGGGGTTCCGGACAAGCCACTCGAATGAGGTGAGTTTAGTATTGTGGGCTTTCTGGAATGGGGTGTTGGTATTGATGGTGACATCTTGATAGTTGTTTTCAGCAAAGTATTCAGGCATTGCTTGCATGACAGGCCCAATCGTATCAAATCTATAGTTGTATCAAGGATGCTAGGTAAGCAGGGATATTCACCAGGTGGGGATACTATGTAGCTTACCCGTGGTATATCATAGCCTCGCCCTTGGGGTCAGCCAAAACATGAGTGATGCTGCTTGCAGTGTACTGATTGACTCCTGTCTCTTCAATCATGTCCACTCCAGCTAGGTAACGAAGGATTCTCTCTGGACAGGACAATTGTTTTAGAACTCGAAGTAGATACGGCCGTCTCAGAGGTAAATACCTAGGAATGGAGGAGACGCTCCAGTCAGATCCGCAAGTTGAGTGACAGTCAAGGGTTTATCACTTTTTATGAGATAGCGAAGGAGCCCTAGGTCTGCACTGGTTCGGAGCATCGCACTCGTTAGTCCCTACAACTGTCAGCACTTTAGATGACCCCGAGATGTTTACATGACCACGGACCGGTACTGCACACTCCAAGAGCGTATCGTGCGGAGATTGAAGTTCAACCTTCACTTGTTTGAGTGCCCGAATGATGTTCAACCGACCAGCTTCATCGGTGTTTTGGGCCATAGCATGGATCTGAGCAACGATGGAGTCCATAATAACACAAATAACGTAAAAGAATTCTTAGGTTAAAAAAGGAAGTGAGGAAAAAACCGAAACTCATGGGACATTATGAACTTCCTAGTGAAAATAGGCTGTTATATACCCCCGTTTCACACATAATTCCTTCAGTAGAAATCCACGGAGGCCGCGGTACTTCCGCGGATTCGCCGGGCTTTAATTGGTCAACTTCATCAATGACATCTGGCCCCCATTTCACCCCTCTCGAACTCCCAGGCCTGAACAAACACTGCCTCAATAATATCTAGGATTAGGGATGCATCGAATTGAGAAAGAGCGTGTTAGATCTTCGCGCTCGCGACCTGTATCTTGTCACTTCTGTCGATCGAGAAAGTTGAAGTGTAATCGGCAATTCCCTTGCTCCAACTGCACGAGCCGGGGCAAGACTTGTCAGCTCTATCCCACTACAGCATTATCTGCCAGTCCTCAGTACCAGGCTGATGGATTGCCAGGCAATGACCATACAGATGTACTGGCCCGCTTACGGAGGCTGGAAGAGATAGTGATCACCAATGGACCAGCGTATAGTCCAGTAATACAAGATACTACCCAGACTTCGTCACTCCCTTCTCCTCCTGATCCAATATCAAATCAACCATATATTATTCAGGGAGGACAGTCATCTGCAGCGACTGCGACTTGGCTGGAACGCGAGATCACATCGTCAGGCTCACTGGTAGGCCTTATCTTGATGGGACCAAACGATGGGAAATTGATCGCTGACAAAAGCAAAAATGTACAGGGTCATCTTTTAGAGAATGAGATTGAATTCAGAACTTGCCCCATTCGTAATGCTGTGGGACCTGAACGAATGGCATATCAAGCCCAACCCACGAAAAGATGCATCTGGCTGCCACTTCACAACGAAGCGAAAATAATACTAGAAAAGTATATCGCAGAGATCACCTTCCTCCATCATGTGGTTCATGTTCCCTCGGTGCGTACCATGGTAGATGAACTCTATTGTGGCCTGAGAGAAAGCAAGCCGGTCAAGATTGGATACGTTTCATTGCTCCTCAGCATTCTCGCCAGTACCACCTCATTCTGGACTGAACGCGATATGTGCAACCGCATCTTTTCGACTGCTGAAGAGGCAGTTGCGCAGTCTGTACAGTGGATGAGACTTGCGATGGAGGTGGTCGATTACTCGCGTTACAAACACTTTGAATCAATACATGATATCCAAGCGATGATCATTATATTTTTTGTGACAACCAACATCGTGGGAATTACATCCCAAGCCTGGCATATGATTTCCACTGCCATCTCATTTGCAAGACAACTATCGTTGCATCGAATCGACTACCCAGACAATTCCAACCTGGATATGCCTTCACCTTCCTCTGTGGAAGCAGAGATATGTAGAAGGGTGTGGTGGTATCTCGTGGCGTCTGATTGGTAAATTTTCTTCTCCCTTTCCCCTTCTTATAAGAATGTGAGTTCATTCGATAACAGGCAGATGTCACAGATACCCGGCCCACAGAAGGGCACGTATTCAATTGATCCACGACACATGATGACCAACAAACCTTGCAATGCAAATGATGAAGATATTGTAGACGGGATGGTTGGAGTTGAAAAGCCACTCACTCATCCCACATCGATGTCGTACTATCTCCAAAGGATTCGATTGGGCGAGTTTTGCCGCGAAATCGCAGATTGTGCCCCATTTGGAATGTCCGATCCAGGTGGCCTGGACTACGAGCACACGAAACAGATTGACATTAAGCTTTGTGAATTTGCTGATAGTCTGCCCTCGTTCTTTTCTTTGGCCTTTAGATCGGATGAGCTGCCAGAATCCGATCCTCGGAGATCTCCCGGAATAGTCATCCAACGATACAAAATCAATTTTCTGCTGCATGCGCAAAGGTGCAGATTCCACTTGCCTTACTTGTCGCAAGCGTCGAAGGATCCCGCATATGATTACTCACGCAAAGCATGTCTGGAAGCTGCTCGAATGGTGATTCGAACCGAGCGCCAACTCTCGGTTGAGGTGATTCCCTTTGTTGCGGCGCGCCTGAAATTCCCAGGCTTGCTACATTGCATCGGCGTGGCGATTATCGTTCTCCTCATAGACTTTTGTGGGAGTGGTCATCCACAGGAAAAGGACATAACGGAAACTTTGGAGGCATTTTCGATTCTAGAAAATGCGAAAGAGAAATCTCCTCTTGCAGGAAAGCTGCTTGAAACTTTGAAGACCGCTCTTCGCCGGCACAGTGCTTCGGGTTCAGCCATTGAGGGAAATACAACAACGCAATCCACCGCTCAAGACCTCCTCGAGACTCCGCCAGGGCTTTCCTGTGGTTCTCCGGCACCCACAAGCATGGTATATCCGACAAGCAGTAACATCGATACCTTCCTAATGGACCCTACTTTTCCTGCTCTAGATGATCTCTGGCAGGTATTCGATGACAATGTGGACCCGGGAACAGTAGACTGGAACAGCTTCTTTGCCGAGTCGGATACTGCATTTCTGTCTATGTAGTATTAATAGTAATTAATCAAAGGACCGGTCTCGGCATAGGATTTGAAATTCGCGGCTGGTTATATACCATTTTGCGACCGATTGATGGGCTTGTATAGGGAATAATATTACCTGGTTCCTAAAAGGATTCTTGCTTTTCCCCTGCACAGGGACAACTGCCTCTTGTGTCAGCTTCCAGGGATCTTTACCGTATGATATTACCAATCTACGGACTATATTGTACAACATGTGTGGTACAACGTCCACGGGTACATACATAACAGGGTTAGTGGGGCTCTAGAATCCTAGCAGGGCTCTAGAATCTCAGATTATGGGCCTTATTGTGCGATGATCGTCTAAATCAAATGCTCCAATATACACGCGTTGTCTGGACTGTTGTACCCATCTACTGTGGAGTAAACTCAATCGTACTACTACAACTAAGAAGTGTATAACGGTTCAAATAGTGGGTAATAATTCCACAATGAGAGACTTTTATGTTAATGTGCCATGGTTGAGCAATATAAAAATAGTCGGATGTTGTCGTTGGTCGGCCGGGAGTTCCACTTCCATATTGTTCAATGATGATTAACTGTCGGCTTCACACCCGTGGACAATCCGATCCAATCTCTCGGTGTCTTCTTTTGGTGTTCAGCTTTCATCATACTTATGATATGGTGCTTTATGTTGTAAGTCTCTACCCATATTTGTTACACAGCCCACAGTACGAAGACGTATAGGGGTCAGGCGTCAAAACCCAATCTTGGGGGGGATGTTGATGCCTTAATGCCTGGATTACCACCGCTTCATACACCGCTCTATACAGTGTACTGTAAATTGTTAATACATCAACCTGCCTAAATGAAGCTTTTTGACACCATAAACATAAGGCATCCACGGATTTCTGGGTGGTTCAAGTCCGAAAAATGAAGCTTTTGACCTCCATACAAATCAATTAAACCGGCCAAAAATATGGAGATGTCTGATTTGTATGGAGGTCAAAAGCTTCATTTTTCGGACTTGCAACCACCCAGAAAATGGAGATGCATTGATTTGTATGGAGGGCAAAAGCTTCATATACCCTACCTCACAACGCTGTACGTTGATTATTAAGGCACGTGTAATAGTAATTCATGTATTTATTCTTTTCTGCCGTTCTAAAATAAGGCATTAAGGCACCAAGGTCCTCTAAAACTGGGTTTTGACGCCTGACCCCTATGCGTCTTCGTAGCCCACAGTCATTGATTGTACAATATAGTGGCAACCATTCTTTGTATGTGTATCACAATTTTACCTCCACTCTATGACTACACTGAAGGATACAATGGATGTAGTATGTAAACTAGAATAAGAGACACTAATCAGACATCTGCTCTTGTTAGTAACAAAGGCGTCTAGCCCTATGGAACCATTTTGTATCTTGTTAATACTACTTTACAATAGACTCACTCCATATGGTGGTAGAGGTTCGAGTAGTAACTATATAACATGAGCATAAAAGGATCACACCTGTGGGAATGATTGTTTATATGTAGAATATATACTAACTGCTGGATCAAAGACTGAAGTATTCGTTAGTATCTTGACCCATATAATCCCTTACTATCTAGCAACAACAATGGGACTTAGTTGAATGGTTTAAGTCTCTTAGAGAACTCAAATAGGCAGTGATCTATGGGAAAATACACGTTGCCACTTTCAACCTAGTTACGTGGATTTAAACACCAGTCCACATACCTCTCATACTCCGCCAGTGACCATTGTCTGTCTCTTAATATCCTGCTTTAAAGTGGAGAAACAAGCACACTCTTGTACTCCATCTTGCTCCACATCTCAATGGATTGGAATTCTGTTCAATATGACGTTGTGTGTGTTGTTACGCATCTCGCTCCGGCTGGTTCGGACCTACTATTGTCTACTCTCCGGGACCAGGGTATTGGTCCATCGGAGATCTTCCCCACGGTCAACGGCATGAATGGCTGACAGCATACAGTTTCTATTGTTTCTTTATGTTTTCATATCGGGGGCTTTTGCCGGTCTTGTGTGCCCTGATGTTACATTCTTCGTTGGTTCGTTTAGAGCTTTAACCCACCGTTTCTTATAAAGATGCACTCTTCCCCAAACTCGTGCCCCCTTAAATAAACCCACATCTACCACCACAACTCTACAGGTAGATATTGTCAGATTGTTTAGCTGTTCCCGATCTTCTACAAAAAAAAAGGGCGTAGTGTCCATTCGCCCACTAACCAACCTATCCACATTCGCCGAACAGCAACAATGAGGAAATTCATTACCCTCGCTGCCTTTGCTGCTGGCTCTAACGCCCTGGTTGGCCGCGCTGATAGCTGCTGCTTTGGCCTCACCTCCTCCGGCGGTGCATCCGGTCAACTTGGCCAGCTGGGTGATGGCCAGAATCGCATTGGCGATGATAGTTTACAACCCGCACAGTACTGCATCGACTCTAACGGCGCAATCACCGATAGCAAGGGCCGTGGATGCATCCTTACCCGTAAGTAATCTAATCAATTCCCGATATCTCAACCACCAAAGGATGTATATCTGACTTGTATGACAGCCCCCACCACTCAACTCCAGTGTGACGAGGGTGTACCTGCTACCCCCGGCTTCTCTGTCAGCTCCGAGGGTATACTCGAATACCACAATAGCCCTGACTTCGTTGCCTGTGCCACAGGCCAGAATGGGGGTCTGAATATCTACACTACCCCTAACAAGATGGACGTTACTGGCTGTGTGAACGTGCAAATGTCTGCCGACTCCTGCTCCGGCACTGGTGCTGGAGGTGGTGGTCCTGCTCCTGGTCCTGCTCCTGGCCCTGGCCCTGGTGCTGAAGGTGGTGGTCCTGGAGGTGGTGGCCCTGCTCCTGGCCCCGGTGCTGAAGGTGGTGGTCCCGGAGGTGGTGGTCCTGCCCCTGGCCCTGGTGTTGAAGGTGGTGGTCCTGCTCCTGCTCCTGGTCCCGCTCCTGGTCCTGGTGCTGAAGGTGGTGGTCCCGGAGGTGGTGGCCCTGCTCCTGGCCCCGGTGCTGAAGGTGGTGGTCCCGGAGGTGGTGGTCCTGCTCCTGGCCCTGGTGTTGAAGGTGGTGGTCCTGGTCCTGCTCCTGGTCCCGCTCCTGGTCCTGGTGCTGAAGGTGGTGGTCCCGGAGGTGGTGGTCCTGCTCCTGGCCCTGGTGCTGGAGGTGGTGGTCCCGGAGGTGGTGGTCCTGCTCCTGGCCCTGGTACTGGAGGTGGTGGTCCCGGAGGTGGTGGTCCTGCTCCTGGCCCTGGTGCTGGAGGTGGTGGCCCTGGGGGTGGTACGACCACTGTCACTGTCACTGACTGCAGCTGCCCTACCTCTGGTCCCCAGCCCTCCGCCCCTGGTGGAGGTGGCGGCGGTGGTCTACAGCCTTCCGCTCCTGGTGGAGGTGGAGGCCAAGCGTCGGTTCCTGGTCCTCAGCCCTCCACCCCTGGTGGAGGCGGAGGTGGTGGAGCGCTGCAGCCCTCTCCTAGCGTGCCTGGCCCATCTGGCGGTGCTGGTATCAAGCCTTCTGCTACGCAACCTGCTCCCGGTGGCGGTGGCGGCGGTGGTACACAGCCTGGCATCTCCGCTAGTGTGCCTCCTTTCTCCGAGAGCGGTGCTTCGCACCCTGGTGGTTCTGCTAGCGTGTCTGCTCCCACAGGCGGCGGTACGCAGCCTGGCATCTCCGCTAGTGTACCTCATGCCACCAGCGGTGGTGGTACGCAGCCTGGTGGATTTACTAGCATTCCTGCCACAACTGGCAGCCCGCAACCCTCTGGATCTCCTCCCGCTACCGCTACCACTGGCGGTGGCCCTCGTCCCACCGCATCTCCCACCGCATCCGTCCCTGCTAGCTCTGCCTCCCCCACTGGCTCAGCCACTGGAACCTCCGGCGGTGCCTGTGCCACTTCCCTCTTGGGCAGTACTCAATCGGGTAACTACGAGATCCCGCACCTTATCGTTCCTGTCGACTCTTCCTCGCCCGACACAGCCGCAGGAAGTGGGCTTAACGGTACCGTGAGCTCGACCATCTCGACTGTGTTCAACTTTGACATCCCGGACTCCGACGCTGGCAAGACCTGCAACCTCATCTTCCTCTTCCCCAAGCTTGAGGATCTCGAGACCTCGTCTTTCAGCTTCAGTGGTGATGGAAATATTAACTTCGCTCAACTTTCTGCCATCGCCGAGTCCACAACATCCTTCAGCAATGTACCATCGGTGGCCCAGGACCTTGCCACCATTACCGTTTCCCCGGGCAACTCCTACCTTGTCTCTACCTTCTCTTGCCCGGCTGGCCAGGCTGTCGCATATCAGATGAAGAACACTGGCAGCACTGACTTCGACTTCTTCCAGGACTGGAACCCGTCTCCGTAAGTTTTTCTTCCACTTTTCCTTTTCTCTGTAAATCAGCTAACCGATATTTCAGTCTCGGTCTGTTCATCACCACTTGTTAAATGAGGAGCCTCTGTGAAAATTGGCAGTTTGCGACTATGGACATGTATTTTTGATGCCTTGTAAACCTCCATTGAGTCATTGACTTCTCGACACCGATATGTATTTTTTTGGATATTTTCCTTCTCGTTTTCTGTTTCATTTGTGTTTGGTCCATTGTCCATACGGAAGTAGCCCTTCTCAAAAGCTGACTGTCTATTTGGTGAATCAGAAAGCATAGCCATATCTGGTTGTTGTTGTAATTGAGGCGCATGCACATAGCGTCAACGTTCCTTCAGCTTGTGTATTAGTACATGAAATTCACTCCTTCCTTTTTTTTTCTTCTAGTAGCATACCATAGGCAAACAATAGGATTGCCAATCTGCTTTCTCCGCCTAGGCCGCAAAAAGTATTGCCCCCCATATGGGGGAGAAGAAAAAAAAAAGAAATTCCGATACCGGGAATCGAACCCGGGGCCGCGGAGGTCATATAATGAAAATCCGCTAGGTTAACCACTACCCCATATCGGATTTTGTATACAAATTGATTGCTGTTTTGACACTTTTAGGTCTTACCATGCCCAACTAGTTAGCATACACTTACAGTTCTAGGAAACAAGTATTTGCGGATCCGCACCCCACCAATATATATATCTACCACCCATGGTTTTCATCTAATTAATGCAAACTACTAATATTGATTTAATATAATAAAAATACTATATTTAGATGCGCATTTTCTTAGAGAATCTAGAAATTGTATTTATATGGTTTAATATTCAGTGTACCACCCGTACGGCCCTCTCGCGCATGGGCTGGGGCCTCGAAGGGACTGCACATATGGTTGGTCTATATGGCTCAACGTACACACTAAATAGGCACGGAGATTTACACACATCGCGCATGTAGAAGAACCTTAGCGATTAGTTTACGCATCAAATAAAGCCATTGGTTTCCTTCACTCTAATTCATCTATAACTCCATCAGGCCGATCTAATACTAGCGTTGTAGCCTTCCAAACTGTATCATCGTCTCCTTCTCTTACCCCTTACCACTATAGCACGCTTACTCTGCCCGAAAGAGTTATCTCACTTTATATAGAAACTTACGCCGGAAAAAGGTAGCTATAACGGCGCGATGGCGGTTAAAACCTGCCATACACCGGTTTTTATTTTTATTTTTATTTTTCCCTCTCAATTCTCTACCTATAACGTATTGATTCAATCATCCAATCGTTATCTCACCAAATTTGTGATCCGCTCATTGATATTGACTCCTTCCTTTCTTCCCTTCTAATCTCTACTATAAAGCCAACAAAACCATGGTATACAACTGAGCCTGACTCGAGTCCAACACAAACTCCAGCATGATTACAATCTTGGATGGATAATCACTCTTTTTCAAACTCCACGTACAACCCTGGATTACACCATATCGGATAGGGACTGAAAATTACTTCTGTAGAGTTACTCTTATCATCTGATCACTTTTGATTTAGCGCTCCCGCTCCCGGGTCTCCATGCGTGCCTGTGCGAGGTTGTATAGCCCCCGGTTCCCCCTAACCCAACATCCTAGTTTCTTTTTTTCTCGGCCCCTTCCCCCTGTACACATTGTAGTTAAGGTACTCATGCTGTAGTTAAGGCAAGCTTAGCACTAGGATACTCGACTAGGTACTAAGGAAGGTTTGAAACCCATATCTCCGTACTGTGGCGTCATAATGAGGCGTACATTGAGCTGGCTGTGGGTTTCCGTTAAAGACGACTCGCCATTTCGCCTACTTTTTGGAATCTTATAGATTATTTACCCTTGTCGGCGAGAATTCAAGGCTCTTAAAAATTCAAATCTTTCTAATTCGAACCGCCGGACGTCCTTGCGCTGCCATGGCCTGTTGTGATTGTACGCATACCCTTTCCAGTTCTGAAAAGGGCGACGAGCTATCGGACCCTAAGATGCTATCTTTACCGGGGGACAAAACACCAGAAGAAGCTCATCTAGAGCGTGAAGGGTGTATCAGGAATCTTCAAGTGTTTCGATACAATCTCTACCAAAAAGAGTCAAAGGCCTACGATTATGACACCTTTGCCGACCTACTCTACTACGAAGAGAAGCTGCGAAGGAATTGTCAAACGGAGATTACTTTACGGCACGATATAAAGAAAGATCCTAGTTTCTGGGACACTTGCGTTCCAAGCTTTGAGGATGAGATGAGCATACTCTACCAAGAGAATTGGATGTTGACACGAGGCTGGTGGTATACCCGTGGTCAGATCTTTGGTATTTCCGCACCCTTACAGCGGGCATTTGAGTTATGGAGATCTAATCCTTCGTGGTATATGCATCCGATTCTTGTTGAAGACTGCAAATCTAGAGGCGGGTGTTGTGGTCGTGATTGTGGATGTTGTCTTGATGCTCAACGTGCAAATAGTTCAGCCGGGGCGCTTGGTGTAGGACACTGCACTCTAGAGTGCGGATGTTGTATAAGATCGCGTGGCTTTGAACTGAGTGAGGAAAGGGAAAGATTTCTTGTTAATCGCTTCTCATTTGATAATCAGATGGATACTATGGAGGATGATCAGATGGATACTATGGATGATCAGATAGATACCGTGGATGATCAGGTTGATCCTTATCAGCGCCGAATTTGTCTTGTCTCTATTTGGGGTTTGAGTGTGGACGAGGAAGCTACTGGGTGCCAGAGAGAGAGAGAGAAGAAAGGTTGATTCCTACAGATCTGTAGAGAGAGCTACTTATCTAGGTGGCCAGCCTAACATCACGGCCTGAGCAATCAGGTGTCTACTACAACAGTATCTAGAATGAGATTCAATTTCAAAATGTTGCTGCTATGGGACTTTCAAATAATGGAAGTGAAATTTGAAAGAAAATAAAAACGAATAATAATAAAAAAAGAAGTACTACCCTACGACTGCTATGGTTTGCCCTCGTTTCATGTACATTAACTATAGGGTCTGATATTGGCCAAAGGAAACCCCCACAAGCAAACCTCCTGGGAGTCATGTCCAATGATAAGAGACTTCTGCCCGGGGATTTTACTAGGTCTGTGGGGTTACACATTCTCTCGGGTTTTATGTGGCGCTCCCGTGGCAGCAGCCGATTCAGTGTATCTGCAATTAAGGCTGACCGTCCCGGCAGCTGGTTATACCTGTAGACTTGCACGGAACCTCTTATATAAATCAAAATTAGAGCCTAGCAGTACCCAAGGTAGCCCTGGATTACTATGAAAAGGACCTGAGGTTAGGAACCTTAGTAGCCAGTTACTAGCAAGCGTATTCGGCGTACCGGGGAAGATTTGAAAAACGAATGGATATTTCGAAGAGATATGTGTTGAGATAGCGGTTCTCTGGATCAAATGACATTTGCTTACAATTTTTTGCTACTAGCACTACTGAGCTAGTTGCCCGCTAATAAAACCGAAGCTAATCAAGCCGATATCCCTCGGGCATTCATGATCCCATGCTCTTTCTGTCTTGATAATTTCGCTTTGTCTTCTTCTTCACTACTATCTATTCACTACCTACTACACATTTTTATATATCTCCGAGTCCCGGAGTATACATCCTCCCTCTATTAGATCTACCCCGGTTGAGAGATACTCGCTACCAATTTACGGGAAGAAAATGGCCCTAGGTTCATGGCAAAGTTGCAACGTCAAATTTAATTAATAAATATAAATATATACTTCCGAGGCTTGAATGAAAGTAAGAAAAACAAATAATAAGATAAACTTCAATATAATATATAGATAAAAGGGATTGAGGCCGAGGTCCAGTTTTGGAAAAGAAAAAAAAGAAAGAAAAGCAAGAGAGAAAATGACGGCCCTCTAGCCCGGTAAAGCTCCTAAAATTGATATTAATTATATTAGCAGTGTTCGAGAATCATTCCGAGATCATCAATGAGGCATAAAAAGCGGCGAAACCGAATGATTCTCTGCCTCGGCAGCACATAGGATAGGAACATAAGAATCCCGAGGCAAAGAAGTCTACGATTATGACTTACAACTAGGTCTAGACAGCGTCAGCGGCGTCAGCAGCGGCCCTGGCCTTGGCCATGGCCCGGGTATTGCTAGCTAGGCCGGTAAACCCAGCGGGGCTGGAGAGGAGGGGATGACCACGGGCACTAGGAGGGCGAGTAGGCTTAGCATCCTGAAGCTCAATTCCGGCCTTAGCATCGGCGGCGCTATAGTGTGAGTTAGCATATACTATAACCTAAGCATGGAGCAACACGTGTAGTTTATCATACCGCTTTTGGCGATACCGCGAGATATCAATGCGGGCATGTGATAGCTTCAAGACCACAGAGAAGATAAAGACGATAGCGAGGAGGGTAATGGTATGGCCCCAATCCCACTGCTCGATCAGACCCTCAACAATGATGAGCCATTTAGCAGGCGGGGGGCGGGGGGTCATCCTCGGTACGGGGGTCGGCGTTCATAGGGGGCTGATGTATCATATTAGTTAGCTATATCCAAATAGCAATAGATCTAGATTTTGTTAAGTAACCAGTATCTTAGAAGAGAAAAGAAGAGCCCTGCCCAGGTGGGCACGGCGAATTATCTAAGCAATGATGTTGAAGTGTCGTTAAATATGACGTCTAAAGTTCGGCTTATAATAGGCAGGTACGCTCCTACCTTACCTCCACCTCCCTCCGCCTCTTGAAAATTGGAATTTTCGCTGAAGTATACCTTTTGGACAATCACATCGTACATCAATACAACATATGGACAAAAATTGGGGTTGGGGCCGAGGTCCAGTTTCTGAAAGAAACAAACCAAGAGAGAAATGGAGAGCCCTCTAGCGCGGTGAAGCTCCTAATGTTGATATTAATCATGTCAGCAGTGTTCGAGAATCATTCCGAGATCATCAAGAAGGCATAAAAAGCGGCGAAACCGAAAGAGTCTCTGCCTCGGCAGTATTTCAATGACTTACAACTAGTTCTGGCGGTGACCCTGACGTCACCCCCTGGCCATGGTCCTGGCCCGGGTATTTTGAGCTGGGCCATCATGCTCATCGGGGCTGGTGGGGGAGCCACGGCCACGGCCACGGGTAGGCTGAAGCTCAATTCCGGCTTCAGGATCGGGTTCGCTATAGTGTGAGTTAGCATATGCTGTAACCCAAGCATGGAGCAACACGTGTAGTTTATCATACTGCTCTTGGCGATACCGCGTGATATAAATCTGGCCATGCGATAGCTTCCAGACCTAAGAGAAGACAAGGACGACGGCAGGAGGGCAATGGTATGGACCCAACCCCCACCGCTCGACCAGACGCTCAACGATGGTAAGCCAGTTTACGGGCGACTAAGTATGTGAGGAAGCTATTGGGTGCTAGAGAGAGAGAGAGAGTAGAAATGTTAATTCCTACAGATCTGTTAGTTAGAGAGAGCTAACTATTTAGCTTGGTGGCTAGCCTAACATCACGGCCTGAGGGACCAGGTGTCCACAACAGTATGCCACCGGCATAGTTATAACTCTGTCATTGGTTCATATTGCAAGTAGTAATTTAGATCCACTCTCACTTAACAAAAGCTAATGTTGCAGCCGCCCAACACCCCGAAGGGGTGTTAGTACGCCTACGCCCCACCAGATACCAGATTTGCAATTTCTCAACGCACTAAAATGCTATTTACAAATAACTCCCACGGCTATCCGTATACCAAGTTAGACCATTGCTATATATAGCTCCTATTGCAGCTTCACGCTCACTTTTAGCTAAATCCCTAGCTTCTTGCTCCCGTTATTACACTGCCAAAGCCTTAGCCTACTTTGCCTATAGCCGCTGTAGGTATGCGTCCGTTGTTTACAGGACCCACCCCACAATATTTCTTCGCTGGGTAATCGTGGCACGGCCTACCACCACCTTCCCGGTGTTGGTGGGCCACACTCGATCCCAAATTTTCAGCCGATCCCAAATTTTCCAGAATAAGTATCTTTTGTATGGCAACTCCATACAAAAGGTACATAAACACGACATAGGTCATAACCTCAACTCTCTAAATAAGCAGACCAGTTTAAGGAAAATTAAACAGACAGGTTATTAAAATAAATCGGGCTTAACCGATCTACTACTATAATAAATTATAAATATATAGTATAGAAGTATAGGAAACTTTTTAGAACTCACCATATATAAGAATTTGTATGTAAAAGATTAACCATTCTCTTACTCCACACATACATTATTAAATTTACTAGAATTGATACTAAGTAATTGAGGCCTTATTTACACTATGTATATCTTCCTATATTTTTCCTAACTAGTTTGAGGGATGAGAAAATTGGGGTTATGACTATGTCATGTTTAAGTACCTTTTGTATTAAGTTGCTATACAAAAGATACTTATTCTGGAAATTTGGGATCGAGTGAAAATTTGGGATCGAGTGTGGCCCACCAACACCGGGAAGGTGGTGGTAGGCCGTGCCACGATTACTCCGTAAAGGAGTTGATATTGGGTGACGTATTTGTTGATTCGGCGGGGAGTGGCTCCCCCGACCCAAGTAGAGGATCACCAGTGACGGGGCGCTAGCGCCGGCTGGGCCGGCTTTCCCCGGGGCTCATATAGAGAAACCTCCCCGCCCAGGGCTTCAAAGGTATTGAGACTGGGTTTGTCAGATGCCATGAATTGTTGTGAAAGTGCTTCATGGGTTGGAGACTGGACAGTAAATCATGGTGCTGGAGAAAGGGCTATGGCGCTGTCTCCGCGTTGATGCTAGCGCTTATGCCGGTATTCTCATTCGGTATTGGTGGATTTATTACTGAGGCTATTTCGATCTCCGTGTCCACCGATTCAGCTGGTCGGGTTCAATTCTTCATTTTCTTCAAGTCGGCTGTCGGAATCATGTTATGTGCACAATGCTTGCAGGTTCACCGAGCAGGGCAGATCTCAATGTCGCAAATTTCAAATTTATGCCAATCAAGTTAAAGAAAAAAAGATGGAAGAAACCAAGAGCTCAATTGTGGGTTGGCATATGTAGGGGATTGCCAAATTCTCTTCTACTATTATCTATACGAATTTTGCATAATGTTACTCGCGATAGTATGTACCTTTTGTGATCACGGAGAATTAGATTGGCGGTCTGTGGCCGCTATGTAGAGTCGTATACGTGATTTATTCTAGTGCTTCTTATGAAAGAGGTTGGAAATGACGAGATCGAAACATTTGAACCGCCCTGGAGCAAACACCTCAATCACTCATCAATCTACCGAATTACAAAACTATGTCTAAGCATTCACAATCTCCACATCCTCCGCCTCAGGGCCTTTCCATCCTGGGATTTTCGAAGCAACTGGAATTGTGGGAAAGTAGTCTCCCGAGGGAGGTGGGGTTTGCGCGGTACCATCGTCAGAAAGCGTGGACAATGAATCTTGCGCTGGCGTGAAAAGTGAGCTTCCAGTTTGAGGCGACGAAGACCGAGTTTGGTTTTCGGAAGTGGGCCGTGAGCGTTCTTCCCGAGGGATTATTCGGGGTGGAAGTTGCGCTTTGTTCTCAGAAGGCATCACAGGCTCTGAGGGGACACTGTCTTCCAGACTTGGCATCTTTGCAAGGCCTGTTTTCACCAGCTCGGAGATAGATCCGCCGCTCATGACCTTGAGGGTCGGGACATCAGCCTCCAGCTCTTTCAGGAACCAAGCTCGGATGTCAACAGCAACCAGGGAATCAACTCCCTGCTCGACTAATGTCATTGAATCCTCAATTATCTCGTCAACCCTGCGAAGAATGCGCTTGAGATAACCAATGAACGCGTCCCGGGTGACTGAATAGGCTTCATCGGCGGTCTTTACTGACTGCAACTGAACACGCACACGAACAGCTGCTTCATGTGCTTGGACCTCGGAATCGGTATCCTCGTTGAGAACGAAAATACTGAATTTCACATCACGGCGATGAGCATCAGTGACTTGCAAATCCTTAGGGACGTGGTTGATGCCCATCACAACCTGGGAAGGAGAATCATCTGCCTGGCCAGGTCGTCCAGTGAGAATGGTCTCTGCAAAGAGAAATTGCAGGTCATGTTCACTGATGTTGATGTAACCGAGTGACTGGAAGTAATCGAAATCGAATGTTTCGGAGTGTGCAGCATATCCCACGCCAAGAACCGCAGGAATGTTCATTGTCGATCCAGCCACACCGCGCTTGCGTCGTTTGTTTACGAGTGACGTCATAAACTCATTGGCGGCCGAGTAGTTACTTTGTCCACTCCACCCGATGACCGACGAGATACTGGAGGCGACGATGAAAAATTCGAGATCGGTTTTATGGAAAGCTTCATCAAGCAGTTGCGTTCCCAGAACTTTGGGTTTCGTCACCCGGGAAAACTGCTCGAATGACATGTTCGCAAAGAGTTCGTCGTCCAAAACCATGGCTCCGTTTATAACACCAGCGATGGGCGGAAGTGCTGCGGCCATCGAAGCAAGCACGGACTGCAGCGATTCTGGAGAGGTGATGTCCAACGGAACCGTTTTGACAACGGCTTCGTATCGAGTAAACATGTCGTCAACAAAGCGAGCGTTGACTGTAGGTCTGCGGCTTGTGAGAACGATGAAGCGGGCTCCGTGAGTGATCATCCACCCGGCGAGTGATTGGCCAAGTTCGCCAGTCATGCCGACAAAGAGATAGGATCGGTCGCTTCTGAAGATTGGCTGGGAGTCAATGGACTGCACCATGGCCAGCGCAGACCGAGAGTTCGCCCAGTCTACCACAGCCAAGGTCTCCCCAGTTGCCTTGTGTGAAGTAACATCAGCTAGGTCAAACACTTCAACCGATGGAAGGTCAAGAGTATCGTCAGAGAATGATTCCTCGAGTACGTTTGCCAAATCGCCTAGAGATGACAGTGTATCAACCTTATGACTGACCAACATCTCCTCGGTGATTTCGAGACAAGACGAAGACAGGCTTGCCACAATTAGATCACGTACAGCGTCGGAAGCCGCGCCGCGCGAGAAGTGCACAAACACGGAGCAGTTTCCCACCAAATATTGAACAACATGAACTGGCGAGCTGGGGTCAAGGTATACACATTGATTGATTTGACTGTTGGTGGTACTGGACGTGACGCACGACCTGGATATTTTTGGCGGAGGCTTTCGCACGAATCGCCGTCTGAACGATGAGGTCGGGCTCGTTGATTATCAGCGTGCTTCCTCGGGAGGTGAGAAACAAAAGACGGTCAGCGATAAGCTGAGCGCCTGCAATCACGAGTTTAGAAGGGATCACATGTGTAGGTACGGGGATGCAAATGTCCTTTGGGACTTGAACAATGGACTGGCTCGAATCAGTCAGAGCCAGAACATGCTTCTGAGTTGCTAAATCAACACCAGCGCAAACACGAACAAAGCCTCCAGCTCCGACAGCGACGCTTTGCAAAAGGGAGTGAGTGACTCGAAGCGTACGCGTTGCTGTTGCCGGCGAGTCGGTCACAGCCAAAGGTGAGACGTGACGAAGCTCAATAGACTGCTCGTTGCCATGTCCAACGCCAACCAATTCGACGTTTCCATTAGATAGGTTAGCGGGAGTCAGGATATTGCGTCGCTGGGAGTTGTATCTGTCATTCTTCTCGCGGTCGGGAACAATGCGAGAGAACAGCTGACGTCCGTTCTGAATGTAAATATCGGGCTCTAGTGACCAGAGCATGGAATCGGTATCCCAGTTAGCCAGAGCCACTTGGCGGAGCACAGTCGCAGATAAATCAGCTGCCGTGCTCGAATGGATTCCGTTCTGCACAGTGGGATCCAGGTCATACATCAGGATGTTCAACCCAGGACTCTCCGTGCGGATGGTGCGAGCAATGCCAGTCATCATGGAGCTGTAAGGCTGATCATCGCGGGAGCCACATGTCACCCAAACCAAGACACCGGCATTCGTGCACGTCTTGAGACTGTCCAGTTTGTCGGCCGTCAAATCTTCCAGGTATGGTCGGTCAAGATCGGCAAGGGACAGAATTGTGACTCCTCTGGACCCCTCAGTCATCTTGGCCAAGTCGGATTTAGCAAATTCCTCCACTGTGTTGAACAGCCGTTTGGACTGGAAGCGACGACCCATGGACTCGTAGATTTCCTGGCTGAGTTTGTACACCGGCCATGTCATTCCACCGATGATTGCTAGGACATCGGTTCGAATTCCGGCAGGGTGGACTTTGACGGAAAGAGGGCTGCGCAGCAATGACACCCGATCATCTACTGCTTGAGCCACGAAAACGCTCATGGGTAGAGAAGCGCTAATGTCGGGACTAACAGTGTCGATTCCAGCAAAGCCCGTGCTTTTGAGCACACTGTCCCACTGTCCCAGTGTAAACAGCGGACCCCAAGGGCGACCCGTTTCAGCTCCAATCCACCAGCCAGGGAGTGTGCCGACGGTCATGCCACTGAACAAAAGGTCTGTGGAAGTCAGCTCAGCTGTGACAAGGAAGCCACCAGGCTTCAGTAAGCGTCGGACGTTCGAGAGAGATGCTTTAATATCAGCAGAAACGTGCAGCACATTTACAGCGACTACCACATCATAAGACGCATCTGAGAATCCCTGGGTTTCAGGCTCCTTCTCCATATCAAACGTCTTGAACGTCATACGGTGGGCATTTTGTTGACCGAATCGCTCTTCAGCCGCCATGAAAAATCCGCTCGAAATGTCAGTGAATGTGTACGATGCATAACGGCCTTCCAGGCCATCCAAAACTGCGGAGGTAGTGGCTCCGGTACCCGCGCCAACTTCGAAAATATTCAGGCCTGGGTGAATCTTCGAAATTTGAGCGAGAACCCGAGCAAGCCAGCGACCGGTCGGACCGGAGCAAATTGCACCTTCTTCGTAGAAAGCACGAAGAAGCCCGTCCTGGTTCATATGTTCCAACATCGAGTTGCCGTCATTGATAGTTTGAACCAGATTATCACCGACAACCTGAACGAAGCGGACATCCTTTCGGTCGGAATAACAAGCAAGAATCTCTTCGATGTCGGAACGATTATCATTGTTGAATGAAGCAGGCACCTTGTTGTGACTACCACTGCAGACCATGCTAACCATGCGGTCGCACCAAGCTAGGTATCTCTGGTAATGTGATAGAAGACCGCTGCGGTCTTTGGCAGGAATTGAAAGTGACGCGTTGCGGAGGTACCAGTACGAGATTCTGTCGACGTCCTTGTAAAGCTGGACTTCATAGTCGGTCAATGTCTCCCCGGCCCCAGCAAGCTGTCCGTCGGGCACAGCAATTGCGTAGTCAAAACAAGAAAACATAGGCATGTCATTCTTGGGCACCGCAGGTGCAAAAGGAACAAGCTTCACACCTTGGAATTGAACGAACGCGTATTTCGAATCATCGGTATAGAGATAAACATCTCCAGTAATGCCTGCTGCTGACTGTTCACGAACAGAAGACTCGTATTCCATGGTGGCTTGTTTGCCGGCATCACCGAGAGGTGTAAAGTACGGGTTGATAGTAATGCTAGAAAATGACACTGGAACGTGTAGAGACCACAACTGGGTATCACCCGGATAGGCCCAGGCCGCAAACACAGTTTGAAGAGCTGAATCCAAGAGCCCAGGGTGAAGAACAAGATCATCATCTTCGGACTGATCGAAGAGGGTACCCACGCTGTACCCGGGTTTGCGACGGATGTCCGAAACGCCACGGAAAGGGTGGGCGTAATTGTATCCCACGCGGGTCAGACTCTCATAGAACTGGTCTTCATCAACAGGAACCAGGTTGTAAGGGTCTGCCTTGGCAGTAGGCAGTGTATCGGCCTTTGAGAAGCTCATTTCCACCAACGCGCCTCCCTTGGCATTCAATTGAATGGTCCCATCTCTCGCCGCGGAATAGCACGCCCAGTCAGCAGTCATTTTGGCGTCTAAGAAAGCCACCGATGATACGCTAAAAATTGTTTCCACGCTCATATCGTCGTCATCGAATGCGATTGCGCGTGGAATATCCAGGTCGATAAGCTTGATCAGGGAAAGTGTAGCACCAGGTCGCAGCTCAAATGCGATACTTTTCAAAGCCTCGAGGGCCATTGAAGCATATCCAGTGGCCGGAAAGACGGTCTGGCCCTGCAGTGCGTGACCACTCAACCAAGGTATCTCGCTTTGTTGCAAGATGTTCCGCCACTGGAATTCTCCTGGGGTGGTCGCCTCCGCGCAAGGAGATCCGAGGACTGCATTTGAGACATGAGCCGGATTCCTGTGTTTGAAGTGGTTTGCAAGACGACTGTCAGTCCAGTAGTCGGTTTGGTGAGTGAAAGGATACGGAGGTAGGTCACCCAGGACAAGTGGCTTTTGGGCATTGGCAGACAGAAATTTTTGCACCGCAGAGAACTGCACGCTGTTCGAACCAAATTGCCTCCAGACGAAACCAAGGGCTTTGCCAATTTCGGCGACATCGTTCTGACCGCGAGCCAGAACACCGGTATATGGTGTGGCGGTCTCTCCATCGATGGTAGCAGTAGCGGGACCTCTGAGAGCAGGATGGGGACCGACCTCAATGGCAATATCGAAAGGACCATTGTTTTTCACTGCCTCCACTAGGGCATCAGCAAAAAGAACAGTCTGACACATATTGTCAACCCAATATTGGTTCGTCACACGAGATTGATACATGACCCCCCATTGTAAACGCTTGAATACCATATAGGTGCGGCCTCTGCTGATTGCGGCAAGGGCTGAATATTGCATTTCTGAAGCGAGTCGTAGTATGGGTCAGCGCAGGAAGCCATGTGAGCACTGTGGTAGGCTGTGTCAACTTTCAGTTTGCGAGCAAACATGCCCTTCGCCTTCAAAAGGCTTTCAGCTGCGTCAATGGCATCTTCATCTCCACTTAGCGTGACACTGGAGCTGGAATTGATTGCTGCAAGCTGCAAGCGCCCCTGGAAATCATTGGCACAAATCACCCGAGCCGCATCTGGGGATTCGGCGACTGCCATCATAGCACCGCGGGGAGCATTGGGGCTGGGGCTGGCAGCTAATTTGGCATGCACACCCCGGAAGTATGCTATTCTGACCGCATCCTTCGCAGAGAGAATACCGGCAGCATAAGCAGCTCCAATCTCACCCGATGAGTGACCAACTACAGCTGTAAATGTGATTCCGGCTGCTCGAAGAATATCAACCAGGAGAATCTGCACAGCCGAGCAGAGGGGTTGCGACAGAGCTGCTTCCGCAAGCCGAGAACTTTCTTTCGATGCGAGAAGCTCCTCATGAATTGTCCAACTGGGTCGGTCTTCAGCGGAAGTAATGGTCTGGAGAGCATCGTCCAATTCGGCAATACGCGACGCAGCAAACGGAGACGACTCAATGAGGCGAGCTCCCATTCGCGGCCATTGTGCGCCTTGGCCAGTGAATATCCCCAACAGCTTTGTGGATCCGTTGAGGCTTTTGAATCGAGTGTTCATGCCTTCAGTTTCTGCATCGGTGGCACCCAAAGCTTCAAGTGCAACAATTGCATCCTTGACTGTTGGAGCAAAAATGTCCTTCCGGTATGGCAACGTTGAGCGACGGTCTTGCAGGGTGTAAGCAAAGTCCAGAATCGGAACATCTGGGTGATCTTTGAGATATTCGAGATGATCAGAAATCATTTGCCGCAACGCCAGTTCAGAGGCCGCTGGGAAGACTAGAGGAGCAAAAGTCTGATTGATCGAAGAGGTGACCTTTTCACGTCTTTGGGTGTATTCTTCCAGAATGCAGTGAGCATTTGTGCCACCGAAGCCGAAGCTGCAAGGAAAGAAATTGTCAATATGATGTTGATATAAGTGTTTAGCGAAGAACTAACCTGTTCACGCTTGCTCTTCGCGTCTGGCCATGATTGATAGCCCAGGGGGTTGGAGATGTGGGTATCTTCAAGTGATCGAAGAAGGGTGCGACGCGATCACTCAAATTTTTGAAGTGCATGTTCGGTGGAATGACACCATTCCGCATGGCAAGTGATGTGCTGATAACGCTGGCGAGGCCGGCTGTGCTCTCGGTATGGCCGATAACCGTCTTGATTGAACCGACAAACAAGTTCTCCGCATCCTGGGCGGCAGGAGATCCGACAGGGAAGAGAGAATTTGAGATAGCCTCTGCTTCCTGTGGATCGCCGGCCTGGGTACCAGTGCCATGGGCGTGGAAGAATTGGGGTCTGTCTTGGAGGTTGTTGACGGGATCGAGTCCAGCCCGGGAATAGCAGTCGCGGATCAATGCAGTCTGCGCCACGTTACTGGGCACCGTCAGGCCAGAGGTCTTACCATCCTGGTTGACGGCAACCTCACGAATAATACACTCGATTGGATCGTTGTCGGCAAGTGCCTGAGAAAGTGTTTTCACGATGACGGCAGCCACGCCCTCGCCACGAGCATATCCATCGGCTGCGGTATCCCACATAGCACAACGGCCGTTGGGGGAAAGCATACCAAGGTTACTTTCCGAGATGTACATTGCTGACAAGATCAGTTTATTGTCGATCGTATAGGGATCGTGCAATACTCACCAGGACTCAGAATCAGGTTTGTTCCTGCTGCGACGGCAACATTGGACTTGCCACTGCGCACAATTTGCACGGCCAGATCCAAAGCAACCAGACTACTTGAGCACGCAGTGTCAAGAGTCATGCTCGGGCCATGCCAATCAAAGAAGTATGAGACACGGTTTGCCATGATGCCCCGTTCCAAACCCGTGGCGGTGTATCGGGGTAGGGTCTCCCAGTCACGGGTTACCATGGTGTTCCAGTCATCGGACATCATACCAACGTAAATGGCAGTATTAGATCCTTTGAGGTTCTCCATGGGTTGGCCTGCAGCACAAAGACTGTCATACACAACCTCCATGAGGACCCGTTGCTGTGGGTCCATCGCGTCAACTTCGCTTGGTTGGATGTTGAAAAACCCAGCATCGAACTTGGTAATACTTGTGCGTTCTGTCTCCTCCACCCAGTAGGACTGGGTGGCGTTCGTGGTTCCATGATGGGCGCCAACTGGATGGTAGAACGGATCGATATTGAAACGCGATGCAGGCGGTTTGCTTGATAGGTCACGTGGGTCTTTGATCAGCTCCCAGAGCTTGCTGGGCGTGTCGGATCCTCCTGGAAACCGACAACCTGACCCAATGATAGCAATTGGCTCAACCATGATTCTAGGGTGTGGTGGTCCTCGTGTTGGATAAATGGCGGGGGGTTTGACGGGGAGATCGTTATGGTTGTGAGATATATATTTCAATGATAGGGAGCTCGAGGATCTATAAGATCATTGACGTTGGTTGAAGACTGGGCAGTCGTGATCAGTGTCGTGCCTGAATATACGATACCATTAGGTGATTTGCAATGGATGTCGGAAGGGACATTCTACGTGTCTTTTATCATGATGTGTTGTGAAATCAGGCTCCGGATGAAAAACGAACTCGCTCAACTAGAAACTCGAGTACGTGACGACCAGGCGAGTTGCTCTCAACGAATGATCGGAGTTCTCCACCGTATTAGGAAGGCCGATGGCATGCAGTGCGCAGTCGATTCGGAGGAATTGTTCTTTCCAAGAGACCATCACGTGGGTTGTGCTTTTGTTTGCGAGGCGGGGCTCTGCACCAGGGTGGAAATCAGAAGAAGGCTGTTCCGAGAGATCGGGCCGTTATTCGATTCAGATCCTGCAGTCAGCCGGTGCAACACACGCTGGCTTGAGATAAGAGCTTGATGGGACCGAATACACCAAAACGGAAGGCATAGTTAGTTTAGCCTGAAACCGTGTATCTCCGGTGGGGGCCAAAATGAACCAGCGCCAAAAAGAGACGCTGCTCCGAAACTTCGAAGTGGGAATAATTCTGGAACTTGTTGAAGGGATTCGATTGGCTGAGGTGATTTATTGGGATAAAGATGCAGAGTGGTAAAATCCCCGCTTGTATGTACGTAGAGCACGAGGCACTTACAAGGTTTCTCGATACTAGTGAATTGAAATCAAGAAGAACACATATCGTGTCAAAGATCAAATATGAAGATGTATGTTTGTGAAGAGAGTAAACTTTTATATTAAACGCGTGCTATGTGCCAGACTGAGGCATGAACATCCATTCATTAGGCCGCCTTTCCATGCCATTCATATTCATTGCAAAATTCTGGGCTGGTAGAAAGTTTTGGCTCGGCTGTCCCGGGGATGTGAAGCTGCCAAGAGAGCCAGTCATCACAAAGTAGTCGGCTAGAGTATGATTAGAAAGAAATGAAGACATGGAAACACCGTAGCAGGGAGAGACTCTCACGATCAAATAAGCTCATATAATCCGATGACACTGTAGTGTCGCCTGGAAGAGAGCCTGCGGGCTCTAAACTGTCAAGCGAAACATCATTGAGCGGAAAATAGCTACCAGAACGCGTGATGGCTTGTGTTAGTGCAATATTGTGCCTTCTTCCATCATCTGCCCGAGCCAGAACGAAGTTGACAGTCTCGGCCGCTTTCTTGGCTTCTTTGGAACTCCCGCTCCGTCTCATCCAAATTGCCCTACATCGGTGAAGCGCCGCACGAATGTCTTGTTCGCGCTCCAGTGTCTGCCCTCGATGAAGCATAGAGCATAGAATCATCGTGGCGGTAAGGAATTGATGATTCATGATGGACGTCACGCGAAATCGCATGGTATAAAGTTGACCCCCGGACAAGTTTCCTCGTCTAGGATATGTTGAATCTCGAGGGTACCAAGGGAAGCCTCCAAGCAGACCTTTCGTGAGTAAGAGGTCGCTTGATCATCTGAATTGTCTGAGTTAGGGTAGAAGAATCGCTTGTGGAGAACAACCTGTCCCTTGTAGATCATATGGCATAGGAATAACCGGGCCATGATGATCTGTGGGGCGTCAGTCATGCTCGTTGCCATAGACTTGAGCTTTAGTGGTGGGGGGATGCTAGCTGCTGCCTCTTGGATCATAGAATCGATATGTATGACATCAGCATAGGTACATAGCCTAACCGCGTCAGCCAGATCTATCACGGCCCCAAGTACCGCGAGAATCCGCCTTCGTGCGATGATTCCGAGGGAGTTTGTATACTTAGTGAGGGGGCGAGAGGGAGGCAACTCGGTCGATTGTTCGTCGAAATCCGAGTCATTCAAGTTTCGTGGCTCTGAAGTATCCCATTTGCTGTCGGAGATCATTCGCGGCATGCCCATTTGATTGGAGATGAGTATATCCCCCATTAGAACTGTTGCCCAAAGTCGACGACGCATTTCGCCGTAGAAGGGTAAGATCCCGGAGAAGTGGCTTGGGTCACGGTGGTAGCCCATTCGCATCGCCAAATTGACCTCCAGAGCTAGCAGAAACCAGATGTCCTTATCGGCGTCGGTTCGAATGCAGAATTCCGCATATGTGTAGTTTATAACTGTCTCCAAAACATATGGCCCTGACCTTGTATATTCACCTAGCGTCAAACATTGCACAATTTTCTCGCGATAAAGGTCGATTTGGAGTGATAGATCCTCGGGGTTCGGTTCGGATAGGACATCGGAAGTAAGGCATGCGAGACATATCATGCTGAAGAGAAGACCAATCCACATAACAGGCGTGCCCGACTGATTTCCCCAAAATGCCTCGTACTACTCCAGTCAGCACAACGACTCATGAGCTGTTTGATGAACTTACCTCACGTAGAAAACTTGGTCCATGCACCGCAGCTGGATCAAGGTCAGTAGCTCGTATCAACGAGATTCAGATAAGAAGTGTAAGACATACAAGAGGAAACCAGGTCTAAGTAATTGAAATACCGAGAAACATATCGATCCACCGCAGACCTCGGAGGCAGCGCTGCGAGAATCTCTTCCTTTGAGCCTAGCCGACGCCCGCCATACAGAAGAAGCGCATAACCAGACCGAGGGCGATCCAAACAGTTTCCATGCTCATCAATATCAAGATCCGACGGGGTACTTGCGAGTCTGAACTGCTCATCGCGATCGAGATGGTCTTTGAGATCCGCGATTCCATCGAGGATAGTCGCCCAATGGTTATTTCCAACATAGTGAAATTCTGACTCGCTGATTTGCATACCACCACACTCAGAGCGACCATCAGCAGCGTCGACAATGGGATCACTTGGCGGTGGATTTGGGATTCTTGATGGAACCGAAGCTTCGGAGCCTGACGGAATATGTACTTGTGCCTTGCTCGCCGAGTCGGTCATCAGTGACACAACCAATCGCTCCAACTGAGCCAAGCGGTCATGCACGCCAGGTGTTGTCCCGGAAGACACATTTGAGCGACCCATGAGCTCTGAGTTATCCACATAATTACAAATCTGGCCACGGGTAGAGCAAGAAGAACATGGGTGCTGACGGTCACATCGTGATCTGAAATGAACGTGAGTATATGGAGAGACACATGCACATAGTAGACTTGCTTCATACTTTCGACGTCGGCAGGCATTACACGAGAGCTGGGGCTTGTCTCTAAGTCGACTGACTTTCGGCCGAGGATGTGATAGCTGGGATAGCTGCGACGGCTGGGATGACGGGGATGACGGGGATGGTTGTGACAAAGGGCCATTACTCTCTAGGTCCATCTTTAGGCTATAGGGCTATGCGGAGGACAGATGCCGGAGGAGGATCGGCGGGGATCTAACTCAGGGCCCGTGACCTTCGTGTTCTACACCACGTGACTACGCGCTCCGTGCGGCTCCACCCGCCAGACCCACAGCGGTTCAACGCTCGGGCGGGAGATCTCCTAGCCGATCCACTCCGCGGAGGATCGGAGGATCGGAGGATGTGTCGGATAGCTCTGCAGACGGTGACCTGAGCACAGTGGGCTCGCTGATCGGCGGACGTCCGAGTTGGGACAATGCATAGAGATCGTCTCCTGACACCCAAATTTACTTTAAATGCCGCGGAAATGGTTGGCCAGAATATTATATCGTCTCGCTCAGCATCTGGCGCAGTCAGCAATGTCTTCCTCGTCGAGCTCTTCAAACACCACTCCGGGAAAACTGGAGTCTGCCGCCCTCTCGGAAAAAGTGCTTGATCTGAACCTCGTTGATTGGGATGGCGACAATGACCCTGAGCACCCCCGTAATTGGTCAGCACGGACCAAATGGGCAAATATTGTGATCATATCGATATTGGCATTGATTACGTATGTTTTGAATCCTGCCATCGAATAAGAAGAGAAGAAACCTAATCATGCTTTTCTTCGTATAGGAACATGGCTCCTACCATGTGTGCGCCCGGAGTGGCAGAGATTGCTGCCGACCTCCACATAACATCGACAGTGGTCAGCACACTGGCCATTACACTTTATGTCCTGGGAATATCCATAGGCCCGATGTTTACCTCATCACTAGGTGAGATATACGGAAGGGTCCCGGTCTATCATGGAACTACGTTCATCTTTGTTGTCTTTATCATTGGTGGCGCCTTGAGTAAGACCACTGCCCAATACATGGTTTTCCGTTTCATATCAGGATGTGCTGGTGGCACTCCTATGGCGCTGGGTGGAGGCAGCATTGCTGATCTCACCACAGTTCAGGAACGGGCCATGGCGATGGCTTTGTTTAGTCTTGGACCACTTGCAGGACCGGTAAGTCTGTGCTTATTCTCCCGCCCCCTGCATCTGTTCGTATCTAGTTCGTGTTAAGGCATTTTACTAACGGCGGTGCGCTAGGTCCTTGGTCCCGTCATTGGTGGATTTGTTGCAGCCGGAAAAGGCTGGCGTTGGACATTCTGGCTTCTAGCCATTCTCGGAGGAGCATTTGGCGTTGTATCCGTCGTCCTTATGCGTGAAACACATCCCAAAGTTCTTCTCAGCCGAAAGACCGTTCGCCTACGCGCCACGACCGGCAACCCGGATCTACACTCCAAGCTGGACAGCACTCTATCCCCTAGTCAAGTTCTGTTGCAAGTTCTCGTTCGCCCTCTCATGCTCCTAGTGCGATCGCCAATCTTATTAGTCATTTCTCTGTACGTGGCGCTGGTCTTTGGCGTTATGTACTTGCTCTTTACCACGTTCACTGGCGTGTTCGAGGGGCAGTATGGCTTTTCCACGGCTATCTCTGGGCTTACCTACTTGGGGCTTGGCGTGGCACTTCTATTCAGCATGTTCATTTTCAATATGTTCAATGCTCGGGTTTTGGCGGCTCGTATGAAGGCTGATGGAGTGCAGCAACCACGCCCTGAGTACCGTCTCATCTTCATGATCTGGTTCAGTCCATTTGTGGCATTTGGACTTTTCCTTTACGGTTGGACCGCATACTATCAGATTCACTGGATCGTACCCATCATAGGGACATCCCTCATGGGATTCGGGGCTTATTTTGTGATCGTAGGTTGCTCCATTTTTCCGTCTTTTTGTATGAACCCTGATAACTGACTTTTTCCACGTTTAGATGCCCGCGCAACTGTACTTGGTGGATGTCTTTGGGTCAGGGGCCGCCGCATCAGCACTCGGTGCCAACAATCTACTGCGTTACATGTCCAGTACTTTCCTTCCTCTCGCTGGGCCAAGTATGTATAAGACCTTGAATTATGGGTGGGGGAACTCATTACTCGGATTCCTTGCACTGGCTTTTCTTCCGGGCCCCATCCTCTTTTACAAATATGGAGAGCGACTACGCGCTAACACCAAGGTGGCGCTCTAGCCCGGGCCACGGTGCTTATCAAGAGGCCCCTCTCCACCCTTCCTGCAAGTCTTCAAATTTGTCTTCCAATGCTTGCTTTTCTCTCCCTTTCATAGATACAGCACTTACATTAATTAAAGTCATTTCTGGTGTTCATACTAAGCATGGCCTAGCTCGCCAGTTTAAGATTTCGAATTGACTGTCCATTCACTCTCTGAAACTACCGGGTACATATAAATGAACAGTTGAAGAATAGTATTAGCATGATGGGATTTATAAATCTTGGGACCTTGGAAGTGACTCAACTGGTCCCAAGTCCTTAATGGGTAACCAAATCACAACCACAGGATTTGAAATGTTCTTTACAGCGCCTGCGTATCTCACCATTTGAAGAATTATTTCTAGTTGAAAAAAAAATACTGACTGGGAATATAGCTGCCTCCGCCAGATTTCATGAGAGACGAGCACCCAATGAAGTGAATTGCTGAGGCGATACGAGATTTAGTCAAATTCAGATTGTCTCTATCCCCACTTAGCAGAAGTGACTTTACCTGGGCACGCTATTATCTGGTCTGAAACTCAAGCATATCACGCAGGGGGTCGATTATTTGCGCCGACGGACGCAGTGCGGACGCTAGCCCTATCGCTTACATATCGACATGAGGTTGTTGTTTGCTAGGTAGTATGAAGCTAAGAAACTGGCGTCTGAACTACGCCCATTGGGGCAATTAGCAGACCTGGTACAGTAGCGTTTAACACACAAGAACAAACTGGACACGTAAGCTTTGAGAACAACCTTGGAATGCCACCATACTCTTGCATAGCTAGTCAATCCGATTTTAAATGACTGAGTACGCTATGGGGTGCCAATCACCGCACGGATCAGCGAATTAATATTGTTAATGACATTTTATCTTACACTTCCTCCAGTGGCCAATGTAAGCATCTGAGGAACATTTAGTGGCTTAGGTGGCCAGATTCTGTACTCCGACCGAGGGCTACTGACGACCCACGAAGCGAGCTCTTTTGTATCCAGGGAAACGACGGCCCGGATAAGCCCGATCACAAGTCGAGATCGCTAGTGCTATAATACTACGAGGCGTAGTATGCTCGGTAGATTATGCATTATTGTATTTCGTTAAATGCGCATAGGATTAGACCTCCGCACCGGCCCATAAAGCCCATAGCCCAACCCGGACCAACCCGCAAATAGGCTGGTCTTTGGGCCAGTCCTTAGGTCCATCGATAGGCCTTGGGCCTCAAACAATACAAAAATGCCAATTCTTGGCAGATTCATAAGTAATGCAGATTCTTCTAGTATTTTTGAGTATTTAAATTACCGCCTAAGACCCAAGTTGACCGAGTCTTTATGGGAATTAAGTTAATCAATTGGTAGAATTGACCATAGTTAGATGAGATTTATAAAATCAATAAAATCAATAAGATTAATAAATCTACTAATAATACTTATATTCTTTATCATTATTAAAGTGGCATTTGAAGTTTTCAAAGTTTAGCCCGTATTGAAGATATACCTAACTAGTTACTTCTGTCTACATAACATTAAATATATATATCTGCATATTGATAATCTATCACCTATTGAACCCCCGTATTAGGCTAGACTAGGGCCAGCGGGCCGAGATCTTCCAAGTAAGCTTACAGACTAGAACATACGTAAAAAAAACAGGCATTATTCAGCAGGTTTATGAGCGCCAAGACGGCATTTATGTATAGAAATGGTCTTTGTTGGGGGCCTCATAGGCCCCCACTAATGGGCCATAGGCTTAGTTGGTGATGAGCAATCTATGGTAGATTACTACTGTGTGTGGGGGAAAAGCAGGAGAAAGATTCTTAATTGCTAAAACTAATCATGCAGGGGTTTATATACCCTGCAAACCATCTGAACATTGCTCAATTGTAGCAAACTGTCAAAGTGCAAGGTTGCATACATGGATTTACGTGGTATTATACCATGGAGATCATGTGACTTCGAGTACTGAATATTAAGCTTAGTAATCATCATTACCGCACAGATTGGAAAAGAGCGGGTTTTGTCATTTTAGAAAGTCACCTGGGCAGAGTTCTCAATATCAGTCATTTTGCCCATACAGTTCAATACATCAGATTTCTGTCACAAACAACAAATAGCAAACAAATCTCAAAAGGCTCAGTCTGCAGCAAACAATCATGCATGCATGCCTGGGAGTTCAACAGTTGGTCTTTGAAGGTAGGGCCCATAGCCCACTGCTGGTTGGTTTATGGGTCTAAGGTCCTGGACCAACTCGGCCCATTGCGGAGGTCTATATAGGACTTGGAAGTCCAAGAGGATCGCCGGCAAGAGAGGAATACCAGGTGAGGCTCAGTGAAGCACTCAACAAAGCCAAGAATGCGACCCCACTAGCCTTTTACGATTCTTCTCGCTCATAGTTGCGGGGGCCATGCAAACACCAAAAGACACGGGGGCCATGCAAGCCCCCAAAGACACGGGGGCCGTGCAAGCCACGAGGATATTCAAGTGGCGCGAGCAACCTATGTACAATACTACGTTAATTATTTTGCGCTTCTTTGGATACAACATGCTTAAATGAGATACTATGTACACATTCCTGAGAGGATAATTGGACTTGCATCACTTTCCTGAAAGCACCATGTCTACCGGCGATAATGATACACTGAACACGTCATTGCGATCGTCGTGTGACAGATGCCGCTCCCAGAAGCTGCGATGCGTCCCTTCCTCCGACCTTTCTGCCTCTTGTCAACGTTGCCTTAGGGGTAAGGAGCCTAAATTCTGCACGTTCAGTCGACGGCTCCAAACAGGCAAACCTCCTGGGTCGGGGAGACGATCGGATCCCCGCCAGGACCCACGAAGAGAAAACCGACTATCAGCAAAGTCCTTACCTGGAATGAACACTTTCACACTTTCAAACTCATCATTGCCGGAACCGTCATCTGTCAAGGAGAGTTGCCTAGCAACAACACCGACCAACGAAAATCCCCAGAGTGTCGATTCAGAGGCCTGTTTAGACAGCCTCTGGAGTGACGAATACAATACTTTTATAGATCCGGCGCTGCAACCCCATATAAATACGTTCTCGCATGTGCACGAACCCTCTAGTCACATGGAGGAGTCTGATATATTCGAGTCGAAAGAGACAATGGGCATGCAGGGAGACCCGAGCTTTCAATCAGACCTCACCGAGTTTCTTCATGTCCAGCAAATGCTCGCTTTTCCGCCCTATACTTCATCGCTTCAGTCAGGACTAGAACTTGATGCAAATCTGATCATGGATATGGGAGTTCTAGAAGAGGAAACACCCGGTCTTCTGGTCGATCTTTCCAGTCTGGTGGGGAAATTGTCACACTACGAAAGGGAACTAGCAAAACTGGCCGGCAGCACGCTAGACAACTACCCCATAGGCGACGCGTTGTACTTTTCACAGCGCTTTCAATCCCTCCTGATCAATCATGGCCGTGCCCACACGTTCGATCATATATCCGATATTGACATGCCAACACGACTAATGTCTCTGTCCTGCTATATCTTACTCAAGCGTATCTATTTGGCGATCTTCAAATATCTCTATACACACTTGTCACAAATCCCAACCGGCCTCTCAACGTGGGGCTTGGGTCTCTCCTCCTATTCGATGGAGAACAAAATGGACGCATACCGGGGTTTACGACTGGGCCAGCTGCAATCCATATCGGTTGGGTGGGAACCAGCAATGCGCATCAGGAAGGCTATGGCCATGCTGCTTGATTCGCTGGGGAATACCGAGAAAGCGCTCGGACTACCTGCAACTGGTAGGAATGCTTGGCATACGGAAGTATGCCAAGAAAACACTGATACGCCGGCGACAGAAAGTATTCCTCTCTTTGAGGAAGGGGGAGTGTTGGCACCAGTGCTGAATGGGAGGTTACAGAAGAAGCTAAGGGAGCATGAACGAAATCTGCGCGCTAAGGTGGAAGACGTGAATAGCCTCTTGGATGGGCTACTGGCATCTAGCAGATAGCCGGTTGGATTCATCAAGCATAATGAACAACCTTTCAACGAAACACTCAAAACCTGTGTCGTGAAAACTCCTCGATTAAGACATAGTCGCAAATTCTTCAACGACCCCCCCAAGAGGAGAAATATAAGTTTCTTGATTTTCTTTGCCTCACTGCGACATATTGCAGTAAGCATTGTTAGGTTATTCAGACTTGATAATTCATCGCCTCGTGGCAAACATTTTTCCAACGACCGATATGTCGGTGTTGATAATTGAGAGGAAAAAGTTCCGAGTTTCTGCAATGGTTGCTTACTTTCGGCCTCGGTGCCTAGTTGGGAACATAAGACTGGGGTTCGGGATTACTAGGACGCTTTGGCTATTGCCGTCAGTACGTGTCTTACTATCCGCATCCCGAAATTTTGGCAAACGTTGTCAGATGAAGCTTTGGATCGGGGAATTGGACGATTCGAACGGTGGAAGGAATGCGACAATACATTAAACAATCATAGGGCCCTTTGTGGGAAGGAAAAAATAGGCAACTCGAGCCCATCACGCATCATGCCGGTTCCTCAGTCTGCTATCATCGCAAGTGTTATCCTAAATTTCTTGGAGCATCTCAAAATCTTTCTAATGCATCTCAGATCGGAGGCTCCGTTGCCGGCCTGCTCCAGGGCCTTCAATTGAAACGCCAGGGTGCCAACGTGACTGTGCTGGAGCAAGATCCTTCGAGTGACCGTCACAGCCACGAGTCGGGAGTTTCAATCGGCCCTACCGTCGTCAAATTACTTCAAGAGTACGATGCCACCGGTAGACCAGCAGCAATCCCCGCGCGCTATCTCAGTGCTGCATCAAGCAAGTGGCCTCGCATTGCCAGTGTTAACTGGAAGCACAACATGAGCAACTGGGGCTGTCTTTACTTGATCCTCCGAGCCAACTTTGATGGGATGTCATCTAACACTGTTCCTCAGCCACCGGCCCCAAGACCTACGGATGGCGCCGTGGTATATCACGCAGGCAAAAAGGCGACAGGGGTGAGCTATAACTCGGAGAAAGATATGATGACCGTGAACTACGTCGACTCCGTTACTGGGGATAGTGGCACAGTCAGTGCAAGCATTGTCATTGCTGCCGATGGGGTCCACTCAACAATTCGGAAGATCATGCAAATTCCGACGCGAAAGGACTACGCCGGGTATATCGCATGGCGTGGGACCGTCCCCGAGCGGCTATTGTCAAAGGCGACCGTGGATTATTTCTCAAATCGGCTCAACTTTACTCTTTTGAAGTGTACATATTTCATCAGGTAATTCTATACTGTTATCAGTTGGGGCCTTGCATTTTCTCGGCTAATCTTGGACAGCTATCTCATCCCAACCGAAGCTGGCAACGTCGAGCCCGGAAACCGACTTGTGAACTGGGTCTGGTACTTTGTTGTTCCTGAGAACTCTGCAGAAATGGATTCCATTTTCACCGACATCCACGGGAAGCTTCACCCTAACACAGTACCGCACGGAAAGATCAAGCCGGAAATTTGGTCTGAACAGATCGCTCGACATGTTTCTCAGATGACTACACCCCTTGCTGAGATTGTAACCAAGACCCCCCGACCGTTCGTTACGAAAGTGGGAGACGCGGAGGCGGCTGCTGCGAGCTTCTATGACGGCAGACTGGTACTTGTCGGCGATGCGTACACCGGTTTTCGGTCGCATCTAGGAATGGCTTCCGAGCAGGCAGCACGGCATTGTCTTCAGATGAACAGAGTATGGCATGGTGAGATCACGCAGGAGCAGAGAGATCGGGAGGCAAGATTTTACTCCAGAAGATTTCTGTTACTCAATCGTATGATTGGGCTAACTGGCCTCGGGCTCATGTGGGAGGTCTTCAAGATTGCGATCACCTACTTGTTGTTATACGCAGAGTATATCTTCTCTTAGCTGGAAACGCCTTCATATCGGTACCGCTGCCTTCAAATGTTGATAACAGGGATCTGTGATTATCACACATTAAGCGTAATCCTCAGCATAAAGCCGTTTTCTGTAACATGCGTCTTTGGATAGTAAGGTGTTGGTGATCATATTAATGGGTTTTTAGGAATCCCCGGGGAAACAGACTCGACAACTACCACGCTACTATGACCTAGAATAGTCATACTAAGCTTCGATCTCCGAATAGGTCCGGTGGTATCAAATTTGAACGAAATATCTGCTTCTCAATACCCCGTGTTTTGAGAATAATGACGCATACCCTGTGTATTTCGCATAACCTTCTCTCTTTATGAAGATTAATGTAAGAAGGTAGCCCGAGGAAGACCATATAGGCTCACTGAGTATACCTAATATATCTTCGAAAATACTATTCTACACCTCCGTAGCCAATTTCCTTATTCAGCTTACATCGATTAGCACTGTATTCAACTGACATTAGAGAGACTTTTGTTTGCTCGGGTCTTGCAGATATGTCGCCGAGTAGAGTCGAGTGAATAAGAATGTGCTAGCTATTCCTAGCTATGCGAAAGATCGAAAGGAAAATAGCGAGAACGAAAGCCGTTCAGATCCAGTGCTTCTCAAAAAAGTCCAAAACGGTCTTGTATCCGCGGGCATATTCATCACGAACATGAGGGTCAGACAAATCAGCCCGAGCCGCCATCCAACCATGGACTTGGTCCGTAAACGTCTCCACATGATGGGGCACCTTCAACTGACTCTCGAACTTGTTCACATCTTCAGCAGGGTCTTCGCCAGCTGCCAGAAGCATGAATGGAACCGAGATGTTCTCTGCTCCAGATGGGTCGATCATAGCAGGGTGGCAGGTAGCAGCAATCTCAAATGGGTTCTCTCCGTCGGAGGTGATGATTTCGGCGACTTTACCACCCCAGCAGAACTGTTCGATATGTTAGTGAATGTAGACATTGTGACACATTCATTGCGCCCAAACACTTACGCCGACAAGAGCCCACGACTCAATGGATGGATTGGCAGCCTTGAGAGCCGCAACATACTGGGGCAAGACAGCGGCAGGACCTTGTGGCATGTGGTTACCAAACCATGCACCTAGATCTTTTTGCTTTTTCTCGGTATCGGGTGGGAACCTTGATTAGATCTATCAGTGGGTGTTTTCCGAAACGAAGCCTACGGAATCTCACCATTCCGAGGGACGGGGACTTCCATCAAACCAATCCGGAATGAAAGTCTTATGCTGGTGACGATGACTGGTCGCGAGGATATCGGCACCCTGAAGGGCCTGGTCGGAAAATCCGAAGATGTCGGAAATGATGACAATCCCCTTAGTGACGTTCTCGGGTCCGGTTGAGTCTGTATTCGGATCCAGTTAGCTCTGAAGGAACAAGCAATTGTACCTAAAGGAAGACTGACAAGTCTTCAATCCTCCGAGCTGGCTGTACGAGCCCTTGGCCACATAGTCAGAGCTGACAACAGGCGGAACGTTACAGCAGGCCTTGTTATGACCGTTGGTAGCTTCCATAGTTGACATGGCCCTAATCTGGGAATGGTGGGGAGTTGCTCGGATGCACTTGGAAGGAGAATTGAGAAAACTAGAAGAGCCCAACGGTCGAGATGCCGAACTTAAAGGTCTCAAGAACGAGCAAGCGGTGGCGTTTCTTGTAGGAAAGGCTAAAGCCGGGACCGGGGAACGTTGAGGAAGACGAAATGGAGGAGGCATGGGATTGAGCGAGAGCGAGAGAGAAGCGTGGAAGGAGGTGAGAACAACAAGGAACCGACTAGATGCGGGCGCACTTTCTCCAGTCACGTATATCTCTGATTGGACTTGATCTTTTCACCGCTTACAGTCTAACGCTGGGTACACATTGAATCTACAGAATATCTTCGGAGTCTTTTATACTTCGATTTCCTAATGTGGGGAAGCCGCGGGGGCAGCTGCGGGTCATCGGAGTGGGGCATATCGGACGAGGTTCGGACCCTCCGAAATCGGCTCCACCGTTCCGGGCCCCCGGGCCCCTAGGAGGCCCTAAATCCGAATATGTCCAGGAAGCACTAGTAGTAGCAGTCGGGCTGTTTGCTGTTATTTCCGAGCTGGCTAACAGCAATACATAGATCAATGAAAGGGAGCTCGACTGTCAGGCGGTCATCCGATGCTCCCGATCTGTTCACAAAGAAATCCAGCCAACATGACTCTTTCAACCTCGACTTCTGGCGCCGGCGTGGGCCCACTCACATCCGCTTATCTGTTCGGTGCAACTGTGAACCTTGGAAAAGCGCTTACTCCAATTCCACTACTGGAAGGTGGAAAGCGGATTGTCGAGCCCATCACTGGCGGCACCATCTACGGCCCGGGCTTCAACGCCACCATTGACGGAGGAGTCGCTGCTCCGGTGGTTGTCACAAACAATGGAACCACCACCCAGATTCCGTACATTTACGCATATGGGCATGCAGATGATGGATCTCCCTTTTACATTGAGGTAAGTATCATTCATTTTGCAAGATTTTGGCAATCCACGTCTCACACATCTATAGGAAATGGGAATCGGTTCTACAGCCACCCAAAACACCCGTTTGATTATTCAAGTCAGCGGCAAGTACGCAGAGCTACAGAATCTTTACATTATTGGACAGCCATCTGTGAACGAGGAAAGGACGGTCGGACAGGTAGAATGCTGGAGCGTACCATTGCCTTAAGTAGTGTTTTCCAACGTGTTTTTTAGGGAGTATATTCACCAGTGGACAACCTTCAATAAAAAAGTTTGACCACCCTCTTTTTCAATCAAAACTGTCTTTCCTACCGAACTTCATGATATACTAGGTACTTGAATTTTGCCAAATTAGAGGTTCACTTATAATCACACGTACATACAACGCGAATTGAATGAACGGATTTCTTCAACAATGAAGTATATCATGATAGCGCAGGTCAGGTCTCTCCAGGCCTAAAATAATACGCACATAGAGTATTCAGGTCTACGTACTATACCACTACAGATCAAAATTTCCCAGAGGACTGTTTCAGCATTCAGAAGAAATATCGACTCATAGTTTTAAGGTATCAGATTACTACATGATTCTGACAGAAAATTCTACAAGCTTGACAGGCCTGTTTAACCGCCCTGCATCCTCAAATGCCCGAATCATCTTGCCCATACGGGGCCCTTCTCGACCAATTCGACCATGACTTGCAAGTACTGTCCAAGCTTTTCCAGTCGCCCATACTAGTCGAAATCGAATTTTCACTTTCTACAAATTCCAGTGCAAGCCCCATGCTCGCATGCCAAGCGATGTGGCAGTGAACAAGCCACGCGCCGGGGTTATCGAGTTGAAATGCGAGAGCAAGGTAGCCATGCGCTGGCAGCACTGCTGTATCCCGACGAACCGAGTTCTTTGTTTTGAACGAGGCAGAGCTTCCATCCCAAGGATGGCTCTCCTGAGCCAAGATCCAGAAGTCGTGGCCGTGGAAATGGATTGGGTGAGCGATACTTAAGAAAGGTGTAAGTTCTCAATCTTCCCGTTCAGAATTAAGGGGTGCCTGTGACTTACCCGCCGAAGAAAGCAGCGGCTTTATTTTCGATCACCAGCACTGCCCATTCTTCTTTGTCCGCGCTTTCTTTCTATTTTTGAAAATTAGAAATGACCACACTTCAGCGCAGCTAGTTGACAATGACTTACCTCAACTTCGACAACATTGTATGGGGTGGGGAAGATTTGCTCCTTGTCATAGATTTGCTGGACAGTAGGCCTTCCCCAGTCGAGAACAAGACTACTACTGTTGATGGTCCATTGGAACAAAGCAGCATTCGTCAAGCGAACGTTGACATCCTCCACGGTCGTGTCGGTTATGCTGCCAACGTCGACTTGGAGGTACGGCACCAGGTTTGCCTGAGGCTCGTCGAGGCAGGATGTCGGACCAGAGAGAGTACTGGTGCTGGTAGGATCTCTCTTGCTCTGGGTATTGTAGCGCACAATTCCTGTAGCAGATTCTGGATGGTCATTCGCAACACCCTGGCAAGATTGAACCCATCCTCCGCGAAGCCAGTAGTCACCTGAAGGGGCGTTCGCCTCAACAATGACATCGTACCTCTGGCCCACGTTCACAATGATACTGTCTGCAAGATAAGGCTTGATTGGAACAAAATCATTGGAGATGACAGTCAAGCTGTGACCATCGATGCTGAACTGGAATTGGCTGTCGATAGCGACGTTGATCAATCGGATGCGGTATTTTTTCCCTTGCTGAAATACCATCTCGAATTTCTTTCCGCCCCCGACACAGTTTTCATGCGGCTCCGCTGTACAGTTGAATGTATTGGTGCCGTTTATGAGGGTTGTAGTCTGCGAAGATGTGATACCGAACTTCTGCTTGGCCTCCCACTCCACAAAAGTCGGGATATGCGCCCAATCCTGTAGTAAAAGCGCCCCAAGATCTTCATCGTAGTTCGCACTTGCAGGACCATTGAAGATGAGTGGGCCAAAGAGGCCTTCGGATGATTGGAGCGAAAAATGACTGTGATACCAGCTGGTTCCATATTGTGTGACTTTGAAATCATAAGTCAGACTTTCTCCAGGTGCGATCGGACATTGAGTGACACCAGGTACCCCGTCCCATTGATTGCTGTTTCGCAGATGGACACCATGCCAGTGTACTGAAGTGCCGTTTGACTTGAGATTGTTCGTGACGTGGACTTTTAACGTGTCACCCCAGTCCGCGATAATTGGGGGCCCTGGCATTGTACCGTTGAAGGTCATGCAAGGGCGCTCGTATCCATTTTGGTTGCAAATACCCTCTTGGACGGATAGCCAGACTTCCACCGTCTTTCCAGTGTCGGGTGCCGTCTTGTAATAATCTGTTTCGAGATCATAAGCGCCCCAGCATCCTCGTGTTGTCGGTGTATTTTCGCAAAGTTGTGTTTCACATTTCATTCGAGGTGTCAAGTCCAAGGAGTTCGCCTTCGTGCTCGATATGCATGCTGCCAAGGCAAGAAGAAAGAATGACCGGGTATTCATACTTTAACCCTAAGATTTGCGAGCACTCGTGGAAGCATATGCGTTGTTTTAATGACCCTGGTACCACTTGCGAAATAATATGATATCTCGTGAGTCGATGGGCCGTCGGGGCATTGCCAGAATATGCCCAGGTGTTTATGAACGTCGCAGAACATTTTAGCCCCCAAGCCTAATCGGATAAATTGGTTATTTGGGGAGATCCAAATGGAATGACCATGCCTGCAGATTACCCATTTTACCTCCCTCGGAGGGTTGGTCCAAGTCAGCCTTGTTCGGAGAGTTCCTGTTTTGGAAATTCGGCGATGTATGCAGCCGAACTCGCGACCTTGTCAGAATAGACCGCCAGGAAAACAAAGACGCGAGAAGACCCAAGATAATTTGTTTTCCCACAAATTTGGGAGCACACTATTTTCAAACGTCGCATTAGACTCTATCGCGACATCACACCAACCTTGGAACTCAAAATGCGGCCCGTCAGCTCGTGGGTCCACGTGGCGGCCCTGCTGTCCGCAATAACCACGATTTCGCAAGCTGTCCAGCTTCCGCTGCCCGTTAAGCTTGTTCACCAATTCCCGGCCCCCACATATCTCAACAGTCTGTACGTGCGACCGAACGGGGACATCTATGTCACTACAGTCTGGCCAGATGCCTCGATATACAGCGTCACAGGCGCAAATACAGACGCGCCCACGGGATCCCTTGTTCACACGTTCGACGAGATCAATGTCGTGACATCAATCACGGAGGCCGAGCCTGGTGTTCTAGTGTTCCTCGGCGGCAACCAGAGCAGTATTGGCGTTGGAGTATTCGGCACGTTTGGCGTTTATGAGATCGATATTCGTCCCCAAGCCAAGGGAGGAAAAGCATCCATTCGATATGCCGTACCGATGCCAGACGCTGGTCTGATGACTGGCATTCAAGCACTCCCTCTTTCACCATCGACTTTGCTGGTCAGTGACTCGTTCCTCGGCTTGGTATACAAGGTCGATACCATGACAGGCAAATACGAGGTCGCAATCAAAGACGAGGCCTCAATGGGCCATCCCTCATGGACAGTGACACCGTTCGGAATCAACAATCTGCGTATACACAATGGGTATCTGTACTGGACAAACAGCTATGTGGCATCCGTGTACCGGGTCGCTATCACCAAAGACGGATATGCTGCTCCTGGATCGAAGATCGAGTTGGTCAAGAGGTTACAGACCATTTATTTGGATTCAATTTGTCTTGGTCCCGGCGAGAGTGATACAATCTGGGGTGCGACGAATGCAGACAATCGACTTGTTGCGATCACATCCGATGGAAATGCGACGTTTGTTGCCGGATCACCGACTGAAATGACGATCGCTGGGTCTGTAGCGCCCGGATTCGGCACGCTGCCGGGCGACACTGAGACTTTGTATGTTGCGACTGGAGGTTCGCTCCTTTTCCCCGTCAATGGGACGGTAACGGAGGGTGGGAAGATCGTTGCCGTGGATACCACCGGCTTCGGGTCGGGCGAGAGCAACCCTCGAGAAAAGGCGCAAAAGGCGCAACCTTGTATCACATTTAGTCCACAGACCACATCTTGGATGGATTACCTCTGGCAACTCCCTTTGAGGCACTTGTCACTTCTTTGAAGCTGAACATGGATAATTTTCACAGATGATAGAAGGTGCTGTGTGCGAGCTTCCAGTTTTCAACACTTAGGTTTTGTGTCACGAAACCACGGAACCACCCTATCAAAATTCTTGATTGCTACAAGACGTGCTTCCGTGCTTCCGTGCTTCCGTATTGAGTCATTGACCACGGTATAACAAACGTCAGTCTTTGTAAAGTAAGAGTAGATCTAAATTACTACTAGCAATATGAACCAGTGACAGGTTATGTGCCGGTAGCGTATTCAGCCGCCCGTGGCCGTGGTGTTATTGCTCTGCGTCAGCTTTTGATTAACTGAAAAAGCACCCGGACTGTGGGGAATAACATATCGCAACCGGCCACTAAATGATGCGTGATAACGAATACCTCGTTGATACTAAACGGTGGCTGTTCTTCGGCGGTCTTTTCAAGGTCGTATTCTATGGCCATTGATTATGCTAGCTTTTGACGTTAGTAAAATTAAGACAGGTGATCAGACGGAAGATTATACCGTACTGATATCCTGTCAAGTTTATAAGGGAGGCAAAAGCCCCTTCCATCCATCCAGTACATTCCAAAAAACCGCACAATTGTCATGAAGTTTTGAAATGATAGTAGGATAGTATTCTACTCTCTTTGAAATTGATATATAGTGCTAATAATTCTTATCAATAACTATCGACAAACGGGGAGATAGAATGCAGAAATCTGTCTGTATTATGGATACAATTGGCAGATGTTGACAACTCTCTTTAACTAAGTAAAATGACAAAACCCGCTAGTTAGTTAGTTATTTCAACCTTGGAACAATCTGAGCGGTAATGATGACTAAATGTAATATATCCCGAGGTCCATGGATGGTAGTTATGAATATGTAAATCCATGTATTCAACCTTGGACTTTGACAAGAATAGCTAAAATAGGCAAAGGTGATTGTGAATGTACGTGACTAGTGCCTCCCATCGCAATAAAACTGCCTACCTGGATGGAGCACTCGAGCCCCAAGGTTTCCAACTCTTACTCAGCAAGTCTGTGGACCTCGGGACCTGAGGCCAGGCGATGGGATCACATGAGCGAATGATTTTCCCCCGGACCCACTTTCACGTCGATCTCCGTCATAGGCATCTACAGCATACAGGGCTCTCACCTCAAAAATACTTTTTCACACGTCGTAACAACTATTTTACCACGATCATCATGCCTCAGCTTGGCAGCGTCACTGTCACTGTCACTGTCACTCAATCACCTGTGAGTTTTCTGCATGCCACTAATCCAAGCCACGCCGCTTGTGTTTTCTTAGCCTCCGTCACTTCCCAAATCCACCTTGCCAGCTGGTTCGCCCACCAATTCTACTAGTGAAGTTCCTCACGTGCCACCAGTAAGAAATTTTTGAAATCCTACTAGCTCAAGTTGAGTCACTTACAAGTATAGTTCATCGCTCCCCCGGGCTGGACGACACGCCCCGGAAGCCCCCGTTTTGAATGCGAGTGGGATGGTGTCGATTCAGAGGGTCAAAAGATTGCTCGAAGCTATGGTCTTGCTCCGGGTCGACCACTTTTAGAGGATGACGATGCCTCCTTAACGATTTTCCAATCTGGCGATAAACTCTACCTCTGGGCTGTGCTTTATTATGATATATACGAACTAGCATCTCAGGACGTCAATGAAGTCGCCCATGTTCTGTCTCAGGAAGGAGGTTTAAAGAAGCTACAGAAATGCCTTCTTAATCCAGTTGAAGATATTGCTGTCTAAGCATGACAGCTATGCCGGCTTAAGAGGGTTTGAGGAGGATTGGAAGAGGTCACGTCGTCATACAAGCGACACGTATTGCTTAATTTCAATTTTCTTTGCTTTTGTTCTTGTTCCTTCTTTAGATTTTGAAATGTAATCACCTTGCGTCTTTTTTTCGCAAGCCTGGGCCGTCTATTGTACCCGCTCCAAAGTTGATGAGCTCTGGGGGCTACGGCCCCCTGTTCGTTGGCCCAAACATATACACACACGAATAAATTCAAGGGGATTAATTCTCTAATAACTAGTTAGGTAAGGTAGTTAATAACCTTGGAACCTCTAGAACTGCTGGAATAACCCGCCGGAGCGGGTCATCTCTGTCCCCGGGATCACTGCACGTGACACCACTTTGAGACAGCCAATCATATGAGAACCTAAGAAGGGGAGGCGCCAAGTGCTATTCATGTCGATGCCAAGCAATGCCCTTGGTATTAGGCAGATATGTTTATTTCCCCTTCTTCAGATCTTCGGATATTCTGATATTCTAACATCCTGATCTTCCCCAATTCTCTCAGTTTTTTGGGGGAAGTCCTGGAATTATTATGGAAATCCCCGCAAAACTCCCTTTCTCCAAGCGGCGGCTTCCAGCGCGCGCTGTTATCTCGTGTGTCAAATTTCCCCAGGTCCCCACAGATCCCTGAACTAACAATTCCTCAGCTACATCTTTGACTATGTGATCATTATGTACGGACATCAATTCCCCTCTCTGTTTACTTTATACTGACGCCGGAAATAGTGCCTGCGCTATCGGATTCTCGATTCTCAATAAGGTCGAGCCCTTCCACCAACACTTCTCCCTCAACAACATATCCATCCAATATCCTTATGCTGTCCATGAACGCGTGCCAATGCCCTACGCCCTCTGTATCTCCGCTGCTTTCCCACTCGCCCTCATCATCCTTTACACCTTGTTCATCGATGGCTTGTTTTCACACCATAAGCCACAAGACGTAGCATCCGGGAAGCGGAAACTGAGAGGTCCGCATCGCTGGAAGGACAGACTTTGGGAGCTGAATTGTGGTATTTTGGGTCTTTTACTGGCTCAGGGACTCGCTTTCGTCATCACACAGGCGCTGAAGACTGCATGTGGCAAGCCGAGACCCGATCTCATCGATCGTTGTCAACCACGTGCTGGTAGCAAGGACCTTTTCCCAGGATTGTCCAACTCAACGATCTGTACAGGTGATCCTGCGTTGTTAACAGATGGGTTTCGGTCATGGCCGTCCGGTATGCAATATGACCCGATACTTCTTTTGAGTCACGAATGCTAACCTTGACTCGTCTAGGCCACAGTAGTTGTGTGTATACCCCATTTGCGAATTATCGGGGGATTTCCTATTACTAACACCGTCCAATAGCCTCCTTCGCTGGTCTTGTTTACACATCGCTCTGGTTAGGCGGAAAGCTGCACATTATGGACAATCGGGGTGAGGCCTGGAAGGCCCTTCTCGTCATGGTTCCTCTACTAGCAGCAAGTCTCGTGGCCGTATCGCGTATCATGGATGCGCGCCACCATCCCTTCGATGTGATCACGGGGTCGATGCTTGGAGTTGTCTGCGGCTTTGTTGCATATCGCCAGTATTTCCCACCCCTCAGCGAACCCTGGCGCAAGGGCCGCGCCTACCCAATCCGGACCTGGGGTTCGAATCCTGCAGGGCCCGATTCCGTTCGACGTGTCGGCTCCAAAGGGAATAGCATGACTGCTCTCCGCAACCCTGAAGATGAGCGCATCGACCCAGATATCCCAAGCTCGGAACATGCCAGACCCGACGCCTCTACCTATCCTCAGTCCTCGAACCCGTATGCATCCAATATGTATAATCGCCGCCCACACGGCCATGATGCTGATAGTGGTGCTTGGTCGTCGAGTGAGGATGACGTTACCAACGGGTATGAGATGCGACAGCAGAACCATGGTGCCGGTCACCATGCGCCTCAATATGATCCTAGTAATGCCTATGTGTCCCAGACACAGCCGCTGACGGCTAATGCGGGAATCCATGTTTCTGACCGGGTGGCGGGTCCGGGACGTCCGTTGACGGACATGCCCAGTCGGGTCATGTAAAGATGAGTGATGGGGTTATTGATGACTTTCACAGTCTAGTTCAGAGTGGTGATTGCCCATGTTATCTGCTTATGGTTTCTTATGATTTGATTAAGCCATAGATTATTGCGGTGGCTGGTGATACAACTCTGTACTAGTATGATTATGATATTGGCGTTGAAAACAAAATACTCTTCATTTGTTGCCATCGAGACCAAGCATAAATTTGACAAGAGCTCTATATCTCTTTTAACAGAAATAGTGATCTAGTTATACAATTTACTATTAGTACAATGAAGTCAAGTCCTGTAACTACACAGTAGAGTCTCCACTTAAATGTGGTTGGCTTGACAACGAGTATCTATATTCTCATGTCCTAACCTATCATCCCCAGGGATACGGAGTGATCAAATGCAAGACATGGATTAAAAAGGGACGGCTCATGCAAGTACCTAGACTAATCAATAAAAAAAAAAGGGTCGAGACCAGCATTAGGGGACTCGGGTTACCCCAGCCACCGACATCGTACATTGTGAGTCGCCCAGCCTCCTCGGCCTAAGATGACAACTGAATATCTTTTTCTAATTTCCCCTCTTATTTCTGTCTTTTTCCTATATTTTTTTTACTTTTCCTTCTGTATTTCTCTGCATATTCTACATCGTGCATCCTGCACTGTAATCGCAACTGCCTGTGCTTTTTTTTTTTTTTGCGAACTCGTGTAGCCCCACGATCTTGTCACTATACCTCGGACATACCAAACACATCGGGACAGTTGCACATTCCAAAGATCTGAAACCCAATCTCTCTTTGAACCGCCGAGATGATTGGCAGCGTCTTCTTCGTATTCAACCGCCTGGTTGAGATCGTCTTCCTGATCCCAATCATTGGCATGCTGGTATGTCCCTCTATCAACCAGTCCGATCAGCAATACCCCTCCGAGTCTCCCGCTAACGATGTCTCCGAACTTAGGCCTACTTCGTCAACGGCTACCTAAAAGCAAACGAGCTGACCCCACCCTATATCCTGGTCCTCTTCATCGTCAGCGTAATCGCCATCTTCTGGGCCCTCGATACTCTAATCCGCTTCTCAACAACAAAGCGATCAGCAATCTTTGTCGCATTCGTGGACCTACTCTTCTTCGGCGCCTTTATCGCATCCGTCTACCAGCTCCGTTTCATCGCCAACGCAGACTGTGCAAGCTGGAATGGCGGCTCCGTCTGGATCTCCCTGGGTCCATTCGGGTCCTATGGCGAGCGTACAGATAATCCGCTATCCCTGGACGTCAACAAGACTTGCGCTATGCTGAAGGCCTCCTTTGCTATTGGTATCATGGAGACGGCATTCTTCTTCTGGACTGCGCTGCTTGCGCTGTTCTTGCACCACTCGCATAACCCGGCTGCTGTTAAGGAGACAACGACTGTTCGGAGACGTAGTCATTCCAGTCGTCGTGGTCATGGCTCTGGATCGCACTCGCGTCATCGCAGCTCCAGTCGCAGACCTGCGCCTTACGTCGTTTGATTTTGTTTTATATGATCGGCTTTTCTTTTACTTTTTGTTTTTTACGCGACGTGCTTCTCATGATTGAATGAAGATCATATGCCTTAATGAGAAACGGATTGGGACATTTCCTTGGATGGATGGATACCGGAACAATTGTGAAATCGCAGCGATGGGTATCATATTCAGATTTTCGTTTTATGTGCTGGAAAAATGGCCATTTCGGACAGTTGAGATTGTCGTCTCCATGTCTTTTCATACTATTGTTTAGTTTTGTTTGTAATGCAAGCTCCATTATGATTAACACATGGTATCCGACTTATTTTTATGCCGATTTGGCCATTTGTACTAAAATTCCCCATTCATATAGGATCTATAGTGGCGCGAGAGCGAAGAGCGTTTCAATAAAAGCATCCATATTTCCTATACTAGAATTGAAAGCTCACTACCGCTAGATCTAGAACATTCAATCTACTGACTCGATAAACTACATATGATCTTGCGAGACACATGCATAGTAGCCTTCGCAATATGCAACAGCCTACAGAATGGAATTGGCAGATATTCTGTGTGATTAGGGTCAGCAATTACTCGTTTATTTTATAATCAGCTACAACATACTCCGTAGTTAACTCACAGATTGCTTGACCAATAATTAACTAGTGGGTCTTAGTGGCCGAGGTGGGTTTGTCATGTTAGTGCACTTTTGATGTTTCCATACCAGTGACTCAACCGTACCGCACACAGGAACTTCCAAAGAGAGCACCATTGAAAACAAATATAAAACATGGCCACAGAGGGGGAATTTGTAACTGTAAAGGCATTCTTGCCCACAGTCCCACTTCCCGCAAATAGCGAGCGACCAGCAATAACAACGGACCGCTTACTCCTCCGTGCCCTCCAATCAACCGACTTGGAAGCGTTACACGTCCTGCGCACACAAGAAGAAGTCATGAAATGGACTAGTGCTGGGTGTATCGACGAAAGCATTGAGAAGACCAAATCCAAACTGGATCCTTTCCTACCACCAAATGATCTTATCACGGCCAACTATGCCATCTGCCTGAAGGAAACAGGCGAACTTATCGGTATCGGCGGGTGCCATCTTTATCCGGGAACTCATGGGTGGCCTGAAGTTGGATACATGCTTCGGACGGACGCTTGGGGGAAAGGCATTGCGACGGAGTTCTTGGGTGCTTGGCTAAGGGTTTGGTCAGAATTACCTCGGACAGAGCGGGAGGTCAGAGTTGAGAAAGAGATGGTCATTGGAAAAGGTGTGGTGGATGAGCACCTTATTGCTATTACGGAGGCAAGCAATCGTGGAAGTCAGAGAGTGCTGTTGAAATGCGGGTTTGAGCGATTCCGCGAATTTGTCGAGGTGGATGGTACCAAGATCGTGAATCTTGTTGCTTTCCGTTTCGTTCCAACTGTACGTAAAATATAAGAAAGGGTTGATATCATAATATACATATGTAGAAGGTCGAGACCTGATCACATCACTGCAGATATTACTTGCAAATGAACAGGAGACGGAGAAATACCGTCTCGACCGGGCGTACGTCAATATACAATCCGTCAACCCCAGGCCTTAAGTTCAAGCTTCCCCGGGTTCCCCAACGTTGCGCACCTTTCATTATGAGGGGGACTGACACGTGAGCGGGTCTTCCCCCGTCCACTGAGAGCATAAATGGAGACCAGACCACCAGTCGATTAATCAATCCTCTAATGAATACCCAAAAATATATTCAGAAACAATGGAACATTTCGATATTGCAGTTGTTGGACTTGGCGTGCTTGGAAGTGCGGCTGCGTACCAGGCCGCTCTAAGAGGCAAGAAAGTAGTTGCATTCGAGCAGTTCGAGCTAGGCCATGTGCGCGGAGCCTCCCATGACACATCCCGAATCGTCAGGACAGCAAACGCATCGCCTGAATATGTTTCTCTCGCTAAATCCGCCTACAGGGACTGGGCCGACCTGGAAAAGGCTACGGACCAACAGTTGTTAACGATCACCGGTGGTGTTATGTTTTTCCCCGAGGGCGCAAACCCTCCACGTCTTGACTATACGACAAGCCTCGACGCCAAAAACGTGCCATATGAAGTTCTGGGTTCCAAAGAAGTCAACAAGCGTTGGCCCCAGTTCAACATCCCGCACACGGTCGAGACGGTATATACAGCCGACACTGGCATTGCTCATGCGGCCAAGACAGTCCTAGCTATGCAAAGTCTAGCAAGGACAAATGGTGCACTTTTGAAGGAGCACACACGAGTGGACCGTGTGACGCCAAGGAAATCAGGCACGGGTGTTGTAATCGAAACATCCAAGGGACAATTCCACGCAGCCAAAGTCATTCTCGCCACCGATGCATGGACCAACAAGCTCCTTGTTCCCCTTGGTGTACACATTCCATTGACGGTGATGCAAGAGCAAGTGACATATTTCAAGCCGACGGAAGAACAATCCTGGGAACCTGGGCGTTTTCCCGTGTGGATCTGGAGCGGCGATCCCTGCTTCTATGGGTTCCCATCTTTTGGCGAACCGACTATCAAGGTAGGCCGCGATACTTCAAACAATTTAATGACACCTGAGCAACGTACCTATGTCCACTCGCCACAGTTGCTGGAGCAGCTTTGTTCGTTTATGGGCAATTTCATACCCGACAAGGACCGTCAACCACTTCGTACTATCACTTGTCAATACTCTATCACTCCGGATCGACAGTTCATTATTAGTCCGTTGGAAAAGTACCAGGATATTATTGTTAGTCTCGGGGCTGCCCATGCGTTCAAATTTGCGCCTGCATTTGGTCGTGCTCTTGCGGAGTTAGCAATTGATGGGAAGAGTACGGAGGATCTTTCGGAGTTTAGTATTCCGAGTAGCTCTACTTCTACTAGCAAGCTCTAGTTAAGATATTCATGATTTATGATTGTTCAGGTTGAAGCCCGGGTCAATATTTTCATCAAAAATGGCGCATAATGTAATGAGAATTTGTATTGTACAGTTGTTAAAGAAGCTAAGTATTATACATAATCCCCTCAATAGGAGCTTTGCCAATGGTATCAACGTGTATAAAGCGCTACAGGGTTGAACAAGTAAAACAGGACCAATATCTAAACAACCAGCACAGTCAGCATATGCAGAACAAATATAGTAGCTCCGAAGACTATTAACTGTGATTTCCACACTTTACTACGGGATTACCCGGACATATATTTGTTCTATCGCATATATAGATCCAGCCCTCCTCTATCTATGCCCGAGTAGGGTTTAACTCTTTTCCAGCCAACATTGTCTACGTGATAAGCGCACGCATGCCAGAGGAAATGGAACGCTTGTTCCGACAAGTCAACAATCTAGGCCTGATTGCCGAGAACGGGTGTTTCGTGCGCGAGCCAAACGCCGATACCTGGACCCATCTTGCAGACAAGCTGCATGTCAAAACCCTCGCCTTCCTTAAAACCAAGGCAGCACAACTGACGAGTTCTAGCACTTTCACAACCATAACAGATAGATGGAAATCCTCCTAGCATGTGAGCAACCCATATTTACCTTCACAAGTCTCGCTCAGTCCACCGTGACCTGCTACGCAGAACTCGGAAATGCCTACCCCAAGCTAAGAGCTCGACTTCACCCAGTCACCGTTTCCACCGCCTCATGTGCAGTTCATGGCTACCGCCACACCAGTAACGGGGTTTCGATTGTGACAATCACGTCTGACTCGGACGTCGAGGCAGATGCCAAACCCAGCCGGATGAGACCTAACAACCGATATATTGCAATGATTCCCAGGCAGCTTAGCCTGAAGACAAAGCTATAAAGGGTCATCAGCAGCTTCAACTTGCGTCCTTCCTAGGGCCTTATATATATATTTATATGCCCGCGGTTGCGAACATTCCATACCCATTGATGCTATATGAAAGTTCAACAAAGACGAAGGGTCCCAGCACGGTTGTCGTGATGCCGACACTGACGGCGACATCTACCCTGATAGATGGCCTATTGGAGAGTCCGTTTATGGGGCTTGGAACTGCCCTTCGCTGCCGTCTATGCAGATCATTACGTATCGGCGGGTTCATTCCTTAGACCGTACATTTGGCTGCTCAGCAAAAAGGTTCATCGGGTGTCAGCTTCTGCAATAGACCCTTTATCCGTGGCTCAGAAGTGACACCGGGAAGCATCTATGGTTGGAATTACTACATCTTCAAGTTGGCCTGCCGATTGAAGCTATCACTTGTCGCTAAAACGGTGTTATTTTAAATGCACTTTCACTTTGGCTATGCACTTTGATATCTTTCTTCTCGTAGGCCTCTCTCGATAGATGCAGCTACCAAACTAGTAATAGTTCCTAGAAATAGGATGTGATCATCTAACATGGTATGATTACACTCATAGTTGATGCCGACTGCTATTTCAAGGCTGCGTGGGTCTTTTTCGAGCTTAGAGTGGCTTTGGGCGTATGATATACCAGGTTTTTAGTGTTCTGCTTAGCTTCCTATTAATGGATATGGGAAATTAAACAATGCGAACCGGGTTATATAGTGGACAAGGTGATGCCTTTCATTCATACAGTTTGCTGAGGGTGTAATTTGACCTGTGGTTATCATCTTTGTGCCAACTACCTAGGTACATGTACATACGGACGATCACCTGGTGAAGTACCCGCGTACCTTCCCGAGCAGGCACCTTCCCTTTTGGGTCGAAACTCGTCGCCCACCGCAGTTTCCCTGTTTGCCTAGGCCACTGGAAAGGTATAAATACCCCTTCCTCCCCCCATACCTCTCTCTCTCTTCTTCTTTCTTCCTTCTCCACACCACTCCGGGTCCACATTGCACATCGTGGTTCCCGTCGAGTACCCTTCAATTTTTTGACCTTTGGTTCCGGCTTCAGGTCTCTATTCAACATATTGATGCTGTTGTCAAGTGATTGGTTTATCCTGATGACTCTGGCGGGTCTCTGTAGGCGGCCCCTGCTAGGCTGCGAATGGCACGAAGCATGTCTTGGGAGGTAACAGGTGTAGGCTCCGGCTGAGGCACTCCTATGAACCGCTGCGGATACAGACTGAACGTGTAGGGGTGCTCCCGTTGTCCGCCAGGAGCTGAACCAACCTTTGAAGGAGCTCTGTTCTCATCTCCTCTGCGTGCTCTTTGAGCCAATTTTTTGTTTTTCCCACAGAGACAGCTCTCTGTTGTCCGAAGATCTTTCTGAGGACGCCTTTTTTTTCTCTTTTCTGCAAGGTTGCTTCCTTTTATGGTTCCAATCTATTGTTGTCTTATTCTACATTATTGTTGTTCTGTTCCATATTTTGTACAATAACACTGAAGGGCTTGCTTGAGGCTAGGTGCTTAAGCCTTGAGAAGCTGTTGCTAATGCGTCGTCCCTCATTACAATGAAATCAAGTAAAAAAAGAACCAAATTTGACTCAAAGTTGTTAATACATATCTCAACACCAAGACCTGGAATCATCTATACAGTACAGAGTCCCGTCGTTTCAATGCAATCGACCGGATACTAAAAGGAAAATAAAAATGCATCGGAATACAGAAGACACAAGACTGATCCCCTACTTCTTCAACCCTTCATCACCAGGAGCCAGACCCGTAAACGGATCAAGACGCAGCTCCTGAGCCGTGATAGGGGTGTAAGAAGTCCGGCCTTCCTCTGCCATCTTCAACCGACGCAACTGACCCGCCTCACCAGCGCGACCAAGAATTCCCGCAATAAGACAAGTAGCCCGCAGACTATCATCGTTCGAGGGAATCGGGTAGGTAACACGCGTAGGATCCGCATCGGTATCAATAACACCGATAGTAGGAACATTGTTAAGTCCACACTCATGGAGCAAGACAACGTTCTCAAGCGGGTTAAGACAAACGACCAAATCGGGCTTGAGCGACGGGCGATCAGCAAGATCAGACTTGAAGTTAGGCAATTCCTCGTCCAGCGCGTTGACAACTTTCGTCTCGCAGTGGCCGAGAATCTGCTCGCCGTTCGTCAGAGAGCCCGGAATCCAACGCTCGAAGATGTGGTATCCTTTTGCTAGTGACGCGGCCTTGACAACGGCCCGCTTCTGGCCCTTCCGTGTACCGGCGAAGAGGATTAGTCCGCCGCGTGCGGCGACTTCCTCAACTACTTTTGCGGCGCGGCGGAGGTGAGCGGCTGTTACGTCCAGCGAGATGATGTGCACCCCCTCGCGGATACCAAAGATGTATCGCGAGTTCTGGGGGTTCCAGCGTGAAGTCGAATGGCCCAGGTGGGTTCCTGCTGCTAGCAGCATTTCCAGGGAGATCTGGGATGGCTTGGGAGGGTTACGGATGACATTTTCGGGGTCGTAGGAGGATTTCACGTTTGTGCCGAGTTTTTTGAAATTGCTTCCTAGAAAAAGAAATAGGGTTAGTTGATGTGTTAAGGGAATCTCCGAGGAGGAATTCGCGGCTCACTTTGCGGCTGGTCTGATGTGAATTCTTGGTGTGCGGGTGTGGTAGCCTCGGATTGCGCCTGCATCATCTCAAAGATGGGGTTTTCTGTCCGAGGGGTCTCATCTCTAGTAGATGTCTGCAATGTCTCGACTGGGGTTTCGGGCAACGTCGATTGGAAGCGACTCGAAACCGGGGCTCGTCGGCTCAGAGCAAGGAGCTGGCGGCCTTTGGGGTGTTGTTAGCAGGGGCATTGAATGTGATGGCAGCAATTAGATCACACTTACTCTGGCGCATACAAAGCTTCCGTATAATCATTTTGGGAATACTAAATTGCAGATGTGTCTGACAAGGAGGTTACTGGGACTTGTCCGCTCGAACTTTTGTCGGGCTTGGCATTTGGTGCCTGAGGCCTTACGCTATTCCACTTGGGGTGGTGTTTTGGCCTCTCCGCCTACTACACTTCTTCTCATAGACAGCGCTGTCTATTATCATTCATGACTTACGGTTTACGGTTTGGTTTACTGTTCTCTACAATAGACGGTTCAGTAAAGTAATCACGTTGCAATTGAAAATTATGGTCAGATCACACAAAGGTGATTTCTGATGTCAACGCAGTTCTGTCATGGTACAAGCCTCTCGAGGGCAAAGAAAAAGCCCCATGAAAAATAAAACGATCTGGCAGAAGGGGGAAAAAAAGAAATGCATGCCGCCCATTGTGATGATAATAAAAGCAAAGAAAGAAATTCATGAAAACCGTGTCATCAGGCAGAAAATGTAAGAGGAAAGTTCATCAGAAACCTTCTACTTCTTGAAGAAGCCACCGAGCTGATCCATCATGCCGCCGCTACCACTGTTGGAAGGGGGGGCCGCCATACTGACTGCCAGGAGGGGGGGCACCGTACTGGGGAGGAGACTGGTCGTCCTTGCGGTGCTTCTTGACGGCGTCTTCAGCGATGCTACCAATGATGGCTCCACCGATGGTTCCGAGGAAACCGTGGTTGACCTTGTGGCCGGCGAAACCACCGGCGGCACCACCGGCGAGGGCACCGGCAATACCACGCTCGCCGTCCTGGGCCTCACCGGGGGCACCCTGCTGCTCCTGCTCGTAGCCACTGTGATCTCTGTCAGTACATGATGAATGAAGTGAAAGGTGAGGGAAGCACATACCCCTGGCGGTTCTGGTCGTGCTGGCCGTAGCCTTGCTGCTGGTGTTGCTGGCCAGCGTAGTAGTCGGAAGAACCACCCTGCTGCTGGCCATAGCCCTGCTGCTGGTGTTGCTGGCCGGCGTAGTAGTCGGAAGAACCACCCTGCTGACCATAGCCTGGCTGGCCGTAGCCCTGCTGAGGCTGACCGTACTGTTGCTGTTGGTCGTAACCCTGCTGACCACCGTAACCTGGTTGGCCACCGTAGCCTTGCTGCTGGCCGTAACCTTGCTGGCCATAACCTTGCTGGCCATAACCCTGGTTGTACTGATCGTAGCCGGACATGATGTAATTTGATTGATAAAAGATTGAAGGTGGAAGGTAGAGGGTAATGTAGAGGTGAGGAGTGGTAAGTGATGAAGAGAAGTCAAGTGAGGGGGCAACCTTTTATAAGAGGTAACTCCCAAGTAACCACAGGGCTGACGGGAAGCACCCCACATGGCAAGCGAAAACTTACGAAACGAGGGGCGCAGCGTTTGGTAAGCGTCAGTCATTTCAGCCCTGTACATCTTGCATATAATTGCATCTTTGTCTGTTTTTTTACGGTCATTTTACTAGTTCGGACTTGAAATCGAACCCCCTAGAACGTCAAATGGATGCACTCAGCCTGATTAAGTTAATTACACCGCCACAATCCGCGCAACATAATACTGTATTTACTTGTGGCTATGCCAGGCTGAGCCTCGGTTTATAGTTACATTACCTTAGGTACCAAGGTCGTACCCAGGTACCTCCCAAAAATAGATTACAATATAACACGGATCTCTCGGCTTCCACGGATCTTCCAGAATATTTATCTCCGCTACTGCACACTGGCTCTCGGCATTCTGTATTGGGTCATTTTTTATGTGGCTGCCTACGCTAAGCCCCTTATTCCATCTTTGTCCGACCCACCATACCCGAACAGAACGCCCGAAACTTGGAGAATCGTCATTACGAGATGTTGGAAGGTGGCGTCATCCCGATATTCTCCAGATCTGACCTATGTTGTATATTGATATCACGAGTCTGAACTTCGTGACTCTAAGAAAGAAAAAATAGTGCCTAGAGCCAAAGTCATATAGCTGTAGTATAACCTTCAATAATTATTGGTGGCATCAGCAAGCCCCACCATTCGAATGTGTCAACGCATCTCTCTAAAACAAGTCAAATTATATTGAAATCATAATGAAAACATGTTCAAGTGACATTAGCGAACCGGGGGTTAACAATGTGCAACGTAGATCACTTGTATACAATTTGACTTTGGGGATGTCAACAATATATATAATCTTGAACAGCATGCGACAGCACGCGAGCAAGAATTGTAGAATTTGTAGAATATAATAAACAGAACTTGGCTGCAATGATTATTGACAAAGGAGATCATCACCAGATCACCTATTGGCTTGAAGGACAGCCCCATCACAGCCCATCTCTTGACCCCGTGGACCACTCAGGTGCCCTCATTTCTATATTGAAGTGTATTGAATGATCGATTATGATCGACGCATGACCGATTTAAACATTCGACTATTAACACGGGACTTGATCGGATGACAGTAGCTTAATCCATCCCGCAAGGTCCTGTATATCCTACGTTGTACAACATACAGCGGACGTGCAAACCACTTGCCGAGCGCAAGAGTCCAAACCACGTCTGAGATATACTCCTAACACACGGTCTTGATCGTCATTAGATCTGATATGTTTCTTGTACATGCGCTCAAACTTCAACCAGAGAACACTTTGATCTCTACAAACACTGTAGATTTCCGAGATCAGTTCCAACTCCCGAGCCGATCAACAGAGTATAGTGGGCATGCAGAACACGCTAGACCAATCAAACCGCCGGGTTGGAGCACTTTGACCGAGCGTTCGCCTGTAGCTTGTCAAATGCTCATCTGTGCTCCAGAACTTTATGCCCCTTTTTACCTGGCGCTCTTGCTGCTGGATGATCATTGGGACGCTATCCGGTGATCCACTCTTTGCTTTTTTAATGTGGTCAGCCCTATTTTTTTTTTTCCTTCGGTGTGATTTCCATATTAGTATATGGATCATGGTTGTCCTGCACATATACTTAGAGCTAAGGGTGCCCGATCGGCATGGGCAAGTTTCAATGGAGGGGTTTGCTTTTTCCACACTTTTATAATTGCTCCTAGGGATCATTCTTCTTGGTTCTTCACTGCTCTGCTGTCCAGGCAAGCTATTACGCGCTTGCTTTGTATGTGACTGGGCTATAGTTAGCCTGTGTGCCAAAATGCTACTGCAATCGGCCCTCTCAGCTCTGTGCTTTTGCCTCGCCATAGCGTCCGCCAAATCACACCCAACGGTCTATATGATTCGACACGGCGAGAAGCCTCAGAACTCAACCGATCATGGTTTAACCCCAGATGGGGTCAAGCGGGCGCAGTGTCTAAGGCGTGTTTTCGGTCAAGGCTCAGAGTATGGTATAGGGTATATTATGGCACCTCGTGTGAGATGGGGTATGTTTACAACAAGACTCGAGAGCAAACCTACCACAGTGCCGAAACGAGACGCGGGGGAGATTGAGCTTCATAGAAGTGGCTGACAATATGCTTTCCGTTTGTAGATGGCGCGCATGGCCGTGCGTTTAAAACCGTTCTACCTCTTGCCGACGACCTCGGTCTCACGGTTGACACACACTGCAAGCGGAAGAAAGTGAAATGCGTGGCCAAGGCGATCAGGTCGTATGATGGACCGGGCAACATTTTGATTGCATGGCGGCACTCGAATATGGGTGGGATTGAGGAGGAGCTTGGTGCTTTGGAGCCTATTGAATATCCGGATGAGCGGTAGGTGATTGTATCTTTGTGTATCTGTGGCTTGTTCGTATGGGTTTCGCACTGGGAGAGATATGTCTGGGAGACGGTTGTCCCATGGCATATTCGACTCGGGACTCTCTTCAGCAGAAGCTCGTTTGTTTGATTTGTGTCGTGCCCTGACGCTGACTGCTATAGATTCGACCTAATTTGGACAGATCCTTGGCCGTATGGAAATATAACGAGTATCAAAAGCGAGGAATGTCCTGGACTAGATGTCAGGACTAGCCTCGTGGATCAGTCGTGATATAGAGATGGAAAGCATGTCTATTTTGTTTGTTATTGAGTGTATATTCATGGACTGAATAAAAGGAAGTATAGTAATAATCAGAGAGTTAATAGAAGAGAAATATAGAGGAAAAAAAACACAATCAAAAGGGATGAATAGAAACAATAAAGTAGAGGGAACAATCAACCGAACTTCCAGGAACCTCTCGATCAACACACAGACCAACTCAGCAAAATTGTTGTGGGAAGGCGGTGAACCAGGCGAAGCGGAGACAATTGTAGCGCCAAGATTTCATCCCCCCAAATTTTTCGTTGCGCTTGACCGTCGAGCTTTCCCTTCCAGATTACAATTTCTGTCTACGGGAAAGGATTATGGATGATATTGAGGTTTGTGCACTCGGAGAATGCCCCGCAAGGATTGCGAGCTGACTGCCCTCAAGGAACGGCTGCGCAGCCATGCGCAGGCATTTGACGGTCTGCTGTCTTTGATCCCCGCCAAATACTATTATGGCGAAGAAGATACAAGTGTATGTAGCCCTTGGTGCATTTCATAAGTTGTTGAATATGGGATTGGAGTCAGCTTGTGTTCTTGCCTCTATAATCCATTCCGAAGATCTCTGTCTGACCATCGTCCTCATTTTTAGGATCAATGGCAACGCAAAAAGCAAACCAAAGAACAAGCACGCGAGGCGAAGCGGGCGAAGTTGAACCCCGAAGCCGCTAAGACCGCCAAAGACGTGATGGATGAAAACGCACGCAAGCGAAAGCGGGAGGACGGCACCCTCCAGTCCGACTCGTCCGACGGAGAGATAGGCACAGAGACCCCCAAGGAAGGACTGAACCGCGGAGCCGCCAACATCAAGAAGCAAAAGCAGGTTGAAAAGACTGATAAGCCAGACGCCGAAAAGGCAGCAGAGGCTGAGGCACGGAAAAAGCAAAAGGAAGAGAAGAAGGCCCAGAAGAAGGCCGCCCAAATGGAGAAAAAGAAGGCGAAGGATGCTGCCCGGAAGGAGAAATCTCAGCAGGGCAAGAAGCCATCGACCACCCCAACCGAGGATTCGGAAAAATCTGCAACCAAGCCTAACGGCAATGCAGCCAAGGACACCGAAGCATCCGAGGATGAAGAGGATAACGACCAAGAGGATGACGGTGTTGTCGAGGAAGGGTTCTCCATTGAGTTCAACGTTGAACAGGAAGACCCTTCTTCTGCTCCTTCTACTACCGACTCTCCTGATGCCTCAAATCCCCAATCTGGCACCTCCTCCATTTCCTCTATCGTCCCTCCCTCCACCTCCACCGAAGCCAAACCAGCAGAGCCCAAACCTCTCAAGCACACACCCGAAGAGCTGAAGCAGCGTCTGCAGAAACGTCTGGATGAGCTCCGGGCAAAGCGCCACGCAGATGGACTCAACGGCAAGCCTGCACGCAACCGCCAAGAGTTGATCGAAGCCCGCCGACAAAAAGCCGAGCAAAGAAAGGCACACAAGAAGGAATTGCGTGAAAAGGCCAAGGTTGAGGAAGAGAAGAAGAATGACGAGGCCATGGCACGCCGCTTCTCGCCTGGTGGCTCTGGATCCCTCCTGGCGTCCCCTCGCTCCCCTGCCGAATCCGTCGGCTCCGCCAGCAACAGCTTCTCCTTCGGCCGTGTGATGTTCACAGACGGTCAGCAGACAGACCTCACCGGAACCAACGTGCGCGAAAAGCCGAAGACCCATGGCGCCCGTGACCCAGCTTCCCAGCTCAAGGCTGTCGAGGCCAAGAAAGCCCGCCTCGAAGAGATGGACCCCGCCAAGCGTGCTGATGTCGAGGACAAGGACCTCTGGTTGAACGCCAAAAAGCGTGCCCACGGCGAGCGTGTCCGCGACGATACCTCTCTGTTGAAGAAGGCCCTCAAGCGCAAGGAGACGGCGAAGAAGAAGTCCGCGCGTGAGTGGAGGGACCGCATCGACACCGTCGCCAGCTCCAAGGAACAGCGCCAGACTAAGCGCGATGAGAACCTTCGCAAGCGTCGGGATGAGAAGGGTAGCAAGGGTGGCAAGAAGAAGTCCAGCAGCAGTGGAAAGAAGAAGGCTGCTCGTCCTGGATTCGAGGGCAGCTTCAAGGGTGGTGGCAAGAAATAAGCAAGCTTCTATCTGGTGGCTTAATTTTATTTCGTTTCTCACTTGCTTTTACACCAACCCGCCTTCTTTTATATTCTTCTTTTTCTTTTCTCTGCATACCCTTCAAACCGGTCTTTGTCTCTTGGATGTAAAGATCCTTGAGCTAAGGTCGCATACAGAAGCCCCCGAACCGACAAAAAAAAAAAGTGTTTTGAGACTTTGAACTGGGAAATATCCGTCCGGAGATCAAGGTGCCTGGTGTTTGCGTTTGTGTCTTTGGCGGCTTGGTCTGTCAATTTATGTCTATGCATGACAGCATCGGTAGCGATTTGATTTATCTGTGAATACAATATCATTTTCTTATCGGGCTGTATATGTGTTCCTTGTGTCTTTATCCCTATGTAAACCTCTATATCTCAAGATGTACTATATGTATGCGGTTAGCGGGAAAATGTCCCACACAGCTATAAGGGCGTTCAATCGATTGAATTTATATATATTTGAATTGGATCTCAATCAGAAGAAAAGAGCTGCTAGATTCCACAACATAGGAAATAAAAAGAGACAAGGGAGCCAGTTTTCCAGGGGAAGACATTTCCTTTAGGAATTGACTAGTACAAGATGATAACACAGTCGAGGGCAAGTTATGTACAGTGATGTGATGGGGCTTAAAATCTTTCTTGTTTTTCAAGGCACTAGTAGTGCCTCTTGAATCGATGGGTATTGCGACCAGCATCTTCATGTCCACATGTCTAACATCTGGAATAGATGTGGATTTGCCTTGAAGATGCCAATCAGATTGGAGGGGAATAGATTATCGGTAGGGAGAATCTGCACGAGCAGCAGCAGCAATCTCAGGCTCCCACTTGTCACCGTTGGAGAGGAGCTTCTCCTTGTTGTACAGAAGCTCCTCGCGGGTCTCAGTGGCATACTCGGCGTTGGAAGCTGAAAGATAAAATATTAGTAATCCGGTCTGAATGTCAACTGTGAGATGTAACCGGGGGGTGTTCGACTCACTCTCAACGATGGCATCCACAGGGCAGCTCTCCTGGCAGTAGCCACAGTAGATGCACTTGGTCATATCAATATCGTAACGGGTCGTCCGGCGGCTTCCGTCTTCACGCTCTTCAGCCTCAATGGTAATAGCCTGGGCAGGGCAGACGGCCTCACAGAGCTTGCAAGCAATGCAGCGCTCTTCACCAGTGGGATAACGACGGAGGGCGTGTTCACCACGGAAACGGGGGAGATAGGACCCTTCTCGAAGGGGTAGAAGATAGTGTAACTGGAGCATGGCCACGTAATTAGTTGATATATTTCGATGCCATTGATTCTGGATTGCGATCCGCATCGCCGGCAGGGTTGGGGTGGGACAAGGACTTACGGTGGTCTGAAAAACTGCTCGAGCACCACGTACATGCCGCGGAAGATCTCTGCCATGAGGAAGTATTTGCTGGCCTTGTCCAAGGCGGACTCGGAGTCCTGATCCCAGCGCTTGGGCGGGGGCAGGCGGAACCCGGCCTGAGGGGGTCCCGCTGGGGTTGCTGCGCGGTACGTCGAGGAAGAGAAGTTTGCGGTTGAGCCCAGCAATCCGAAGGGGGTCGGCCGACGGTAGGCGAATAGCCTCGCGACCGAGCGGGTGGCGGCCATGGTTTTGGAGAGGAGAGTGAGGTTGGATATATGGGGGAATCGAGGTTCAATTGGAGGTGGAAGGGGAGCAAGTCTCAGGTTGTGGTGGTTTGCAGGTTTCGGGCTTAGGTCATTCCTTTCTGTCGGGCGTTGATTGGCCCGCAGGATTTTGCTGGAGCGCGACCTCACATCTTTCCTCTTCTGCGGCAGCCGTCTTTCCCCCAATCTCTACCCTTTTACTCTCCACCATTTCTTTTTAATACTTTAGATCTTTTCAGCCTTTGCGCTTGTCCGATCAATCTATTTCATCATGTTCCGCTCCGCCATTGCTCGTTCCTTGAAGGCTTCCGCCCCCCGTGTCATCAAGACCCCGGCTCCCTTCCACATCCGCAGCTCCCCCATTGCTGCTCAGGTCCCTCAATTCACTCCCTGCTTCGCTCAGGGTGTCCGTCTCTACTCCGCCCCTGCTGGTCTGAACAAGACTGAGGCTGAGGGCCGGATAGTCAACCTGCTCAAGAACTTCGACAAGGTGCGTCATGTTGTTTTCCCGGGGAATCCCGCCATCTATCGGCTATAGACAAAAAGCAACATACTAACTGGATTTGTTTCATGTTTAGGTTTCCGATGCCAGCAAGGTCAGTGATTATCTATCGAATGCACCGCCGTGACCTTTATATCGCCATGAGCTATGAGAAAGGCGACCGAAAGCATTCATCAACTAAACCCGTTTGACGTGCAGATTAACGGCGCTTCCCACTTCTCGAACGACCTTGGTCTGGACAGCCTGGACACCGTCGAGGTTGTGATGGCTATTGAGGAGGTACGCGCCCTGTTTCCCTCGGAAAAACATCAATTGTGTATTATATGATAGATATCTAACTGTTTCAACAGGAGTTCAGCATTGAGATCCCCGACAAGGAGGCCGACCAGATCCACAGCGGTACGTTATGACTCGATGACCTCGTTATGGTTTGTGAACTAAAGCTGACATGAATATTCCGCATAGTTGAGAAGGCTGTTGAGTACATCCTGGCCCAGCCCGATGGTATGTGAATCCCATAGCACCTTTTCTCCCTTGACAGTTTCTAACTTCTTTATAGCCCACTAAATATTTAATTTGAAAACTTGGGATCGGTTGGAGAATCGGATAGAAAAAGAATCGGGATGTTGGCATCAGTGGGGTTCGTTGGACACAGCGACACTCAATTGACATGCTATTTTGTATGCTGAATACATGCCAGTGGCTTTTCTTTCCTATATCGTGTATATCATTTGAGTGCAATTTATGCAAGTTTGAAGCAGTATTGCTACCACGTGGTGATAGTCACCAAATGCGTCTGGACATTTTTGGTGTACAGAGTATGTTCAAATGTTTTCAGCTTAATGGTCCATTGAGCCTAGGTAAGTATAGTTATATATAGCTACATAGTTACCTCTGTATAGTTAGTTATTATTAAATGATTGTACATAAATGTATGGATGTAGCCTCTAGAGTTGGCTTTTGTGGCTATATGTTTAGTTTTAATGAACATTGACAAAAAGACCAAGTACAGTAGCATATAGTAATTGAGTAGGAGACTATAGATATATATGCCAAGTAGTCTACAACATATAGATTGCCAATTTTTTTAAAAAAACTAATAGAGCCACAAAAGGATCATAACGGGGAGAGTACCATCGTAATGTCCTTTGACTGGTGTTTTAAGCACCCGCAGATACTCAAACGAGCCACATCACCGAACTAACTTACTCTGATCTTCACCCTTTCACAACTCCGTTCATTGCAATCACCCATTCCTTTTGTATTTAGGCGGGTTTAGTTCAATATACCCGATACTGTATCGTTTTGGCTAGCCCACTCGGTCACTGGTTTCCCCTGACACCGAAAGTCCCACTTCACCCGCAGAGTTTCGGTCTAAACAAGTCTCAACATCTCACCACCCCAGACAATTCAAACAACACCCGCATATAGATCAGAAGCCTTTGGTCATATCTGGCCATATCTCTCTCCATCTCTTTTTGATTCCCCACGCCAACCCGACCCGATCTCATGGCCTCAGCAGCCGGGGGCTTGACTCGCCGCAGAGGCGCCGGTCGAGTCGCTGGGGCAGACGAACAAGATGACAGCCGAGTGTCATCGCCAATCTCCCGAAATGGCTCTGCGATGGATAACCGTGGACCGGAGACGTCGTTTACCAGTGCAGAGAATGGCCACAAGATCGCGTTCGACCCCCGCGACATCAGCGAAAACGAGGAACGGGGCAAACAACCCAAATTGACGCTGATGGAGGATATCTTGCTGCTGGGACTGAAGGATAAGCAGGTGAGTCTTTATAGATATTATCTCATGGCCGATTTGTTCGATTCGTGGTTCCGATCGCTGACCTCGCACCCGCGCCGCAACAGGGTTATCTGTCGTTCTGGAACGAAAACATCTCCTATGCCCTGCGAGGGTGTATCGTCATTGAACTAGCGCTCCGCGGTCGTATAAGCATGCAGAAGGATTCATCGCGACGACGTTTCCCCCTGGCTGACCGCATCATCGAAGTCATCGACGATACATTGACTGGGGAGGTCTTGCTGGACGAGACACTGAAGATGATGAAGTCAAGCGAGAAGATGAGCGTCAACTCATGGATTGATCTGCTGAGTGGTGAGATCAGCCCACAGCAGAAATTTGGCTTGCGACGTACTTACTGATCGGGATTGTTTGTAGGCGAAACATGGAATTTGATGAAGATCGGATATCAATTGAAGCAAGTCCGGGAACGACTGGCCAAGGGTCTTGTGGACAAGGGTATTCTCCGAACCGAAAAGCGCAACTTCCTTCTCTTCGATATGGCGACGCATCCCGTGGCCGATGGCGGCGCGAAAGACGAGCTCCACCGACGGGTGCGCAACATCTGCAGCAACCGTACTGTGATTATTCCTCCTAGCTCATGGCTCCCCGAAGACGCCGAATACCGATACCTTCGTTCAATCAGCATGGTATGTGCCGCATACGCCGCCAATGTCCTCGAGAACGCTTTGGTCACCATGAGCCACGAGGCTCGCGAGAGAGCTTTCGCGCAGGTGGATGAATTGCTAGCAGAGTATTCGCAGTGGCCGTTTGGTCGGAAGGCCGGAGGTTCACAGGCGATTGGAGCCAACTTGGCTCAAGTAGTCAATGAGGAGATCAATCGGAACAAGGATAAAGAGCTTCAGATGGAGGTAAGCTGCATCCCATACTTCAAACACTTGATTCGTGCTACATGCTAACCAACAAACAGATTGTCGCCGCATGCTTGAGCGTTTTTACCAGACTTGATTCTTTACTTTAACGGAGGTACCGCGTAATACACTTGTCTTTTGTTCTTCACGACGTCTTTCCCGTCTTCTGGTTCACTTGCCTTGCACCTCCTCGGCCACAAAACGGTTTCTTCTTCTGTTCATGTAGTTCGATCTTGTGGGATGGGGTAGAGCTTCGATTCTTTTTTTTTTTTTCATATGGAATCGTCGGGATCAAAACTTATGCTTGTATGGGATATCTCATTGACTTTGATTTACTTCACCCTTTGTTTTATTCTTCTTCTTTTCTTGAACTTGACTTTTGGTGGCATTGTGAAAGTGGTCTTTGGCCTAACCAAGTAAGTGGCCCAATATCTTCAAATTGATATACAATCCTAGGTTGCTTTCCTCGGCATTGCTTCTTCCTGTGATGTACTTGTGTGATATCTCTGTATTAAATCAATGCATCACCATGACAATCTAAGTATTGGCAATGTTATTAACCCTAACAACCACCATCCCACCACGCCGACTCCCCGCCGTCCCAGCAGCCCCAGAAGCCAAAAGATCAGCCGCACGCGCTATATCAACAATTGTATTCTCCCTCCCACGCACTAGACTCTCCTCCACCAACTCCGCAATCCGCTCCATAGCCGGCCCATCAGGATTAACAGGCACAAACCGACTCTTAATTCCACGCTTCTTCTCACCCAGCACATCATTCTCAGGAACAAGCGGAGACTGTTGCGCAACTTGGCCATCCACAACAGTCAACACAGCCCCGTAGTCCTTAACCACACCAGCAGCATGACCGGCTCGGAATACTTCGCCGCCGGCACAGTCGAGCACAATATCAACGGGCTCCCAGCGGCGTGTGCGGAACACCTTCTCGATATTACACTCCTCTGGCGATGGGAGGTGCGGGATGATGACTATCTCGTCCACTTCCCAGTCCTTCTCAATAATTTCGGCTTCAACTTGCGTGCAGGTTACACAGATCCATGGCCGGACGGGCTTGGGGAAGAGCGAATCAGCTCGCAGGATCTGCACCGCGATCCGGCCGATATCATTGTCACGGGCGTTAGTGACGAGCACTCGGATCTTGGGCGGTTTTTTGTTCCCGTTGCCATTGGAATTCGTGCTACCAATTATACTTCCTAGCAGGCTACTGCGCCGTCCAGAGCTACCGTTGCCGGTGACTCGATCGACCAGGCTGGCGCGGCGCGAATTTCCATTGGCTTCGGCACCGCTAGATGGATCGACTGTGCTGGCAGCGCGAGTGGTTGGCGCGTCGGTGTTGCCTTTGATCAGACCGATCAAACTATTGCGGCGGACAGTACTCTTGGGATTAGGGTCGATTGTGCTGGCAGCGCGAGGCATGGTTCTGTTACCACTGGGATTACCGCTAACGAGACTGATTAGGCTCTCGCGACGCACATTCTTAGGATTGACATTGGGATTGACTGCTTTAGCAGCAGGAGGGATGTTGTCAATGTCGTCACCATTGCCACTGGTCGTGCCAGAGCCATTGCCGTTGGGTGTAGAGCCGGGGCGATTCCACTGCCAAACCCAACGCCCGTTCTCAGATCTGCTGCCAGTCCTACTGGTAGTATTATTCAGCATGCCGCCGTTACCAGAGACTGTGCTTTTGCGGTGTCCGTAGCCATAATCCTTGCTACCTAGCACGGACTCACGGCGTTGTTGACGCTGCCAGAGCCACCGTCCCACCCTATTCCCACCGTTCCCAAACTCATCATCCACCTCGCTCAGTCCGCCAGGCACATCGGGATCAAGCCCAGCATACCGGAAAAGCGCCTGCCAGGCTGTCAACGCCGGCAACGCAAGCGCCGCTGCCCCAGCAACAGTGATATTGTCTGGTTTCAGTGCCAGTTCGCCCTCGGTCGCGATTGCATAGTCTGCAGCTCCGCCGTCACGAGTATAGCTCACTACGCCGAAGACTATATCTCCAATTTTGAATTTGGGGCCTTCTTCCCGCTCGTCATCTTCGCGCGGCGTGCTGATGACTGTCCCGCAAAGACTGTGGAGTGGAATCTGCGGCGTGGTGTTTGGGGGGTTGAGGAGTTTGGCGAGACGGATCTCGTCGTGACAAAAGGCGGCTGTGGTGATCTTCAGCAGGTATTGCTGAGCGGAGGGCTGTGGGGTTGGGAAACCAGCGTCGAAGACGAGGTTTGTTCCTTTCTGGCGGATAATGGTTGTGCTTGTGTCGGGTGAAATGGCTTCGCTGATTTCTCCTTCTGGGATTCCGTCGGGTGTCTCGCTGTCTAATCCGTCTGGGGTGTAGTAGAGAGCTCGCATCGACAGTGGTGTGAAGGGTGAGTCGTTCAACGTTGAGGAGGTGGGCTTTGCGGGATGTGAACTGGGCTTTATGGCTTCTGAAGTTCGTCCTGTCGCTTCTGAGGTGCGCTTGGGGGGCTCAGCTGGCTGCTCCATGGCTTTTGGGGTGCGTTTAGGGGACTCGGATGTCTGCTCCATGGCTTCTGGGGTGCGTGTTGAGGGCTGGGATGGATGCTTGGGGTCTGGTTCCACGATAGGTTGCGTGGGGGGTATATCTGACTGCATAGTGTCATTGGGATCTTGATGCATCTTGTTAGTCTAGAGATGTTTGAATCTTTCCAATGGGTTAATTGTAAGGAAGTTGAGGCTTTGGAAGTAGGGTCTTCTCTTTTGCCATCACAGGTCTATAGATCGGAGGCCATTTCCTAAGCTTGACGTATGTGGGTCACCATCGCCACTTGACAATCCCGATCAATTCCATTGCAATAAGTAGAAATCCTGTTTTATATTTCTATCTGATTGATTTTACATGAAAATATAGTATATAGAGTCTATGGTTCGTGAAAGGTGGGTAATTCGGTTCAATATCAAACTAATGGCACCAGTGGGAGGATATAGAAGGTGAAATCAGAAGCCAACGTACTAGATTTATATCACATATCATGCCCACATTTGTAATTGAGAGTTCAGATACATCGAAGGGTAAGTGTAGTCTGTTTGACTACGTAGCCCGTATAGCTGACCTGGGCATGGGCGTCCCACTTGGGTGATATAGATCGTGACTTGCCCTACACCTCCAAGGTACGGTGGACTATAGTCTAGCGGGTTGATAGTTACAGTGTATCTCTTATCCCTCGACCTGCTTGCCTTGGTGTTTGCCTGCCTTCCGTATCACCGGGACTCATCTCTGCGTGTCACTGAATATCACGATGATGGGAAAGGTAGAAGATATCTGAAAGCGTAGAGTCCAAAATAGCCAATCCAACTAAATATGTACAGATCTATTACATCTACAAAGCCAGGTCCTCCATACCCAGTCCATCAACAAAATTATACAGCTCCTCCGGATCCTCAAAGACCGTCCAAATATGCGATGGCACATACTGAAACGCCTTCTCAAACCTCGCCGGTTCATTCTTCTCTTCCATATGTGCCACATCCTTAACCTTACGAATAATGATAGCATGAATCCACTCGGGATACCGACTATACATCTCCGCATAAGCCTCCGGATCCTTCTGTGTCGAATCCCCTATACAAAGCACTCTCCGACGCGGGAACCACCCCCGAATCTTCTCCATTCGATCAACCTTGTACTCCTCCGTCTTCTCAGTGAAGGACTTGATAAGCCCCGCGATACCCATCCACGAGTAATCACGTAGCACCAGCGTCCCCGGGCAGTAATGTTCATCCAAGAAGTCATGCAGGAAAGGGTACAGATTATACGGCGACGCGGAGAGATAAAACCACGCCGGGAATAGCTCTGAATGAACATATTTATAAAGCTCCGGCATACCAGTAATAGGCTCAGGGATATCCGCAAACGTCGTGCGAAGAATCCCCGTCGGCTCAAGCGTCATAGTATGCTTAATAGTATCGTCAATATCCGAGATAACCAGCCAGCCCTCAGGCCCAGCAAAAGTAGTGCTCATCGACACAGCCTCATCGCCGAAATTCTGAAGTCGCGGTCGCACAACGGCCCCATCGTAGACCTCGACTTCACCCATATCGACCGTCTGGCTGATGATGCCGTCGCGGTCGGACGGGCCGAGTCCGTGCGACTGTGCCGGCCGAGATAGGGGTATCTGCAGCGTGACCGTGCGCGCTGGTGAGACCTGGTTGAGAAAAGGCTGGATGCGCTCTGCAATGCGTCGGCGTACTTCGTCGTCGCTGCCCACCTCGCCGTCCAGCCCGATATGGTCGGCGATCGCGGCGACGAGGTTACCCATATCTTTCCGGCCTTCGGTTTCGAAAATGCAGGCAATTACTTCGGCATGCCAGCACAGTTGGTTCTCGTCTGTCTCCTCATTTACCGGTTGGTACGCTGTATTGTCTAGCAGCCACACGGTGTGCTGGCGTGGGTCTGCTGGGTGCGCGAGTGGGTTTTTAGGACCAAGAAAAGAAGAGAAGAAGTTTATCAAGGCTGAGCCGCGTTTTTCCTGTGTTGGTGTTGGAGATGTGCAAGTTGAGACCTCATGAACCTCCTTTCTGGCATCAGCGACCGACAACTCGTCTGATTTGTGGTGCGGCATGGTACTGGCGCCGAGTTTGCTTCCAGTTTCAAGGTTGAAGCGTTTTCTTTGATAAAATAGTAGTAGAATCAATCCCGAGGAAAATCCTCAAAAAGCACATGTCAGGGCGCAAAGATGCAAAAGAAATAAATGAAACTCATCAGGGGAGAAGACGATCATATAGCTAGTCCCCTAGCCCCCGTTAGTTGACGATCTAGCATTAGTGCCATCCGGTGCTCTTCAGCCAAGAGCCTCCATTCCCACCTGATCTTGTCTGTCTTTGAAGGCTCGTATTCGATGTCATATTTGAAGTGAAGACACAAAAAACATTTAGGTGGGTGACAGGAGCAGGGCCATATGAGTTGTCAGTTGGTCAGGTCAGGAGACATTGCGGGGGGAGTTGACTTGGCAGTAGGGCTGAGCTTTTGATGAACCTGATGAACTTCATGACTTGAGGAACTGGTTTCTTTAACCGGGTGATCTGGAACATAGTCACGATGCATTTCAGAAGATTTTGGAGGTTCTGATGTTTTGATGTATTTGTTCCTGTGTGGGAAAAATGGACTGACGGTTAGGCTATGAATACTCTACCTGCTCTGGATAAGAGCGTACAATTTTAACCAAATGCTATCACGGTGTATCCAGTCTATATTTAGTAACCCTCCGGTTAACTTGTATGAAATGTACACTATCCAGACATATCAGATCATTCCTGCAACGGGTATCCGTATCCAACCAACATAGCAGGCTCATCAATGCTGTGGTGCTGATAACTGAAAATTGGAAAAAAATGTCAGTGCCAGGCTAATAAAGTGGGATAAAGGAGAATTACCTGAGAACGCCAACAGCGCCAGGGTCGAGCATCAGAGACAGAGGGAACTCCATAGGATATCCCAACCAGCGCTTGGTAAAGGCACGAAGCAAATGTCCGTGTGCAACCAGCAGAATATCAGAAGGATTCTCTCCGTGCATGTTGTCCTTGTGCATCGCACGAATCTCCTGAATGAGATTATCAAGACGGTCCGTCACCTCTTGCGCAGACCTGTATTGATATGGTCAGATATACTTGATCGTAGGCGATTGGACACGAGTTTAAAAGGGATTCTTTTCTTTTCTTTTAAAAAACAACTTACTCTCCATTCTCGCAGCCGTCTCTCCAGATATCCCACTCGCTCTCGGTATCCAGACCGTTCTCCTTTCTCAAGGCCCGGATTTGTTTAGTCAACAGACCTTCATACAAACCGTAGTCCCACTCGGCCAGTCTGTCTGTCTCAGAGACCTTCTGTGCATCTTTGAGCGCTTGCTTATCGGCATCAGAAAAAGCAATCTCATAGGTCTGCATTGCTCGCCTGCGAGGACTGATATAGACATGGGCAAGCTTAGCCGGGTCAATCAATCTGCCGGATCCGACAATCATCTTGCCAGATGCATTGACCTGGTTAACACCATCTTGGGTGAGCTCAAGCTCAGTGATTCCGGTGTACCGTCCGTTCTTGGACCATTCCGTCTGCCCTAGAATCTAGTTAGACTACGAAAAGAGAATATTGACTTGACGTTCTGGGACATACCGTGTCGGTAGAGGAAGACACGGGGTGTGCTGGGGTCTTTATCGGGCATATTTGCACTATGATTCAAGGGTAGTCCCAGGATGGTTGTTGAAAGTGGGTTGGGGAATTGTGGGAAAAGTGGAAAGGATTTCCGTCCCCCGGTGAGTTTGGAACTTCACCCGCCACGTGTGCTAACTCAACTTAGAAGTAGAACAGTAGAATAGTAGAATCTTGACCTTTTATTCTGCCTACATGTGTATTCCCAAATAATGGGTGTCGCGTAACAGAGGATTGCTAAATGGTGTACTTGATATCTATGACCTGGGAGGCGATTTTGCCCCGCCATCGCGGGGTTAGTGCGTTTATAGTAGTTATTTTATAAGTGAATGATGCCTTGAATATCATAGAATAATTCGATATTCGTAAACATTAGACCAATATATATATATATATATATATATATTCAGAGCTTCAGCTCTTTTAGAGCCTAGAATAAAAAAGGTTCGTTTGCAAACATTAATGCCATTCAACGAGCGTTGACAATACTCATAGTACTTCAACAATACCCTTGTGTTGAACTATGTTGATATATCCCTTTTCTTCTGTCTAATCCCTGTCCAAAAGTCCTTCGTCCTTCCCATTAAATAGATGCTGTATGTGGAATGATACCACAATAGCAATGGTTCAAGCCAAGATTAAGTTGACGTCTGTATTTCCTACCACAATTATCGACTTTTTCTTATTTAGATCAAATCTCAGACATAGATATAATTATCTCGTTGATACCTTGCATGACTTTCCAAAAAGAAAAAAAAAGAAAGAAATTGAACTTATTTTAGCCCTTGCATACTCCGAGTCTTGCGTTTCCTGGACGTCCCATAAAGTCTTTCTGTGTCTGCCCTAGCAAGATAAACAGAAAGCCAAAACATCTTCCAAGATTGATATCTTAAACCGATATATCAGATTGCATATTCCACTTGAATTCGGCGACATGAACAGGTATGTGGCACGTAAATCCACTTACAGAGCGAGACTAATCCTAACATATACCAGCCAACGAGGTTCCTCCAACATTCATTCCAACATGCCCTCCACAATTTCATCTATGCTACCTACCCCAGCATCATCTCGAAGTCGAAACGCCCTAAGATACGCCCCCCGCCGGAAGTACCGACCCAATCGAGCTCCCACCCGTCCGGTCTATATGGATGCAAACCCGTTCATCTGTCACACTTCCTCACACTCGTTGACGCATTCCTGGCCCAAACACCATGCAGTAGATTGCCCGCGATGCCATCGGCACCATGATGTCAGCTTTTGCAGGCAGCAACAGTAGTGAGAAGGAATTGAGCTTGGAAATATACTTTGGGGGCATAATATGATGCGAAAATGGTTAGCTGGTTAGCATCTAAATATTCCTTTCCGCAACCTGCCTAGCCATTTGAATTCCGGATTGAGAGTGATGTGGATAATGTTTTAATGTGTTTCTTTGTCGACCCTACTTGTAACTTAGTGCAAAAAGGGAGAATAAACATCTGATTCGTGAAATTTCAGAGAAGGATCATTGACGAAGAACAAACAGGCTCTGCTTGGCCACAGAGTAATATACATGAGAGTGAAGTGAGCTCACACAAGGAGAGCCCAGAGCCTTCGATATGAAGGTGAGGTGAGCCGAGGGATGAAATACAGTTCAACTGATGTTGCTCAGTTTTATTTTATACCACTGCCAGCTTTATTGTCATTAAGTACATCTTTTTATGAAAACAATTAGCTCTCCTCTCCTCTCCTAGTTCCGGAGGAATGTGGATTCTACACCATTCCTTTCTAAACATTCAAGCAGGGAAGCCACTCTTCCATCTTGTTCTTCAAGATCGCCAGCAAGCTTTCGTTTCTGCGCCTCGAGTTCGAAGATAATGCCCCTTTGTTCGTCAATCATGCCTTTCTGTCTACCGAGCTTCATTGCCTGCATTTTGAGCTGGCATGATTGTTCGCTGAATCGAGACAACAGTTCCGTGTATAGCTGTTCAAACTGCGGCTCATCTTCAAAATTGAACATCATCTCTGAATTCTTGTCGTCTGCTGTCCATTGTTCAATGATTTCAACCAGATCCACTAGGGTACTGTGACTTGGCCGGAAAAATCCCCCTTCGCCTGGTGTCATCTCGTTGATCAGTTCTTCTTGGTACTCGAGCTCCGAGAACATTGTGCTGGAAATGTTACCGAAGACTTCCTTCATCTTTGCATCTCGCTTTTCTAGCGTAGATGCTATTTTAGTTTGTCTCTCGATACTATGAACTAGGATTCTATTTTGGCACTCGAGGTCGAAAATCCTTTTTGTTTGTCGCTCGAGATCACTAACGAGCTTTTCTTTTTGGAACTCGAGGTTGGAAACTTTCTTTTTCTGTTCCTCGAGTTCGTATGTGATATTTGCCGAGTACTGTTTAAACTGGCCCACGGCTTCTTTGTGTTTCTTCTTGACGTCGAGGATAATCTGCGCCTGTTTCATCATCTCATGTCTCAGCTGTGCATTTTGTTCTTGAGACTCCTTAGGCGTGTCGTCATGTTTGTCGTCATGCCGTGGCGGCATGGAATTACATTTTGGTCCAAGATTGTTAACCATGCACTGCGGGTTAACTGAAGATCCTCTCCGTTCGGGTTCTCTGAGGAGTAAACGGTTCGTGTTTTGATTCTGCTGCTCGAGGCCGGGTGTCATCTTTGTGCTTTGCACTTTAAGCCCAAGGATAGCCATCACGTCCATTTTGTTGATACGGGCTGACCTGTCGCTGGCGTTGGGTGTTTCATGGACAGATGTGGCTCTAGTGAGAATTCTTTATTGTATGAGTTTGAGTGGGTGGACAAGTGATGTGAGTTATGGATATCTGGAAGGTATTCCTGTGAGTGACCGTTGAGTTACGTGTTATTTGTAAGGTGGAGGACTTATTTTGCCGCTTGCCTTGGTCTCGCTCCGATTCCACATTTGGCTATGACTATGCCCTTTGGAATCACAACTATCATTTTAGGAACTAAGCCAATCTTTGGAAAAGAAATAGTGAATTTGATGTGTGCCATCCATGGATGGTACCTGGTACTTTTCCCTTTTTGGTGCATATAGACATCTGGACCTTCGTCGAGTACGAAATAAGACAGATATCGTTATAATGAGTTATAACAAATAGATATTTGCAGCTCAATAACCAAGGAGCGGATATAGTTGCAGGGGTAGCTTGGTCCAAAAAGAAACTTGGTGAAAAATGACCCCGTCCCAATGACGAGATCGTGAGTGGCAATACTGGGTACTAGAATGCCAGACCCAGATTGAATGGAGTGCACTTGCTAGGGCAGTGGTCACAACAAAGCTGTCTGTGGGCGTTTCAAGAAGAAAGGGACACCCTAGATACCCCAGAAAATGATTCCGTCGAATGTGAGTAATTGATGTTCAATAGGCCTCAAGTTCACCATTTCTTCGGGGCAGAAATCTCCGCACGAGAGAACGACGCAGAGACAGTTTCATTTCCTTTCCGCTGCTGAATCGCTTTGATTCCCGTGCGGTCAGTGACCGTCGTCGCGTTGATGATATTGTCGAATGCCTCGTCTTCGCTTCCTCCTGAGCCGGACTCAGCATCTGAGTCGACATACAGCTCCTCCGGCCGAGAAATTTTCTCTGGACGCTGCTTTTCTTCTTCTTCCGGATTCTGGAATGATTTAGAACTGAGAATCTTGCGACGGATTTCAGCCATTTGCTCTTCATCTTCGGAGTCATCGGAAATCGCGAATGGGTCCTTATCTTCATCTTCCTCTTCGTCGCTGCCCTCATCTTCGTCATCTTCATCTCCGCTTTCATCGTCTGAAGTTCGTGCAGGCAAACGATTGGTGTTTCCTTTGGTCCAGATATCATCGCCTCCATCGACGCGGTTGTCTTCGTATTCGCGTTCGATCTTGGCTAGCCATTCCTCTTCCGTCCTCTTTACATCCTCTTCCGTTTCGCATGCGGCATAGCGCGCCAGAAGTTCTTTGTTGATTTCCAAGAAGGACGGTCCATAGCTGAAATGTCTGAGGAGATCTTCCGCCCATTCCAGGCGACGGCAGATGGCGAAACAAGCGGCGAGCGCTTCAACGCAGTTCAGGCGCCATGGTTTGCCGTAGTTAACCGTGTTGGCGGCGATAAGGTAGGGGACTATATACCAAGGTAGTTAGCACCCCATGAATCCAGTTCATCGTTGTCCAATTCTTATCACATACGAAGTCGTTCACATTTTCCGCCGATTCGCGACCAGGGCACTTCCTTGACTCTCACCCAAGAGCATTCCACCACGGCTGCACCGTGCTGTTCCATTGTATCTTTGTCTGCGGGAGAGATGATTCGCTTGGCATTTGGACTAGTCAATCGTTAGTATGCAAGCTAATAAAATCCAGAAAATGCGCTGCGAAACATACGAGACAATCACGCCGGGGTGCCGCTGGCCAATGTGAAGCTCCCGCATCAAACCAAGCTTCATCAGTCGCTTTCCTGAGCATCTCTTAGGGTCGCAGTGTCCCATATCCCAGCAGGCAGCCTTATAAGGAGGCCTCGAGGAGGTAGCGCCTTCACCTTCTTCATCACCGCGGGGCATTCGGGGGCGGGGGCTATTGTTGAATTTCTTGCCTCCTCGTGCGAAGTTGTCTTTTTTGTGGCGGACCATGGTGAACGATGGGATACAGATGTAAAGAGAATATTCAACAATACCGTACTTGGAGTACCTTCAGGTATTCTGTGGTGGTAAACGTAGTGATTGGGAAAAAAAAGATCCAAGCACCAGCGCCACACGTGCAGGCTAAACGGGTTCTCCGCCCGCATCCCCGTCCGCGACTGTACACATCTCCTCTGGATCCTTGTGCTTCCCAGTACCTCCATCTTTATCTGATTAATACCCTTTTCTCACTTGTCTCTTGTCCACCGTCATCCTGGAGGCTGCATCTGCACGAATGGCGGCTAGGGACCGCTTCGGTGTCTACGCTGAGCCAGGCGCTTCGCCGTTGCAGCGGGCAATTCGTGAGTCTAGCGTTGGAAATGAATGTAATACAGGTGATTCTTACTGATACTTAATTATCCATAGGAAATGCCTGCGATCCTCAAAATTACGAGCCAAACCTGGCCCTGAACCTCGAGGTTTCGGATCTAATCAACTCCAAGAAAGGCAATGCGTGAGTGAGAACACCCACGTTGTATGGCGCACACTCATGAATTCATTTCTTAGACCCCGAGAAGCTGCATTCGATATCGTTCATCTTATCAATTCCCGAAACCAGAATGTCGCATTGTTGGCGTTGGCGGTACGTGGGGAGCTCAAATGACAGCTGGCGCGGGGGAGGCTGACAACCACGGTTTCTAGCTACTCGATATTGCCGTCAAGAATTGTGGATATCCATTCCATCTACAGATTGGCACAAAGGAATTCTTGAATGAATTGGTCCGCAGGTTCCCCGAGCGGCCACCCATACGGTCCTCCAGGGTCCAGCACCGCATTTTGGAGTCGATCGAGGAGTGGCGCCAGACTATCTGCCAGACATCGCGCTATAAGGATGACCTAGGCTTCATCCGGGACATGCACCGTCTGTTGCTTTATAAGGGGTATATGTTCCCGGAGATCCGCCGAGAAGATGCTGCGGTCTTGAACCCAAGTGATGTATGTGGCCCCCACATAGTATTGTTTTTGGAGCCGAATTAACGTTAGCTAGAATCTCCGCTCCGCGGATGAGATGGAAGAGGAAGAGAAGGAAGCACAATCAGCCAAACTCCAGGAGTTGATTCGGAGAGGCACTCCCTCCGATCTACAGGAAGCGAACCGGCTCATGAAGGTTATGGCAGGATTCGACAATCGGCATAAAACCGACTACCGAGCAAAGGCCGCGGAGGAGGTTGTTAAGGTGCAGCAAAAAGCCAAGATTCTGGAAGAGATGCTGCAGAATCAACAACCCGGGGAAGCTCTCCCCGAAGGCGACGTTTTCGAGGTAGGTGATGAAACGTCACACGTGTTGTTTGCTAGTTGATTGGCCGCTGATGCTCTTACTAGGAACTTGCGGGTGCCTTGCAAAGCGCTCACCCCAAAATCCAGAAAATGTGCGAGGAGGAATCAGATGATCCCGAGGCCGTCCATAAGTTATTGGAAATAAACGATAGCATACATCGCACAATCGAGCGGTATAAGCTAGTCAAGAAGGGCGATCTGGCTGCTGCATCTCAGATTCCCAAGGGTACACTGGGCACCACGACCGGAGTCTCAACAAATGCAAACAACGAGCTCTCTCTGATTGATTTCGACCCGGAGCCTGAACCCAGTTCCAACGGTAACGAGGCGGTGCCATCCCAGGGTGGTAACTCCTTGGAGAATGACCTGCTCGGCCTTTCATTAGGTGAACAAGGTCCCTCTCCCGGAGGTGGTATTACTCTCGGATCTTCTAGTAAGTACCGTGGCACAATATTTCCCAAAAACGCACCCTCCTGACCAATATCAAAGTGAATTTCCCGTCCATGTCAGCAAGCTCCACGCCGCCTGTTCCACCACAATCTCAGCAGCAGGGGCCAACAGCCTTCAAACCCAATTATGATATCCTTGCTTCTATGAACAGTTCGCGACCTGTCTCTCAATCCCCCACACCTGTCATGGGGGTCTCGCCCCAAGTTCAGTCCACAGCGACTCCGCCACCAGCGGCTGACCCATTTGCATCGCTCGTCTCTGCCAGCCCACGGGCAACATCTAGTCCCTTCCATCCGCCGGCGCAAAGCCAAACTGCTCCTGCTTCGTCGTCATTGCTTGACCTAGTCGGAGGCACAGGTCCGTCCCCGCAACCGGCGCGGCAGGCCGCTCCAGTGGAAGATGATGAGTGGGATTTTGCATCCGCATTGCCAGCCAGCAATGCACTTCCATCAACCGGCAAGATCCAAGTCCTCAACTCCCAGCTCCGCGTTGACTTTGCTGCGCGCCGGGTGCCGAACCAGCCACGCCAGATTCACATTGTAGCCATCTTCTCAAACACAACCAGTCAACGTATTGGAGATCTTCATTTTCAAGTCGCTGTGGAGAAGGTAGGCCCTTTGCCACTATTAACATAGCCCACTTTCTAGATGAGTTTGCTGACAATTGATCAGTCCTACACGCTACAGCTTCGGCCGCAATCGGGCCGAGACATTGCACCCCAGCAGCAAAACGGGGTCCAACAGGAGATGCTCATCGACGGAATTGATGTTGGAAAGGGCAACTCGGTGAAAATTCGGTTCAAGGTGTCCTACCAGCTTGGCAGCGAGGCCCACGAGGAACATGGGATGGTGCCACCGCTGGGAATCGCCTAAGCACGCTGACCCCAGAACTTTATTTTGCTATTTTCGTTTGGTTCCGAGATTTCCCCCCAGATCTGTCCGATGGGAGTTTGGCCCGGACAATCTAGCATCCACTCCCATCAAGTCGTGGTCTTATGTATTTGATGCTCCAATCCAGACATCATCGGCGGACTCGGCTCTTCTCTACCCTTGATTGATGTCCTTTTCCTTTGGCTTTGCACTCATTGAGAACTTAGCGTCTTTTACCTATTCATGCTGTTTATAAGCAAGATTTCATTTGCGATGGGTTTCCTCTGATGGCAAGGAACGGTGTACGTGTGTGTGTGTGTGTGTGTGTGTGTGTGTGGATCGACTGGTTGATTCGCAATGATGCAGATATGAAAGTAGTCGAGAGCGAATCAATCAACCGATCCCCGTCCTCTCCATGCGAAAGAGAGGGACCGATTCCCTTGCTATACTCCATCCAATAACGCCAAGCTCCCAGAGTGATGGTACCGTCCTACTTAACCGATTAACCGGCGTGTACACCGGGCACAAGGAAAACCCCCATGTACCTGCAGGCACGTTCGTGGAATGTATCCCGAAGAAAATAAGAAAATAAACCAATTCCGCGGGTATTCCCCCTTGCATAGCCCATCCAGTGGCGGCCACGGGGAGATTGAGCCACACATTCCCTTCCAAGTATATATGCCTGCAGATCTTGGTGTGTGTTTCTGATTCCCATAACTATGTAATCGTCTTGGCGGATGTATGCGACAATGGACTATAGTTTGGGTGTGAGTGTTGAGTTTCCATGGAGCCCTTGTTCGAGCCCTGATTGTTCTCCGAGATCGACTTATCTCGGCACCCCTCCTGGTGGAATCTGGGGATTGGTTGTTTAACCTGGGCGGATACTGGAGATGTGAGAGACCCTTGGGATAAATGTTGATATAATCTTAACATATTGTACGGAATACATGGACACATATACTCCGTACTTTGTCCGGACAGGGCGATCAGCGGGGTGATCGGCCGATTCCATGTACATACATCGTAGGTGATCGCTAACTATAAGACTTTAATTGGGATTATCAATATGCCAGGTCGTATTAGGACAAAATAAGATATGCGTAGTTTATGTAAAATAACATGAAGACATAATGATATCGGATTGTTTACACAGTGGCGACTTCCGGGTCAACCTTGGGAAATCGCCTAGTCTCGGCCGGATGGGATTAGATAACCCCGGCTTTAGACTGCCCTGGGTAGTGAAAGTGGCAAATCCTCATTTCTTATGGCTTTCGATATGGCGTCGTTTTTCCATGGGAGATGAGGCTGGATCAGGCAGGTATCTGTCTAGGCCAAGAGAAGGGCCGATTTGAAGACAGGTTTGTGTGTTTGTGTGCCCAAAGAATTGAGCCCATTCATGGTGATGGGCGTAATCTGCATATCATGTATCATGTCTATGTATTCGCACAGCTTCGCAATGTGCTATATGATCCTACGCCCCGCAACAATTAACCCTAAGCGCAGGCATAATTTCCAAGGCTGTGTACCCTGCAGCGACATAGATACATGTTGCATTTATCTTGAGAGCGTATGTGTACACCTAAGCTGACCATTTTGGCAGCTATTAGTGGAGTGGGAGACTAGTGCTATGCCAAGCTGATTATCACTGGCAGTACGATATGGATGTACCTAGGTAGTGTACGAAATGAAATTTCAGGAAAAATTGCCTAGAGCCTGCCCAGTCTTGCAGGCGGAGGGGTACGCCTAGACAGGGCCAAAAAAATTACCTAATTAGGAAGGGAGAAACTGCCGATTCCTTTTATGAAAAACCTCGGGTTGGGAATTTACTTGGAATTTTTTGATTGATAATCTAGATACTGCTTCCCTTTAGGAGGTGATAATTGTAATATAGTTATTATATTAAGTGATTTTTTTATTCCACTAAGATGTGATCGTTGATCGACGATCGAGTATCCGAAACACTGCAGTAGCTCCGACATGCAGTAAGTAACCTGATTCATACATCTTCTAAAATGATCTTTGATTAAATATACATGTATAACTATAGTCTTGAATTCCAGGTTCTCGGGTGAAATGGTGGTGGTCCAGCCCTGCCCTCTGCCCGATCCGGCTATCACGTGGTACCATTCTCCTGTGTGCTACCGAAGGCACTTTCTAACAGAGAAAGGGGGAAAAAAAAAGGAAAGAAACGTGACGGTCTAACGTCTGAGGAAGATGATCTGCAGTGATTTTCGATAGAGTAACATTCATCGAAATACATATGGGATCTGTCTGGAGTATAGGGTAACGCTGCCCCACTTAACTGAAAATGGTCTAGACCTCAAGAGTTAACCTGGAATGGATTTTAATGCTCTTGATAACAAGAGATTACACACATGTGGCATCCTGCAGGTTTATTTGCAGAAGGAAGTAGAGTCCGGGAGAACTAGATATAGGCTAATTACCTAGTGGCACCATACTCGTATTTGGTGGCGCTCTCTGACCTAGAGGGACCTAAGGGAGAGGGGGACTGGGCTACCATGGACCGACCGGCCTGTAAGTTTTTCAATCGCCCAAACTATGATCGGCTTGGTTCCATGGTTCTAGCCCTGAGCTTGGGCTTAACTTTGACACTCGGGTTTCCCCTCAGCCTTTTTTGGTATTTAACTTACCTTCCCCCTCTTCTTGGGATATACTTTTTCTTATATAAATCTACTTTAATCTATTACTACCCATATATGCCCCTGTCAGATATGGACCAGGACATCGCACCTATCCCCCGTTCGCGGGAGGAGAATCAAGAGAGGTAAACTACTCTACCATATACAAGAACAAAGTGCAAATTACTAACAATCATCTAGAGCCTTTATTGCTGCATCGCGGAGAAAGGATCGTAGCTTAGACGCTCGCCTAGAATCTGCTAACCGGGCTTCCATGTTGCATAAGAAGCGCACGGGCAAGGCCTTTCACATCACCAAGGAGATTGTTGAGAAAGAAGCCATGTATGAAGAGGTCGATGAGCGGTATCAAGAAAAACGCATTCTTATGCTGCAACGCCAAAACCAGCAGATTGAAGACCAATTCAAAAATCATCTACTGGCTGCCTTTGCAGCTCGCGCTCAATTTAATGCATCTTCCATTCACAGCCGGCGAGCAAGCCACATGACCCCACGCCCATCAGTCAATGGAGTCAATGGAGGCAATGGTGGTGCCCGCAAAATGAGCTTGGATCTGTCCAACATCCGCTCTTCCTTCTCCCAGGACCCAGGCTCAATGGCTAGCCCGATGGCAACGGGTGATGGCTACGTACTATCGCCCACGGCATCATACGATCAGAGTGCCCAGCCCTACACGACCTACATGAGCGGTTCCCAGACGCCATACTCCGACATGTTCTCTGCCTCAACAGGGGCCCCGTCTGGACAAATACCTGCCTACATGAACCAACAAGCCTCAGCACCAGCCTGGAACCCCCAAGTGCCCTCATGGGCCCCGATGCAAGAGCACACCCCACCCCCCCGCCCAAACCCCCACAGACACGCACGCCGTGCAAATGTGGCAGCAGCAAATGATGCAGCAGACTCAGATGCCTGACACCGCAACCCAAATGCATCAGTTCAGAGATCGCCTGGCCTCAGCACCAGAATTGCCTCTGCAGCACACACCGGCCCCACACATTCCCTCAGCATCCATCTCTGGCCCCACCGGCCATGGCCCTACCCATGGTCACTCGCGCGGCCAGTCCCAGCCATCGAACAACTTCCACAACCTCAACCTCCTTACCCAGAGTACACAGATTTCTCACTCCCAGGTGGCCCCCTCCAGTCTTAGCTCTCCTAAGATCGAGGCCCTCTCAGCCGGCACTCACTCCACACCTGATTTCTGTCCCACTCCCAATACCCCACTGTCACCGACTACTACTACCGCGCATGTTACCATGTCGCATGGTGGAAAGGTTGACGGTGATGGTATTATGGTCTCGCATGAGGGTATGGATCCTGATTTCACGGATTTCAGTCAGTTTGCTTTCCACTTGGGCAACTCGACTGTTCCGCTTTCCGATCGTGATCAGCCTTTCGGATTTGATGATCTTCTTGCTGTTGATGATTTCACCAGCGTCTCTTGTTAACTTCGTCTATCTTGTCATGTCTATTATGATCTATGATACCTGATATACCTAGGTGGTCCTTGACTTTTTCCTTGATTTCTTTTCTTTTTGGATTTGGGTGTATATGGGGGGTTGGCTTTGCACATTTGCTCTTGTATCATATTTTATTTATCTCTCATATCTATTTCTCATTTAATATCCTGAACAGGCGTCAGGATTGGAAATGTTTGTATGTATCGGATGAACTTTTGCTCTTCTTTTTCATTCTCTTTTTTTTCCCCATTAAACATCTACTCTACTTTCATCAATGTATGTACAGATAGTATGAAGAAACAAATCCTATCCACTTTTTCTTTTCAATCTCCATATTAAAATTTCACCTTGGATTTAACGTTGCAAGTTCTAACGTTGCATTAAACCGCAAACAACAAGTCTGCATCCTAATCCGGAGCCTTCCCCACCATTCTATTCCAAAGACTGCGCGATTATTGGCAGCTCATTTTCTTTTATGGGAGAAACCCAATCCCAGACTCTATGCTCCATCGGGCCGTGCCAGTACAGCTGTAGCTATCCATACATATGTAGCTAGAGCTATAGCTTCCCCCAGCGTAGTCCCTACCTAGACATTTGACTTTTTACCTTTCTCTTTTCTTTAACCAGTACAGTCTTTTTTATCTTTAGCTTCGAGTACCAAATCTTATCCATTGTAATTTACAGACTTTCTCCCTTCAAAAGGCTCGCTTCTACCTAGGTAGTAACCCAACTCCACAACCAATATACACCCTTGGTAGTAAGTATCCAGCCTTGCGTACGTAGGTCTATTCCACAATGAAAAAGAACACAGACAAAATTTGCAGTGATATGAGGTATTTCCTAGTCCACGTAGTTCCTCATCGACAAAGTACCTAATCTAATCCCAGCGATCAGACCATCCTTAACCGTGGAACCGCACGTCTTAATTTGTCACGGTGACCATGACGCTATGTCATATCCCTGGACCTTTCAGTAGATCCCAGGCTAGGCCTTGCGGAAACAGGTACTTCCTCTCTGTTTGGCCTTTGAAATTTCGTAATCTCGTTGGTCTCGTGCGTTACCTCAGGATCATTTCCGACTTGTGCTGACCACGCAGAATAGCGTTCCTTAGCTAACTTACAATTCGAAAATTGTGTTGTCTGGTGTAAGCAAGTTAGTTTAGTTTCGTCTAGATTTAGATTTCGTGTTGAGGGAAATTAAGTTGAAATTGATGTGTCCCGTGCCCTGCGGAACTGGTTGCTGTCTTCTCGCCCCTGCTTGGACAGATTAGGCGCTCCCGGGATTACGGGTCAACGGCGATCGTGCAGGATCGACATTCATTTCTATCTTTGTTTTATCGAATGCACTGCCACTGATATCCTACAAGGCACTAGCAATGCTATTACGGGTAGTACTTAGCGTAGCTTAACTACAATTTCTATACACAAACCTCAACCCAAAAGACCAGCAACTCCAAAAGTAACCAACAGAACGGGAAAAAAAAAAAGAAAAGTGTGACCTGCCGAATCTCAGATTGCGGGGTTAAGGTTGCAGCTGGCAAGCCAAGCCCAAATTCTAATTGGCCAAACAACAAACTAGCGCCCGCACTGACCCATGAAAAGTAAAGAATCCGTCCAGACCTCTACCACGGTCGAATGCCAAGTCTGAGGGCAGCGTACCAACGGTTGAGACCTGGTTATTGTCGGCACACAGCAAATCTTACAGGGTAAAAATCAGTCTTGAATAAGAGAACTCTAATTCTTCTCGTCTGGTGGAGTAGGGATCCCCGTGCAGCTCTAACGGGGCCAGGTCCAGTATCCACCCACGGGCTCCCACGAATGCTTGCCTGGATGTGGATTGACACTAGAGTTCTGTATGGTTGGTTCCAGTTGGATTGCATTGCAACACTGGCCCCGTGCACGCTCGTGGAGGGGTGATTGGTGGCGATTTTGATTTTTCTGTTTTTATTTCTTTTCGCTTATCAGGGTTAACACTGGTCTTGTGGCTTGAGGGCCCAGTGGGTACCCTGTCAGATTGTGCTGGAGTGACTTCCAAGGTTGATGATAGGCCCATGGGTGGTGATAGTCATGGTGAGGGTCGACATGATAGTCCTAGGGCGCATGATTCGTGCCTCGTCTTTTTCCTTTTGGCCTTGGATGGTTTGACTCGGTACCCCACCTTCTATTACCAACCAGGCCCATAGAGCCCAGATCAAAATGGGGCGCTATCTTCGTATATTTTGTATTCGCTGTTGGGTCGATTGGCTGCTTCGTATATACCCGGCCAGGACTAGTAACTATGTCGATATCTCGAATCGACCAAGCTGATACCTCAATATTCTCCCGTGGTTGTAAATTGTACCAACCTCAAAATGACATAAACTTGATCCTGGCCAAGCATCCTCTCTAAACCAGATGCCCAAGTCCTTCCTGGTACATACAGCCCTGCAATATCGCCCAATCACAGTTCCCAATTCGCCCGGAAATTCCCCAGGGGTATCTCCATGATCAGCATCTAGTCCGGGCTCTCGGTGTTTAGTGGAGCAAAGTGGCTGCATCTGAGACCCGACCGAATGGGCAATGTGGGGAACGAGGCGAGGTGGTTGTGGATGCGTTTGTGCGAGGTTGCCCACCTGGGAGGACCTTCCCCGGATTTTAGAGATCACGATCTTCGTCTAAGCTCATCATTTCTTTGAGATCAGTAGAGACAATCGTTTTTGTTTTTGTTTTTGTTTTTTTCATTGTGCAATAGTATTTAGGAGATATTGATATCGCTAGTTTGTTTCAAGTACAATCAATCAACTTGTGGCATAATCCAGATCAGTATCTCTGGTATCTCGATCAAGCCTAGTTCGAATTCTAGTAAGCAATATCTTCTAATCCAAATCAAAATGCAACCAATGTTCCCAATCCGGCGGTGCCACAGGGTTAGCTAAAATATGATGGGCCAGTGAGAGGCTGGAAGAAGCCAAATCCCGGGAATGTACCAGCTTACGCCAGATCCATACACAGCCCAGAGCCCGACAGCCGATCACCGCACCTAGCCGAGTCATGCTGAAACGCAATTCAACGCAAAATGCCATCTAAATGACGGCATAACAGAACACGAGGACCAAAAGCACGTCGATCTGGTATCGGACTTGTCCGCTCATGTTCAATGCGCAGGAGTGGATATTATTGCGTGTGTGGGAGTGTTCGTGCCGCTGGACAGTGGTGGATGGGACACAATAAGACTGCTTTATGGATGTCGGAGATATTTCTCCGGATGATGGGTTGGAATGGTATGCAATTAGAGAGCTATTCTCCGGGTTTCTGCCTGTGGAGATCCATTCTTGAAAATCGATTGGATATTCGGATCCTGTCCGTGCTACGATGGAAGGTTTGCCGATCAGACATGGAGACGTTGGGTTCCGTCGGCATTGTCCGATGATTGTTGGATGTATAGATCTGGTTGATCTAATAAGGTAGACTCAAAATTCAGACACGAAGAATTGCGGAGTGTAGCAAGACGCAAACGAGGAAGTACGTATGGAGATAGTCAATCGAAGTTGTTTGGTAATGCTGATCCACAATGGAAATCATATCCGCTACTAAAGACGATAATGAGGGGCTGGCCAAGTTCGAAGGTCCATCCGCTTGCCTCCTGTTCTGTATGACCGATGAAGTGTGACAATTATCCATAACTAGTGGGGGTGATTAACATTGGGTTTGGCACAGACCCAAGCATGTCGGACAGAGCGAGTGTGTACATCGGGTTTCAAAATACAGGTAGGTGTACTGAGAACATATTCTGCAATCGAGCCCAGGTGTAAAACACAGTGTATACTTTTACATGCCACCACGGCTGAAAAGCTCTCGGCCAATGTCACCGCTGCGGCGGACACTCTGGCTCGACGAACTACTGCGTCGGCGGCGGCTACGAGACTCCGCGGGGTCAGCTGGGTTCAGCCCGCTGGCTCGGGCATGCAAGTTCAGGATGTCAGTCAAGCTGACTACTCCGGCTAGGCGCCCGGACAGCCGGGCTCCGTCTAGAGCGGAGGAAGGAATAGAATGGGAGATGGGCGTCGCCACTGCGACCGGCACACCTGGGGCTGGGTACGTGTAGGGTAAGTTAGGAGTTGGTAGATGAGGGGCGGGATATTGAGAGGGCTGTGCATAAGGTGCCACAGGTACAGAAGGAGATGGCGGTGGTGAATTTGCAGTATACGATCCGGTAGGTGGGCTGATGCTGTTGGAAAGAGGGATGTGTACTGAAGACTGCGATGGAGTTGGAGGTCCTGATGAGGCTGGAGATAATGGATCGGTCACCCAGAGCCTAAAGCAGCAGTCAGTACATCTTCCGCTTATATCTCAAGTGTGTTATAGTTACCGATGTGCTCGAGTTGCCACGATCTTTGCGACTGTGTGGGCGAGTGTAGATCCAGGATTGACGTGGAAAACCGGGAATGAGTCTTTACCCTCTATCAACCCCCGTGTGGACAGGATGACCGAGATGAAGTGAGTGCAGGTGTTTTGAAGAAGTGGCAATGAAGATGATCGGGTCAGAAGCTACCAAATCGTGAGTAAATTTTGCCAGTCAAGATGGCTCCGTCACATACCTTGACATCCGCTGTGGAGATATTCCCAAGTACGTTTAAGTAGTTATCAACAACCGCGATCGAGGACATACCCTCGTTGTTCATCACATGCAGAGCATCAGAGAGGGGCTTATCACCACTGCAAATGATAAAATGACGGTTAGATTGCTCTTCCAGAATTCACCAAAACAACTTACTTGATGGAGATCACTTCTTGAGATCCAATCACCAGGTCACGCAGAGCCTTCGGGTAAAGCTCTTCAATGATCGGGAAGCTGCGGCCATTTTCCCAGAGGAATTTGACCAGCCGAAATTGGCTGAAGATTCCGACCACTTCTTGATCGTTTGACTCATTGACCACCACAATCCGGTGAACACCACCACCAAAGATCTCAACTGCAGTCAAAACATTGGCCGACGCCGGCAGGTTGATCAGCGGCTCCTTCTCCATACCAAACTTCTTGACATCCCTCAGTGGAATGGGCACGCCATCGTGAGCTTTCTTGGCTAGCTCTTCATATGAAGCTTGATGTGCTTCGTCGGGGTGTGTAAGGCCCGCTGCCAGTAAGAGATAGGAGTTGAGATCGGCATAGTCGAATGTGGCGACGGCAGAAGTGGCTTCAGGGGTCTCACGGATCAACAACACAGCCGCACCTGAATCAATCAAGATCTAGTTGGACGAGCATGTTAGTCCAAGGAGAGGTAGTATTGCCTTTGTGATGTACTCACGTTTGTCGCCTCTTCAATGCCCGTATCGAGCTCGACAAACTTCAGGTCATCCGGGCTGACCAGCTCGCCAATTGAGATCTCTCTCCAATCACGGCCAACAAAGGCAGGGTCGCTAGTCTTCGATGGCGGGGGATTGTCGATGAGGCTCTGGATGGCGGATTGTGGGAGGGAAGGCTGTCGGCGTGCGCGGGGGAGCCCGGTGGGCCGCGAAGCGACTCGCTCAAGCTTTGTCTGTGCTGGTGGTTTGCTGAAACGCGGAGTTTGTTTCGTGTAGAGGGAGAGCGGGATTGGGTGCTGGGTCGCGGAGAAGCAATGGATGCATTATTGAGGGAAGTGTCGGACCCTTCGCGGGGGTGGAAGCGGTCCGCCATGTCAAAGGTTCTCGGGATATTATCCAAAGACAAGAATGGACAATATATTGCGGAAATGTGAAATGCAGGTTACTTGATCCTTCTGAGGTCATCAGGTGATGTTGATCATATTAAGTGGGTCTTTAAGCGGGGTAGATCATCGAGCCAATCAGAATAGACCAATAACAATGGCATAGTCTATAGTTACAACCACCACCAAGGTAACTAGTTAGTTACCTCAAAAGTACTCGATGTTCTCTCTGTCGGGTTCTTGAAAGCAATAATACGGCATAAGATTGCTGAAGATGTTGAAATAGTCCAAGGGGTAAGGTAAAATATACTAATGGTCCTACGGGATCATTGTGCTTGCAATTGACCAAGGCGTCGTCGGCTGTGTTTTAATGATTAATCGACAATAGCTCGGGGTTAAAAAATGACCGGAAGGCCGATGACTGGTGATGGTAAATTCGTACCCCTTGATTTCGGATCGGCTGATTGGTTTGACTCAAAGTCGGCGCTAGGGGGAACCTCTTCAGAACCCAGCATCTTTGGTGGCTTGATCGAACTAGCGGTAAGACGTACTGTATGTACTTGTAGATGAATGCAGTGCGTTATTCGGGCTCTTATTAAGAGCAGTCTATAGCAGGTGACTCCACGTACTCCACTTATTTCGTTTGCAACTATTATTAGTCTTGAGGTATGTGGGAGTGGGAACACAGTTACATAACTCGACACTGTGACTGACATATTTGATGGCCCTCTAATTTAGGCGACTTGTCATCTACCTGATTTTCAAGCTCATACCTTATTTTCCTTTGGTATCTGGATACACTTTGATTGTCGGACATCATGTCGGATGTTAAGGACACAATCCCTCGAGGTTCTAAAATCCTTGTGACTGGAGCTAACGGCTTCATTGGTTCCCATGTGGTCGATCAACTATTGAGCCTAGGCTACTTGGTCCGCGGTAGTATTCGGAAGCCCAAGCCCTGGTTAAATGAGCTCTTCGACCGAAAATACGGCAAAGGCAAGTTCGAAACTTGCGTTGTCTCGGACCTCACCAGTGGGATTGAATGGGAGGGGGCAATCAAAGAAGTCGCAGGAATTATCCACGTCGTGCGTACTATTAATATGAACAAGCAAGAAAAAAAATAAAAATTTACCTGACATCTCACAGGCCGCTGATCTATCGATGAACCCTGACCCGAATATAACCATTCCGCATGCCATAAAAGCAACAGTCAACCTTCTAAAAACAGCTTCGCAACAAGCTATAGTTAAGCGTATTGTTCTGACCTCATCTTCAACCGCCGCATACCTACCGAAGCCCAACGAAGAAGGAATTGTGCTCACCACAGGTGCGGAGGCGCTATGCTATCTACGATCTTTCAGAACTCCGGCTCTAACTAAGTTTTAGATACATGGAATGATGCTGCCATACAAGTGGCTTGGGATGAAAGTATTCCTCGTGAGGGTAAGGGATACATTGTATACGGGGCCTCTAAAACAGAAAGCGAGCGGGCAGCATTTAAATGGGTCAAAGAAAATGATCCTCCATTTGTTCTAAATACGATCTTACCCGGCATCACTGTGCGTCATCCTCACTCATATTATGAGAAATTTACTAATGAAAAATTCGCAGTTTGGCAAGATTCTTGCTCCGGAGATACGCGGTTCAACACAGTCGTTCATCGGGAATATCCTTAAAGGAGATGGGGCAGCACTTGGGTCCCTTCCTTCACGTAAGTATAAGGTGAAAATGAGCAGCGGAAAATACTAATAGCATCTATAGAGTGGTATGTTGATGTTACGGACGTTGCGAGACTACACATTATTGCCCTTCTCTTGCCATCGATAAATTCCGAGCGAATTTTCGCATTTGCGGCCACCCATACCTGGACCGATATCATCAGAATCCTACGAAAGCTTCGTCCCGATAATCTACTGATTCCCCCTGAACCTGAAAATGAACCTCGGGACTTGAGTGATGTGGTGCCTTCTAGACGGGCGGAGCAGCTTCTTAAGAGCTACTTCAATCGGTCGGGTTGGGTCAGTTTGGAGGGAAGCATCGCCGAGGGTATTTCTGGGGCATAGTGATCTGAGGTATCCAATGCGTGTGGCGAATACGTTTCTTTGTAGTGAAATGGTCACTATCACAATCCAGATAGCAAATATACGAACTTGCTAGGGAAATGTTAACTGAAACCGCTGGTTCCTTTATTATCATTGACCTGGACCACAGTTGTTATCTGCCTATGTCGATAATCTTTCAGATTAATTGTCATCAAAGCTCGTCTTTGCCACATATAGCCCCTTGTTCCCTACCTTAACGTTAGAGTATGGAAGCTCGGCAACAGCTTCATGTTTCCTATAGAGCTCATCTGTTTCAATGCCCTCAAGTGTTTGATTCTTGGTCTCGGGTATCAGCAAGGTCACAAGAGCAGTGAGCAGCATGATTCCCGAGAACAATCCAAGGACACCCTCCAAGCCAATTGCGTCTTCAACAGAACCGAAAGCAAATGCAGTTATAATGGCGCCGTATTTTCCAGCAGCAGCAGATATTCCATGTGCGGTGCCTCGAACACGCGTTGGGAACACCTCCGTGGGGATCAAGAACGTCGTGCAATTAGGACCAACAGTCAGCAAAAACTGCGAGAGGGCAAATATAACCATCAAGCCACCTATCGGGGTGTGTGCGCTTTGTGTGCTAATTGCCGGCCCATATAGCATAAAGGATGCACACCAAGATAGAGGTCCAGAATTGTTGGCGTACACGACCGATGCGATCAGGAAGGAAGATGCCGACGTAGAATCCAGGGAGATATCCTGCTACCTGTATGATTACATTGCCCACAGCGGTGTTGTACAGTGTCCTCCATGGTGTTTCTCCATGGGCATAACCGATTCTTGCCAGTATAATACTTTGGTTGAGATTGACACCATAATAAGCGATATTGCTATGTGTATTAGTTTGGGGGTTGCTTCTTCTTCTGATGGCTATTGACTTACAACAAGAACCAAGAGGCTGCGGTTGCAAACAACACTTTTGCATGTTACCAGTGACTGAAGTACTCGCAAAAGTCCTCCCACTGCTTCTTGAATGTACGATTCTGCCCGGCAGTATCATCACAGACATCTAAACAGCATTAGCTATCTTCAAAATACAAAATTACTCACACTCTCACATTGCTTGTAGGGCTGTGTCTCCTTGATCGTTAACCGTGCATAAAGAGTGAACAACGCTGGCACGATTCCAATGCCCAATAGCAGACGCCAGACCCATTCCAGATGGCTCAGGTTATCGGCTATCGACCCCTCGAATGCCTTGAGCAAGATCAGAAACACGATGCTGGCTGTAATATTGCCGAGGCCGATATTCGAGAAAACAGTCAACACTTGGATAGCACGGGAGCCAAATGGTGACTTTTCTGCTGATAAAGATGAAGATAATGGACAGTCTTCCTTGAATGTTAGACCCGTTATACACCTTTATCCCCAAGAAAACATGGACTTACCAGCCCCAATTCCTACTCTGGTCACAACACGGAATATTGATATCCATGCCGTCACAGACTGGGCCGACATCCGATTCCAAGGCAACAAGACTACCATCAGGGTTCCAAATAGAGTGAGGAGAAGTTCTTTTCCGTAAATAATATGACGGCCCCAAACATCGCTCAGAACTCCGAAAAGAAGCTGTCCAAATAGCGCTTAGCCATTACATGCGCACCAACCAGCGTGCACACCTTCTCGCTGAACCCAATATGGCGCAGATAAGACTCTCCCAGAGCCTCGTGGCTTTGTCTTCCAATATACTTGCCGTCAGGAGTGATCATTTTGTCCATCTTCTCGGCCGCAGGGATAAACCGTCCGACATCGTGCAAAAGTGCAGCCAGGATGACCTCGGGGTCATTTCCATGTTTGGGGGACTGTGTGGCAAGATATGCACACTGTAGCGAGTGTTCTAGTTGAGTTACTTGCTCGCCGAGATAGTCACCCTGGCCTGTGCGTGCAGAAATTGGAACAATGTTTTAATGGTTGCTCGAGTATGTTCCTCGACCGAGGCGAGAGGTTTCTCAGTCCAGGAGATTGTCATCTTCATGTTCATGTGGATGGATATTTTCGATTTCGAGCTCAGAGACGGATTGAGTCTTAAATAAATCCCTCGTGTAGTGTCTTTATATATTAAACGCATTACAAGGCACGAAGTCCGTCCACGTGTTGATGGTCTAACTTGCCCTAATGATTCACAGACTAGTCGTTTTCCAAGTCTTTTTAGACGTCTTTTTTATATATTTTGTCTTCATTTGTGTGGCTATAGTATAAACGGCTTAAAATGTACAAACCCACGTTTCTATGTATAACCCTTTGATATTCTCCGAGAATGAGTGACCTCGGCACGAAGCCCGCTGGTCTGTGCTGCATCCCAAGGGTCTCTGTCTGGCTTCGGGACTGACACCTTCATTTAATCCCCGAAATTATTGAGAAATACGATGAGGACTAGCTCATGGGGGAGATCGAGGGCCGAGTCATCGGAATGGCCCCGCAGTAACGTTAGAAGAAGCCAGAGGTTGACGCATTTCGAAACTATTAAAAGCTCGCTGGTTACTACTTTTTCCCTTCATCGGGTTATTCAAAACTAAATCATCATATTATCTGCTTGCCAATCTGTCGTTCCAACGAATTTACTCCAAGCTATCACCTCTCACACCTAAAAAAATAGCTTCTTACCATGAGAATGGTTACCTTCTACTACGCGCCGACGAGCATAAACTCGTCGAACCCACAGAGCTCAAGCAATGGACGCAAGAAGTCCAAACCTGGCCCCGTGTCAAGGGCAAATGGATGCCCTACGACGAAATCAACATCAACGGTGAACGCCAACTGATGCGCACGGAAAGGTTCATTGATTACCACCCCAAGTTCAAGTCACTGGTCTGCGGCGAGCAGCTGGCCGGGATTCTGAAGGCAGTTTCAGGCGATATATCTTTCCCAGGAATACGGAAACTCTGTCATAATATTATGCTAAAACCAAGCTCTTAACTATAGGATATGTTGCTCTTCAAAGAGAAGATCAACTACAAACAGCCCCAAGGAAACGGATTCCAAGTGCACCTCGATGCACCAGCCTACGATCACATCGGTCGTATCGAACACGTTACCGCCAACATATCTATTGATGCTGTGACTCCCGAAAACGGATGTCTGGAGGTTGTGCGCGGGTCACACAAGATGAAAGTTGAATTTGCAGATGCTGGTCGAATTACGCCTGAATGGGAGAACGCGCACGAATGGACTTCCGTTCCACTTAATGCTGATCTTTGGGTCACATCTCGCCCATCGCTCGGCTGAGAACAAGACTGATAAGAGTCGGTCGAGCCTTTATGCTACCTTTCACTCAAGGAGTGACGGGGAGGATCTTAGGGAGCAATATTACAAGCATCGGATAGAGATGTTCCCACCTGAGCACGGTGAGTTATTCTTTGAATGAGTAGATGTTCAGATGAATGAGGGCGAGGTTGCTGATATATATATCCTAGAGCGCGAGGATGGCAAAGATTACTCTAAAGGATACCAGACCTATGGCTTTGCGGCGCCTTTCACCAAAGCCCAGGAAAAGTTTGCTGCAACTGTTGATGTTTCTTAGCCAGTACTAGCTTGTATAGTTATCACTTTCACGTTTATCAATTTCAGAATTTATTGGGCAACTTTGAGTTGAGCCAAGTCTTTCTATATATTTGATAAACCTCTTGAGAATTTGAGAATGTTAGGCCGAGAATTACCTCCTACCAGCAGATGAAAACGGAAACGTTCAACCGTCTTCGTAGCGCAAAGACGCTCGAGATTCTAGAGAAGTTAATGTGAAATTTACTGAGGAAGTTTATGGAGAAACCAAGCAGTAGAATTCGTGAAGGTAAAAGTGGACGGGAGAGAGAAGAGAGAAGGAGAGAGTTAATAACTAGACAAACCACAAACATGTATTTCGTAAGTAACTAGAGCTGCACACAAGGTACATAGTATCTATATAATGGCACTATCAAACACTCTAGTCCACCCAGAAACACGAACTAAACAACCATAATATCAAAAAAAAACCAAACCCATTTAAATACTCAATCATCCTGATATGAGGGCACAACCACATCTCCTACCATCAACGTCCTGCGATCGGGTAGTTCCGAGTCAAAGCCCTCTAGTTCCTCAGGAGAAATTGCAGAATATTTGCCAAATTTGACCTTCCCGTCGATATTTCGAGTCTTAGCGAGCGTTGAAAACGGCTCAGCGTGTCGGACACCGGTAAACTGGTCTATACAAACCATTTGACATCGCTGGCATGCATCGAGAGCATCGAATCGAAGCTGGTCTGGTCCAATTCGAAGTGATGACCAGCGATCCTCTGCATATGGTTGTTCCACATCGCCACGGTGAGCAAGTCGTTCAGCGACGACAATGTTACCTCGGAAGACGTCTGCAGCAACAGTCTTACTACTGCCATGCTTGGTGTTTGTTTTGATGGTCTCATTTAGTCGATTGACAGACGAACGCGAGACAATGAGAATTGGCGACTCGTTGGATAACGTGATTTGTGTCTGGCCACTCTCACGCGCCGGGGGAGGAAACTCAGGTGGGAATGAGCCTGGCATGATCAGTTTGCGGAACCGGTTCTTCCATGTATTTGGCATCCGTTGCATCCGTGAGTACCGGCTGGCGGTCTGTGTAGGGAATCGTGCGAGAGTACATGGAACCCCCAGGAAGTCTGAGAAGAACGCCGAGACCACTGGGGACGTATAGGCATGGAGAGAAATTGGGTCGCCGCAGACTGTTGTAGGCTTTTTGGTCGAGCTCGGACAGAAGGATGTGGAAATAACACTTGTGTCCTCCCAGCCAAGTGAAATCTCAAGGCTGACCTGATCCGGTGCGGTGATTGCGCCACAAGTAATGCGGAGAACTCCTTTTTCAATCTCAATTGAGGGTCGTATCAGGCACATACGAGGGTACCTACTAACGTTAATTTAGGAATCCGCACACTTTGTTTGAGCATAACATACCTTTTCTGGTTCAGGGCTGCACCGGTCCCTTGATGAACCAAACACCACTCTCTGTCCCAGGCCAGTCCCTCTTTCTTCACTTCCCAACGCTTTCCCTCGGGGATCTTGAAAGCACCGCAACTCTTGATTGGGAAGACTGCTAAGCTTTCAACATAGAAATGAGGGGCAACGACCTCATTGTCTTCTGTCAGAGGATCCAGAGTAACTATAGGTGGACATTTCTCCACGTAAAACTCCTCTATAAAGTTTATCAAGGAGTCGATATCCTTCATATTTGTCGTGGCACCAATACTGACACGCAGAATTCCTGTTGGTCGCCCTCCAAGAACATCATGGTTATCACCACAGCGCAATCCAGCAGAGTAATGCCGGCGAAGCTCGGGTCCAGTCCAACCAAGTGACGAGGCAGTTCCTCCTGGATTGCAAACGGACCCAGTGCGTATCTGCATGTTTTGCACCGTAGCCAGTTTTTCCACCTCAGTTTTGGGAACCCATTCACCACGACTATTGCAAAGATTGAACGCAATAATCGGGCCTTGAGTATGTGGATTACCATATGACGAGGTGTGCGACTGGTAAATCTGACATACTTTTCTCTCATTGAAATGTGCCAATGAAGAAAGTCTATCATAGACTTGCTTTGCGAGGAACGAAGTATGTACCGAAATGTTTGCCATGGAACCAAACAAGCGCCAGTGGGTGTCCAATGCTGTGTCCAGAGCTATGATACTATGGAACGGGAGAGTACCATCCTCTAGCCGCTCATGGACTGAGGTTTCCTTTTTCGCATGCCATTGCACCCCAGTGGCCAGGACCATGTCGACGGTGCCTCCGCCAAAATACTTCCGTCGCTCAAAAACCCGTGCAGCACTTTTTCGGACGATCAAAGCACCCAAATCGGGAAATCCAAAGATTTTGTAGAAGCTCAGGACAGTGAAGTCTGGGGCAGATGAGGACGGGCCCAGATCAAGTGGAGCAGTTGATACGAGCGACGCAGCGTCAAGCAATGTGTATGCATTTGCTCCGCTTTGGGTTGTTGCGGATCGCACCTGCTCACACCATTGCATAGGCAGACGCCGGCCGTTCATATTGGATTGGGCCGGGTATGCAAGTAGTCTGGGTGCTTTCGACTGGTTGCCAGCCAACTTTGTAATCTCAGCCTCCATCTCATCGTCATTTTGAAAACACTGATAGCCCATCTCGGCTAGCTCTCGTACCCCGACGATACTGGTATGAGCATCAATGTGGTAGCCATACCAAAATCCTCGATGGTCGGAGTCCCGGAGTGAGTCTGCGACTAGCTTAATTCCGGCAGTTGCGTTTGCCACAAAGACAAGGTCAAATTCATCCGGGTCCGCATTAAAGAATCTCAATATGCGGACTCGAACATCTTCGGTTCTCTGTGTAGCAAGCTGTGATGATACAGACATCGAATGAGGGTTCCCGAACAGATTAGAGGTAAGATCACGCGAAAAAGCCTCGATCATGGACTTGGCATAGGGTGTTGTCCCCGCATAGTCCAAGTATGTTGTTCCTAATAGAGTAGTGGTCAGCATGAGTTGAGTGTAGTAAATGGGCATTTGTACCATTTAGAAGAGGGTACTCTTGGTCTCGGATTATGTCCACATCGGCGGAGTAACCTTGACTATACTTGGAATGAACTGATCCCTGAAAGGTTGGTTTCGCCATTGTTGAAGTTCAAATCCAAGCAGACGCACTCCAGGGTTTGTTGTAATATGTTGTACCTTGTTTGAAATCAAGGTGGCAAATGTTCAAGGATATATATGTCTAGCAGCACAATCAGCACATAATGAATATCTGAGAGATCCAAAAAAAGAGAATGTATAGCTGTGCGACTGTGCAATATCAAATGGAGTTGAAGGAAGAGGGGGGAGCCTCACCACATATAAGATAGCAGACAGCTATATTCTCATCGGAGGTCACCGATACTAACAAATCAACTAGCCCGGGTCTGGTTTCCAGTCCACTGCAAATGGATAGGCTATCGGATGTTTAGGGAAAAAGCACATTCCCAAAGCCTGGTAAATGGCCTTTATATGTTGTTTTCAGCTTCTCGAGGTGTGCTGTGAAGGGACAAGGAATGTCTCGAGATAAGATTCCCCTCACATGTGGCCTGTGATGTATTGGCCGTGGCAATAGTTGTTGATAGAGCTTCACTGGTCCTGTCGATTGTTCTCATCCTACCACACGCACTGTTTGGCACTATATACACGACGATCTATATCCGTTGGCCCTGGGCCCCACTGCATCGTGACGCTCATGCACTCCATGCATAATATCAGAGTTACTATACCTTTTACGGTCACGGAAAACCTCATCGGGGAGACATGTTTGCATCAGCCGACAGATTCATGAGTACTATTGAAGTTAACGATCGAAACCCCCACATTCTACTCCGTAGCACACAATCACATTGATCGATATAGGCTTTCAACCAACGATTCTGCATATGAGGCACCTCTTCGATCATGATATCTCACAAATACCAATAGCGCCGCCGACGCACAACGATCAACCCAACTTGCATGGGTTTCTAGGATCATGCTAAAGCTAAAGCACCTACCTTCAGTCTCGTCACATGTCAGCTTACCAACTCGGCTATTCATACAAAGAAAGAGTGCGCCTAATTTTTGTCGATTTCATTGGGCTGAAACCTATAGCCATAAGTTGAGCGAAAGACAACTAAACAATTCATGTTAGCACATCCGAGTTAACTAAGTGCCAACGCTGAAAATGTTAACCTTGTAATTGTGCAAAAAGGGCCTGGAACAGCGCCACTGTAGTATTACAAATTGTTTCTGAGGCTGAAGTGATCAACGCCACGATCGATTTACGATTTACGATTTACGATCGATGATCTTCGCCACAATGATATTCGCCACAATGATCTGCGTGAGGTATTTTCTATACGGAGTACACTAGTATTGACTATGGTTTCTTTAGGTTTCACCTCATCCTAGCTGCTTATGGTCCGCTTGGGAATTGCCCGCAAGATTTAACTTGTTTAGCTGGGAGTAAATAGGTATCTTATTAATGTTGAGGATAGAGAAAGATAACACCTGCCATATACATGTAAATGATTTTCTTGGGCACCATTGGGCGATGTGACCGTAGATTGTATTGTACAGATGGGATTGATAGTATACTTCAAAGACAAAACTCCGTCCCAAGCTCCTGCTATTATGGCTCGTACAAGTATTTGTGTCGATCCGGTTCGCATGGGAATCAACAGAACATTGAAAAACCAGAAGGAACAAACTGGCCAGAATAAAAGAGAAACAAGATGCTGTGATGTGAGGCGATGGGGCATCCCATTACCGCTTGGGCCATTGTCTCCAGCCACGGCCATGACCTCTCTGTTGCGCCGAGTCAGCATTGCTCTAACCACTTCAACGGGAAAGACCAATTGAGTACTAACCTGCTTCCACATCCGCACCATCTCTGGCATTCCTTCCATTGCCTTGCGACGGTCCTCGAGACGTGACTCCATGGTACGCTCCCACTTGTGACCCTTAACCTTATGACCAACACCCGTTCCCTTAACCTGCAAGCCACGCTCTGCGCGCCGTGTCTCTTT